TCAACTTTCATGTATTCGGGTTTCCTTTCTAACTTAGTAACTAGCATTTTTCCAACTGTGTTTTACCGTAATCAGGGAAGTAATGTTTGAATCTGGCAGTAACTGACCATTAAATTTGAAACAGCTGCCTTCTCCCGGACATATTTCTTCCAGTTCGTTACAGTCTGACTGTTGCAGTTATTTTCGCCTCTTGTCTTAACTGACAGGTCCAATGAACATTGTTTTGATCCTGCTCTCCGTTGATTGGCTACTGACAGTGTAGGCGTGTCAATTTATATGCATAAATTAAAAAATCACCTGATTCATGTCACGCCACAGTATGTATTCCTACACCTGGAATGTTTATCAATCTCGTCATTTTTATCGTGTTGATATATACAACTGTTTTTGGTTAAACTATTGTAGATAAAACATGTTTTATGTTGTCGAATTTAATTATAAGCATTGACCGTGTATTTTTTTCGGTTCATTGAGGTATGAATCGAAAAACCAATGTGCAAACTTTTGTAAGAATCCGCTACGCGGATTCATACAGTTTGCACATTGGCTTTTCGATTGTTGATACATGTAGTCATCACTACAAAGTCAAAACATTAGTATACCTCTAACATCATGAAATGGGATATGTTTTATTCCAATTTGCGAATTTTTACTGATACTTGTTGCACACATTGCTGAATATGAGCCTCAAAGCAAGTCTAGATAAATCCCTGATTTAGTAATAATAGTATTGGCAGTGAAGAAATAATCATGATAATGACAATCTTTATGTATTAATATGTGATTTCCCATGATCAATTTATTCAACTAGCAATATTCATGATAATTTACTGTTGACCGTGTTGAAACTGAAGGGGGCAATTGGAAAGAAAAAAATATTTTTTGTTTTATTATTTTTCTTGTTTCTTTGGTACTGAAAAGGGAGAGTACCTTTTTGCCAGTGATCAGCTGAACATGTGGTAAGACACGGACATGATTCTTGACAAATCACTGGAACTTTACCTGTGGACAACTTGCTCCAGAATAACAGATAAGCATCGTAAATGTGTAAAATATCCCCCACAAATATTTAAATCCCAATTACTTTCAATTAACTTGCGTACAGAAACGCATGCATTAAATGAAATACTCATATGTATAAATACAGCTCATGTAAAAAAAACAAAAAGGTTTTTCAGCATGCGTACAACAGAGCTCATTTACGAAACACGATTACTAGCTTATATACTTTCCAAGGCAAGCCTATCTATTTACAACAGTTATCATGATTGTGTACATCAAAAACATTATTTAATTTTTTTTTGAAATCTTAAAATTGTCACACTTTTGGGGAAATACCCAATAGAGTGATAAATAGATCAGTGAAAAAATATTAGTTACCCAATGAAAATGTAATAACCCAATTAAAATAGAAACCCTAGAGTAAAAACTCAATTGCTTAAAAAGTTATCTGGAGCTCTGTTGCTCTGAACCAGTTTAGAACACTGCAGTGCTGTAATCTGACTTTTAAGAGGATAAATATTAATCATGTTAATACCAGGTTTGATTGTGAGCATCTGCTAATCCAACACTGGTAACCATGGTTGCAATAGCATTATATTAGAATGTCTGGCAACTTGTTTTCAGTTTTCCTTTTGTCTGTGAATAATACATGATATTGCTGATCTTGGAATGGGTGCACATCCAGACAGGTAGCCAACATGGGTTCAGCCACAGGCTCCTGTGTTTGTTGATCGTGTTGACCTGTACGGTAACAAGGGCAGATCTGGTATACATTATAGATGCCCTGCAGTTGTCAGTGCTCATGGTCAGGTCGGGGCAGGGCAGGGCAGAGAGGGGTGTTGACTTCATATTGTACTTAGCCTCACTTGCTTGTGTGCCACCTTTGTGCCGGATAAGCTTGTCACGGGTATTACCTCCATGGTCTGGCCTCTGGCGGATTTCCCCTTCATGGGTAATATACTGTGATGTTGATACAGGGATCAGAGTCCAGGATTGTTGGCCGCAGAGTGCAACGCGGACCTGGCAGGTTGAAAAGATTTGTTTGTATTATGACGGCGATCTGTAAATAATTGAGGGTGGAACGGACAATCCAGTGATTGATACCATGAGCATCAATCTACACAATTGGGATGGGATGACATGCATGAAACATGCAGTCAGCTGCTAAAATCCACTCTGTTGAGTTCTCAAATGTCAATGAGACTAGTTACCAATAACTTCAGTACCAAAATTGATTCAGCATTTGATTCAAGCAGGTCATTCTGAATGTAAACCATAGCTCCATAAGTAACCCAAGCCTATCTCCAGCAAGCACTGAGACTCAAAAGACCTGCTCAGAGTCATTTCAACAGTCATACTTGTAATGGTTGGTTGGTTTGCTGTTTAAAGCCGCACTCAGCAATATTCCAGCTATATGATGGCGGTCTGTAAATAATCGAGTCTGGACCAGACAATCCAGTGATTAATATCATGAGCATCGATCCACGCATTTGGAATGGATGACATGAATCAACCAAGTCAGCGAGCCTGACCACCCGATGCCGTTAGTCGCCTCTTACGACAAGCATAGACGCCTTTTACAGCAAGCATGGGTTGCTGAAGATCTATTCTACCCCAGATCTTCATGGGTCATTCATATTTCAATGAGCTGATAGTGGGAAAGATTTAGTGAAGATTGAAGGACATTTTTGACCCACACAATTTTGGTGGTTTTTGAATTAAAAATTAATTAAAATTTTGAGTGTTTGGGAGAAATGATTTGAATATAGTGAAAATGGTGAAGTAAGGACCTGATTTATAGTTTCCCCCAAGTTGGTAAGTGCCGGTAATGTTCATGAAGTTTGTGTTAATTTTGAAGAAAAAAGCACATGAAGTAGTTTTGGATTTAACCAGATTTCCCATGTACTATTCCCTTTTCTTCCCCGATATTCTCAGTGTTGTCAGTGCTGTTGTCAATAGCTGGAGCCAATGGTGGCCCTGTCGTCTATTCAAGGGTTGCAATTTCCCCGAGACAGAAAAACCTATGATTGTGGGTTCAGATCACAAATTCGGCCTGATTATGTTTCTAGGTTTGTAAACACCGCACACTAATGGTGGGTTTGGCCAGAGTTGTAAGTGTCTGGGACATGCATGCTGTCTACCTTTCCTCCCACCTCAGACTGACACCATGACATAACTTACCGGTACATACTGTTCCCATCTGTAAAGACTCACGCCCACTCATTGTGTCGCCTGTGTTACGTTTAAGGGAAGGCATCATATTTCAAATAATTTTTTAATTTGAAGTTTACACGATATACGGCTTTTCCATTGGACGATAGGTCGGTCACATGACCGCGAAATTGACATTCATAAGTGTATGAACGACACAATTTGACGTTCATACATTTTTCACGAGACCATGTTCTTGAACTGATGTAAACACGGACGGACTACTTCCACATTCCTGGGGAAACCCCTGGGAATTTCCTACCACGAAAACATACATACGTTCTTTCTGATCATTTAGTGAGGGCAAAACATTGTATGTCATACAGTTTGGCCCTCACTCTATGAAGGTTCATACTCCAATGAACTCACACAAAGTGAAGGTCAATTCTTAAATGTTTCATGCTCACATGCCTCATGTATGTCCAATGTGTCAACCTGCCACCACAAAAATGAATTAAGATATAAATATATGATTTTGGATCATTTCATTGACTTTCTTAAAACAAATGCTTGGCCATAAAGCAATCTAATGGTATGATGGTTGTTTCTCCCATGATTTAGTATAAACCTTATGTTATTATTTACTTGACATATTGAAGTGATATTGGTAAAATAACGGCAATGAAATTATTATTTGTACATACTTCCTAACTTGGAACAAGCACCCTTTGGAAGTGAGACTTTGTATTCAACATGGCCAAACAGCTAACACATTGTCTACAGTGTGTCCAGGAACCAACATCTGTAGCATGAACCTATGGCAATCTAGACATAGTGTGTACCTCATGTAGAGGTACTTTGTGTACACCTTGTACTTCTGTGGGAAGAATTGTTAAATATGGATTCTATTTTCCTTAACATGCCACACGTACAAATGAGATGCATGCTGAAAATGAACATGTTTTGGAAATGTTTATATGGTGATAGACATGATAGATGGTCTGTAAAATAGTGTACCGGTATTTCTCTGAGAAGAGGACCATTACACACAAAGAGGAAAAGGATGTGATGCTAAGTTTAATATTACTGCAATGTGTCTTTGAAAGGCATGTAGAAGTGATACACATAAAGGAAGAGAATATATGGATGTCAACTTCTATATTATGAGGAAACACAATGTTTCAGAGTATATGCTTACTCCTTCATCAGATGAACGAATGCTTATAGGCAGACACTCAGAGTATATGTACGTACATGTAAGGACAACAAAAGTAATAAGATAACCACAGGTGGAAACTAACAAGGGGGGCCGACAGATAATTGCCGCTGATGGGTGATCAGCAAAAGACAAGTTTCCACATTTTGTTATCTTATTACTTTTGTTGTCCTTACATGTACATATATATACTCTCTGCCTATAAGCACCCATTACCTGAAGGAGTAAGCATATACTCCGAAACATTGTGTTTCTTCATAATAAAGAAGTTGGCATCCATATATTCTCTTCCTTATTACTGCATTGAAAGCAATGTTAAAATGAAATGTAAAAGTAACTTTGAATTTAAAAACAATAAAAACTGAATGTAAAACATTGAAAAAAACAAAATCCCAATTTTGAAGAAAATAACCCGTTTGTCCCAATTTGCCTACCCTGACACTCTGTTAGGAATCTTGGCCGGATCAGTGTAATATATCTCTATGGTGTTGTACTGCGCAATTCATATACTATTGTTATTGTTAACAATGTTTCATTGTTATATTTTTAAAAAGGTGATTCATAGATCATGTTGTGGCTTTGGCTATCGTGACAGGCTTGCTCTTATACATGTCTTCTTTATTTATTGCAGAACATCTAAGGAGGTCTATCTTGTGTATGGATGCCAACTGAAAAACACTGCTATGTGATGAACAAATACGAAATATTGGGGGTTGTAGGTGAAGGTGAGTTAGCTGCTGCCATTGATCAGAACATTCTTCTAAATATCACAGACTTCGTGAACTGTCGATAAGTATAATGGAGACAATTCACATTTTATTCTAGTTTCCCAATATTTCAGACTATCCTTTTGTCATGACATATGGAATAATGGTTTTGTTGGTCTACACTTAATATTAGAAGTCAGTCAAAGAAGAAATTTTGAACTGTGGTTTTGGACCTTGTTTTTTTATCAGTACTTCTTTCAGAATGGTATTGGAACATAATTTCTTTCTTGTATACTTTCAGGTGCCTACGGTGTGGTCTTGAAATGCCGACATAAGGTATGTATATTTTGTCTGTTTTCTTCTCATCCTTCCCTGGTCCCCATCCTTGACACCCTCCACGGTCCCCATTCCTGACACCCTCCCTGTTTGCCAATGCACAGACTTCCCTGGTCCCTATCCTTGACTCCCTCCACGGTCCCCATTCCTGACACCCTCCCTGTTTGCCATTGCACAGACTTCTCTGGTCCCCATCCTTGACACCATCCACTGTCCCCATTCCTGACACCCTCCCTGTTTGCCATTGCACAGACTTCTCTGGTCCCCATCCTTGACACCCTCCACGGTCCCCATTCCTGACACCCTCCCTGTTTGCCAATGCACAGACTTCCCTGGTCCCTATCCTTGACTCCCTCCACGGTCCCCATTCCTGACACCCTCCCTGTTTGCCATTGCACAGACTTCTCTGGTCCCCATCCTTGACACCATCCACTGTCCCCATTCCTGACACCCTCCCTGTTTGCCATTGCCCACTGAACCCTCTCTGGTCCCCAACCCTGACACCCTACAAGTCCCAATTTTTCAAATTCTTTCTGCTTCTCTTTTTCACTTATCCCCCGATTCTGAAGACAGATTTTTTGTGGATGGGGTGAATTTGTGTGATTTGAATGTTCCTAAGGTTATTTCATCTGTGGAGGTAGAGTACAGCATATATCCCTGATGTGCTTGTTGCACAAAGCAATCCTAGCGCTAAGGTGATCGTAACTACCATACTGTAACATAGACTTACGACAGTCGTAGCGCTACGATTGCTTTGTGGAAGCCTCAACTCCCAGTTTCTCCCCATGTCAAACCAGCAGTAGCATGTTGGTATGACGTCACTGGTGGTGTGGAGGGAGTTTGTTCCACCTCTAGTTAGTGTAGAAATCAATCTCCAATCTAGAGGCAATTAATCTGTTGGGAGGGCATCACTTAGTGGTCTGTGTTGGTGCCCCATTGTTGTGGAAACATCAGTAGATTCTGCGGCCTGCGTATACTTGAGCTGCTTAATAATGCAGCAAATAAATACATAGTGCAGAGGTGCAAGTCAAGGTGTAGCTGACGTAAGGCCTGCTTCACGGCTTGTGTAATCCTGGGGCTTAAAAATTGACAGAAAACTGGGATCAAAAGATCAACATTAACCTGCATTATTAAACACGGGAAAGGTTGAGATGTTGTGTCGATAGCAAGTAAAATATTTTGTTTGAGTTGTTGATTCATATCTATTAAGAATGTTAGGTACCCAGGAGTTTTCTTCGCTGTTGATAGCTGTGGCATCGCTGTGGCATCGCTGTGTTGGTTATTGTTTGGTTCTTACTCAGTTATGAGCAAATCAGGAGAGTTCATGAAGTAACCTTGTCATGGTGGGTCCCTGGGAGAGAGTAATACTGTTCACATTGGTAAAATGTAGTCACCTTTGAAATTCCTGTACCTTGGTATTTTGAGATGGGAAACTGTAGGCTTCAGCTTGGTGGGATGACAGTCGCTGGATGACATTACGTTGAAAGAGGGTTATGTTGTGTCACGACGGTTTGCATTAACGATAATATGATGATGGATCAGGCAGTTGGATCATTAAGGACAAGGTGTCAGAACCCAGGCAGTTTGAGAATGAGCAAAATCAGAAATCAATATTGTGGTATCATACATGAGAATTTGTCTTAATTCATTTCAACACTTATATTTTTTTTAATTTAAACTAATGCTAAATGTAATGATGTGCCCAAAAAGGTTTTAAGGTTTTCAAGAAATATATTCCAAATATTTTAATATTACCATGTCATTGACCCAAAGGGATGTTGACAAAGACAGTAGCAACATGAAAAAAGCATCTTGGGAACGGGAGTTGCTCAGTTTGATTTCCTCTTTGTTTTGTTTTTTAACTCAGTTTAGCCATACTTATGTACTGGATCAGTTTAGCTGTTATTTATGTACTGGATCAGTTTAGCTGTTATTTATGTACGGGATCAGTTTAGCTGTTATTTATGTACGGGATCAGTTTAGCTGTTATTTATGTACGGGATCAGTTTAGCTGTTATTTATGTACTGGATCAGTTTAGCTGTTATTTATGTACTGGATCAGTTTAGCTGTTATTTATGTACGGGATCAGTTTAGCTGTTATTTATGTACGGGATCAGTTTAGCTGTTATTTATGTACGGGATCAGTTTAGCTGTTATTTATGTACTGGATAAGTTTAGCTGTTATTTATGTACTGGATCAGTTTAGCTGTTATTTATGTACTGGATCAGTTTAGCTGTTATTTATGTACGGGATCAGTTTAGCTGTTATTTATGTACGGGATCATGTCAGTTGAGCCATATGTATTAGTGGTGGGACGATAAACTGATGCATCGGTGAATCGCGATATTTTACTTCCCAATACATCTATCAACCTCTATCACACTAAGTACAAAATATCAATTCATACCTTAAATGTTTACTTCAATGGCTGCAACATCAAACACTAGTTAGTAGTGAAAATGAGTTGCGAAAAAGTAAATATTTTAATCTGTTGGGTCATACTTGACACTGCCAACTGTTAATTATCAGTGTACCAGGTATTTGACTATCCTGTCTATGAAAAGATTGCTTACACACCACAGATAAGAGCACTTACAAGTATGGTGATATGTATCAGGTCGTGAAAAAGGTATCGTGATGCATATCGGATTGCACAGTTGGTGTATCGTCCCAGCCCTAATACGTACGTCTTGTCAGTCTAGCTTTACTAATGTACTGGATCATGTCAGAAGTCCAAGACTAAGAAATAAGGCCAGCTGTTAGCAATTTGAACATGTCTGATAACTTTAATATACTGTATATCGCTGTGTATAGGCGAGTTTTTCGTGCCTAGAATTAAGGGTTTTCAAGGTTTTTGTCGTCTTATACACAGGGTTGAAGAGTTTTCATGTCTTAATCTCGGCATTTAAGACAATGCCAGTCAGAACAGGAAATACAATTGAATCTGTAAATCATCATGTCTAGTGATATTTTATCTCAAATTTCAAAATTTGTATTGACCAAGTTTAATTGTTATGATCTGTTCGTTTTACTGAATTTGCTGAAGGGATACGATGTAATTTTTTTCTGCAGAAGACAAACACGTTTTTACTACAAATGTCAGGATTTTGTATGTGCTGGTGACAGGTGACAGAATTTGAAGGCTTGTACAGGGGGTTCGCTTTATAGACAGCGGTATATACAGAATGTATTTCAAATTTGTATGGAACTTTTAAATGTGATATTTCAGTGGGCCTGAAAGGTCTCATCATTCCTCATCCTTTAGGACCAGGGTTGGCAGAGTAAATGATAGGCACTTGCATAGACCTATATGTCTCCAGTTATGCCATGTATAGTTAGCCTTTGAGCAAGTAGAAATGTCTTACTTCTACTGGTATGTATATTCAGTGAGGGATAGGGAAATGGAGGCGTTAATGATCTCCTTAAATCTAATGACAGCAATGACTGGGTAAGCCTATATGTGTATCTGTCCTGAAGTTATAGAATCCTTTAAACGTCTGAGGGATGTCTAGGTCAGTATAGAACCCCATGCCATGTTCTTACCATGATATTCAGTTAAAATGAGGACTGGATGGGCGTAAAGGTTCCTGGGTATGGAGAGTACACTAGTTTTAGCTGTAACATGTCTAGATTGATTTCATTATTTCTTCACAACATTGTTTTATAAGTCAGCTTCGAAGTTTAATGTCTTGGATGACAAGATGAGTGACTAGCACGGAAAACACACAGCAGTGTGTAACCTGCCCCTCTTGACGACAATCTGCAGCTATACAAGTCGAGTGCTATATTGGATTGACTGTAAACAATACATGCCAGCATGCCTAGTCACCTAGACATTGTACATGTTATGGATCTGCTTGACATTACTGGGGCCACACTTTGTCTAAGTGTCTCACAGTGTGAGCCAGTGGCGCGTTCTGTACAATAGCATCAATGTTTTACCTGCCCGGATTGTGCTGTAGACGCAGCAACAGTCACAACACCATCTCGACGTGCATGATGTTGCTGTCTTGACATTTATTTGTTTGAAAATATTTATGCAAGAGGTTTTTTGCATTTCTTGACTAGCTGTCAGCTGGAAAATATGCTCTGAATCTGTCCAAAAATATTTGAGTGGCATAGCACATCTGTTAGACATGGGAGACACGACTGTTTAGGTAAAGATGTATAGATAGGTGTGTGTACCCTCAACCAACCAACTAAAACAGACCAAAATTGTCAATTTTGAACATACACTTATCATATCCAAATTTGGACATGAGTATATCCAACTATAAAGAATATATCCCTTTCTGACATAAGTATATCTCTGACATGAACTTACAAAGCCATTTAGAAAGTGGTCAAATGTAACAAATATTACATTTGAGATAACACTTTCTTAGTAAAGTACAGATTCAAGTACCATATTTTCTTAAGTATAGTGCACATCCAAGTATAATGCGCAAAACCACTCTAGCGGAAATCGTATTTTGGAGAAAAACCTTTTGGAATGTTATGTGCAGAAAAAAATTACACCGTACCCCTTCAGCATGTTCAGCGAATACTAAGTCAGTACAAATTTGAAATTTTTAGATAAAAAAATCACCAGACATGTTGATTTAGCATTTACAGTGTATTTTTTGTCCCACTAGGCATTGTTTTAAATCCATGGATTAAGATTACCTTGTGTATTTTCTCGTAAACAAAGCCGGAAACAGCAATCAGCTGTACACACGTTTTCTTGGATTCTACTGGTGATTCGGTTAAAACTTACCCAATGATATAATGTTAAAGGATTTTGATGCAAGGATCGGGAAAAATTGTATCTGAAACTATTTTTTTATCAGGAATAATATATTCCAATATTTTGTTATTTTAGCTGAAGCTTTAACGAATTATATGTAAAATAATAATAACCCTAAGCGTAGCACTTTGGTGCAGCTGATCGCTATTGCCAGTTATTTTTTTTACATGGATCAATTTGACCAGTCACCATCGAGGCTCCTGCACACATGATAGCGAGAACTACATGTTGACATAGAATCGTCAAACTACAACAAATATGACTTTTAACAAGTCAAAGTATGGCATTTATGATATATGTATCCATTCTCTGTCAACTAAAGTTCGTTTCAAGGCGTCAATAGCGGTAATCTGACCATGGTTGCTGTTGTAACAGTGAGGTGTGCTTCTGATTTTAAACTGACATAAATATATCTCACTCTGAAATAAGTATACATAAGTATATCCCATCCTGACATAAGTATATCTCAAACTGACATAAGTATACCTCATTCTGAAATAAGTATAACTCACTCTGACATAAGTATATCCCATGGAGATATGAGTATATCATACTCTAAAATATGTATACCCCATGCTGATATTAGTTTATCTCACTATATCCAGACCCATGAAGATCCGGGGTAGAATAGGACTTCAACAAACCATGCTTGCCGTAACAGGCGACTATGCTAGTCGTAACAGGCGACTAATGGGTTCAGGTGGTCAGGCTCGCTGACTTAGTTGCTTCATGTCATTGTATCCTAATTGCGTGGATTGATGCTCATGTCATTCACTGGATCATCTGGCCCAGACTCGTTTATTTACAGACCGCCATCATATAGCTGGAATATTACTGAGTGCTGCATAAACAAACAAACAAACAAACAAACAAACATAAGTATATTCAACTCAGGTATGAGCATGTCTTAGTTTAACAGAGTTTATCCAACGGCACACTGCCATTGTCAGGCCACGGCCCATGTAGGTCCCCATGTTTGCTGTTATCACCAGTCAATCATATCTACCTACAACTGTTAACTGACCCTTCTAGAATGACAATGGGTGTGTAGAGAAGCTGTATAGACTTCAGGGGATTGTTTACCATGTTGATTAGCGTCACATTCTTCTGTCATTTTCATCCCCGTTGCTAGATAAATGTCACGCCCATGCAGTGATACCGTACTGTCTGCTCATTGAACCCTATCACAGTGCTCTCTGACTTAGACGCAGCGGTATCAATATTTCATGGTTAACCTTCCTCCATCTGTACAGATTGTTGTCAGCACAATAGGCCCGCCTGTTCAGTCTCCCTGCTGTTGTTCCCCAACAACAATCAGAGCAGTAAAACAAACAGCAGATGCTATTATCCAACCGACACACCTCAATCTGTTGTTTATATATTTATTTTAAGTGTTTCTTTTTTATCTATTCATGTGTTATACTTCTTAAAGGCTTTAGTGTCTCACAGAGCATATTCACGGGTTGAAAATTTATGAAAAATTTTACTTGACCAAGGGCAGGTATGACCAACATTCTTACTTGCCCAATATTAAAATGTACTTTAAAGCTAATAAATTCAGTAAAAATGCTACATCTACAGTACTAAGAATCAGAGATACAGTTTACCCTCGCTATTGTGCCCCTCAATATAGCGCTAACTTGGTTATAGTGCGTGGTATCGTATGGCTCCCAAAATTTACTTACATATTTAATAAACTCAAGTTTTACACTGACACGATGTTTTTCCCTCATCAAAAAAATTTTATCAGCTGATTACCGCGAGCACATAACACCGGAAATACCATTTAACAAATCTGAAATGAAGCACGCAATTTAATCCTAATATTATATTACATGTATCTGGTTATAAAAACGTGTTCATTGTATATCTTGACTTATATTTGTAATATATTTTATATGTTTTATTCAAAATTTCATTCAAAATTTCATTCAATATTTGTTCACATTCATTTAGGCGAAATCATGTGTGAAATGATCGGTAGATCGCACAACTCACCGTTATTTACAGCAACCATGATCAGATTACTGCTATTGACGCCTTGAAACGAACTTTAGTGGATAGAGAATAAATATATCTATCATAAATGCCATACTTTGACTCGCTGAAAGTCATATTTGTTGTAGTTTGACAATTATTCTTCTTTCGACCAATTCATCGATAGATTCCGAGAAATGTGTGTACAGCTGATTGCTACTTCCGGCTTTGTTTACGAGAAAATACACACGGTAATCTTAATCTCTGCAATATAAACCAATGCCTATCAGAACAGGAAATACAATGTAATCGGTAAATGATCATGTCTAGTGATCTTTTACCTCGAATTTTAAATTTGTATTGACCAAGTTTAATTGCTATGATCTGATCATTTCCCTGAATTCGCTGAAGGGAAACGATGTAAGAAATATTCTGCGTAAGACAAACACATTTTTATTGCAAATGTAGCGATCGTGTATGCGTTGGTGACGTGCTTCATTCCGATTCGCTTTATAGACGGGGTATATAAATTAGCATCGATTTTAAAGGCTTGTACAACATGTACAGGGGGGTCGCTTTATAGACGGCGATATGCGGTAGGCCTAACGAAGCTTCACAAGTCAGCACTAGACCTACCTCGCATTACAAATTCCAAGAAATGTAGTCAACTGTCCATCATTCAGTTTCCAAGAAGCATGTGCCATATATGAAAGTGTTACTATAATTTATCAATGAAACAAGCCTGGTTCTCATTGTTGACCTGCCTGACATCGATGTGTTTTAATCCCATTGGTTGACTGGTGTAACTGTATGCAAATTAGATTGCCAGTCAGGGACATCAGCAAAATATTAGCCAATGAAATATCGTAACATGATCACATGATTACATTCACATGTAACTTGACCCAGTTCACTTTGTGGGGCTCCACTTGTCCACAGGCATGCTAGAAAATGTATATATGCCCGACATCTAAACCTTACTTGTCACGGGCATCGGGCAATGGTATTTTTCAACCCCTGATATTGGCCGGGCATTGTACATATCCACCCAAGACTTTAAATGCTGTACAATGTGTGACATTTGAATAAAAAATTTCTTCTTCTTCTGTCTTCTTCTTCTTCTTCTTCTTCTTCTTCTTCACTTCGGGCTTTCCTCCCACATCAAGCTGACATGCCATGATGTAAATGGAATACTGTTTAAAGGGGTGTTAAACCCAACTCACTCACTCACTCACTCACTCTTCTTCTATATGTTGTTTTTGTTAACCATCATCATCATGCTGTTGTTTTTGTTCACAGGAAAATGGGGAAATGGTTGCCATTAAGAAATTCAAAGACAGTGAAGGTATGTGTGACACTGCTTTTCAAGATGTGATTGTTTGTGGAACAAATCGACTGTGGCTATAGTAAATTCAAAACCCATTTATTTCAGTTGTAAGGCCAACATGCCAAGAACCCTACCTCACCTCACAAAAACAAATAATACAGTTGCACTTTCAATAAATGGACAGTTATCCGTACTGACCCTTGTTGTGTGACATTACATTAAACCAACTAAATAAAAACTACACTTCCCAAAAGACAGTAATCACACCGATAAAAACACCACCAACCAACCAACCAACATGCAAAGATATAGGAGTTTTAAAAGCAATTATTCAATCTGTTGCCTAACAGGCCTAATGTATTCGTTCGTACTGAGCGAGGGGTGTGCACGCTGATGTATATAACACCGGTGAGTGACAGGTGATCTGTAACACATTGCAGTGGTAGCACATTTAATGTGACAGGGAAGCAGTGCAACGTTCCGTCTCAATCCTATCACAGCCACACATTATGATCGGCGGCAGGGTTTGGCAGCAGCACTTGATGGATCACATAGTAAGTAGCACGCCTTCTGTTGTTGCTACAAGCTGCAGTCAATGAATTATGTATTATATCATATAACTGCCAGTTACAAGGAAACCAGACCATAATTTGTCAATAAAAATGACAGTGCAGTGAATAACATCAGGGCCCACTGCTCACATGAAGGCGGGATCTGTTGGAAAGATTTGGTAGATATATTTTCATGATTTGTTTTAACTAAGACAAATAGGTGTTATTTTTATTAAGACAAAGAAAAAGAATGGCATTTATTGGTAACTAAAATTATTTGTCATATATGGTGTTTGAATTTGGACATGGTGGTGAAAGTATGTTTCAAGTCTTAAAGTACTGTAGTGTAACTCAGTGATACAAATAATTAATCATAATGATCAAAGTGACTTTGCTCTTATTACTCCCCCGGCATATAATGCTTGGGGATATAGTCGACACCTTGTCTGTCTGTCCGGAATGATGACTTGAAGACTGTTCAATATTTTTCAACAAAAATTGGCAGATATATCAAACAGATCCTGAAGTGGTGCCTTTTGCTATTTATTGGATTTTTGGCATTTTTATTTTTCTCGATTACCATGGAGACAATTTGGACTTTTAAATCCAAACCTGGTACATGTGTTAACCAAGGGCTGAAGTGGTGCCTTTTGCTATTTAGGAATTTTTCAACATTTGACATTTCCCTGAAGTTAGACTTTGCTGAAACGGAGCAGAACTAAAAAAATCATCAACATTTTTCGTCAAAATTTGGTACATGTTTCATTCAAGGGCTGAAGTGCTTTTTGCTATTTAGGAATTTTATAAGAACATTCTATACAAGTTTGACTTGGACTCCTTTGATAGCGGTGTGTTTTTCCGGACCATTTCTCTAAAGCTAATAGGTATTCTTTCATGACACTTTGCACACACAAAGACCAGGTTGTCAAATGGTGCCTTTGGCCACATAGGGTGTTTAAAAAATTTAATTCTGTTTCCATGTCAACAAGTTTGATTTTGACACACAAAAGTATAAAAATACAAAGTTCTGAATCCTAATTCCATGGTGTTGTTTTGTTAGCTCAATAACTACTCTTGTATATGGACAGACAGTTTAGATAGAAATCTCATCAAGTTGGACTTAAGTTATCAGTAACAGTAGATGTAATAGTAGATGATTTGTTATTTCGAATTTGTGAGGGCAGAACTCCAAAACCATTAAATATTTCTTGATGAAACTTGCTATACAGATCTGTCTCGTTGGGAACTGGTGCCTTTTGATGATTTGGGATTTTTGTTGTATATATTTGTTTATGTTTTCATGCAACAAATTTGACGACTTTACTGAAAAAATGAGGATAGTGTTTGTTTCCAGAGCAGAGCTCCAAAAGCGTTGAATATTTCTAGATGAAAGTTACTGTACAGATCAGTCTAGTGGTGAACTGTTGCCTTTCGATGATTTGGGATTTTGAAAAATACTGGACAGCATTAAGTTTGTTCACTGAACTGAACGTATCCAATAGCAATGAACCAAAAGTGGGTATGAGTAGCAAAACTCCATTTCTGAATTGGCCAAGACCGGGGGATATGTCATCTCCTGATGTCTCTTGCTACATTTGAAGGAAATAGATTTCACATACAAAGATTATGGCACATTCCAAACTTGAGGTGGTTTGTTTGTTGTTTATCTCTGCCTTCACCCATGAAGATCCAGGTTATAACTAGTCTTCAGCAACTCCTGCTGGTCCAGACTCCATTATTTACAGATCACTGTCATTTGGCTGGAATATCAAACAAATATCTCTGCAGTCAACACTATTCCATCTTTATCACGGCAGTCTGTAATTAACATACATTTCAGCTGAAAGTTGCTGTACTTTAAACAGGTGGATGTGTTCACTTTCAAAGCTTAAAATGAACAGAGCTTCATTCTACAATATGGATCATAAGTGTATGATGAAGTGTATAATAAAGTGTTTGATGAAGAGTTTGATTAAGTGTTTGAATTAGTGTTTGATGAAGTGTCTGATAAAGTGTATGATGAAGAGTTTGAATAAGTGTTTGATGAAGTGTCTGATAAAGTGTTTGATGAAGAGTTTGATGAAGTGTTTGAATAAGTGTTTGATGAAGTGTCTGATAAAGTGTATGATGAAGTGTTTGATGAAGTGTTTGATGAAGTGTCTGCTAAAGTGTTTGATTAAGTGTATGATAAAGTTTTTGATGAAGTGTTTGATTAAGTGTGTGATAAAGTGTTTGACAGTAGAAGTGTTTAACCCAGTCTTTATGGTATGCGAGTCATAACATTCACAGTGCTAATAATATATAGCTGTTTGTGACATGGCCCTAGTAATATAGATATTTTAAGCTAGTCATGCTCATGCCACAAACAGCAGGCCCCAAACTCAACTTCTGAACCGAATATGATTTGTTTGTAAACATACTTCATGTACATAAACCCTCATTGACATTTCCCTGATCTTGATCCCCTACACAAGTAAATAGACACTGATGCTTCAATATTTACTTCAACTGCAGATTAGTGAAAGGTTTGATTGACATATTTGTGGACGAGATTGTGAAAGTTGTGCAGGTGTATTTACATAGACATGATACAAACGACAAACGACATAATCCACCTTTACATAAGTGGGAGAATATATATAGAAAGTGTCAGAAACATCAACACTTTTTTCCTACTTGAAACCTCAATGGGCAGATGTGTCAACACAATGTTGAGTTTTCGCCCTCCTTTTGACTATCTGATTAGATGTGCAGGTGATCCCAATATATAAGCCCTGTTGACACCGATGAGGGGATTTAGATGTCTGTGTTGCTTATGATTGGGGACAAACTATTGCTACTTGATAGGCTGTGGCTGAGTAGGGAACAAACAGATCCTATGCTGAGAGTGTCTGTTGATGGTATCTGATGGCCGTGCTTTGGTATGCTTGTGACTGACAGCTGTCATGATGGATTATGTCGCACTGACAGATATCGAGTTATCGACGTACATATGGATTTTTCTGGTGTGTTGGATATAAATAAAAGTGTGCTTTTGATATGTTATCGATATAGGTAGAATAGGATATAATGAAGTGCACAGTGGTATGACTTGACATTTGGGGTTTATATTGGCATGATTGTGATCAATATTTTATGATTGGTGTACAATATATTGACCATTTTCGGGGAATCTCAAACAGAGCAAATACATGGGTATTCATATTTCTTTGGCAGTTTAATTGTATTGTGAAATGTAAGGAGGTATTTTCAATGAATGTTGAAGTTTAATGTTATAAGCTTTATAGGAGATAACATACAGTCAAACATCATTGTGTCAAACTTCCGGGTTTTTTTAAGTCTCATTTGACATGTCATTGAAAAGGGAAAATTCATGGTGACCCAAGACAGAATGTGTCCCCAACACCCCTTTGCTAGGTGTAAGAGGCAACCTCATTGGAAACCTATTGGGATTCTGGGTTCGAATTGGTACACAGCAACCTATGCTGGTCGTTATGAGCGACCTCACGGATTGGGCAGGGTTTCTGATAAGAACACTTTCTGGGACTGATTATGAATCATCATGTCATGAAGATCTTTTCCATATTTGGTGATGATATGGAAGAATATCCTGTCAAGTGTTCCTGAAATCATGAAAATGTAACCCATGAAGATCCATGTTAGAATTGGTCCTCAGCAACCTTTGCTTGTTTTAAGAGGCGACTATGCTTGTCGTTATGAGGCGACTAATGGGATCAGGTGGTCAGGCCAGCTGACTTGGTTGATGCATGTCATCGTATCCCAATTTTGTAGATTGATGCTCATGATGTCAATTACTGGATTATCTTGTCCAGACTCTATTATTTACAGACTACTAACTGTCATATAGCTGAAATATTGCTGAGTTTGACTTGAAACAAACGAACATGAAAATGTGCTGATGCTCTTTGTATCAAGCAAAGTTACTGTTGGGTGGTCAGACTTGGTGAATGGACCGATGGCTTGTCAGAGTGCCCCAATAGCATGGATTGGTGCTCATTGGATTGTGTTCTAGATTTGATTATTTACACACCACAGTCATTGAGCTGGAACTTTACTGAGTGTCACATCAAATAACAAGCAAACAATGATAAGGGGAAACAGGACTTGACTCAACACGTGTCCTTGTCTTAAACCAAAAGGACGATGAAAGAAATCGGTGACTTCATTGTCACAACATATTCAAGACCTCATATCAGAGTATGGCAGCGCTGAGCACTGCGTAGAGTTGCTTTACCTAGGTGCACCAGAACCATTAGATTATAGGTTCAAATCCCAGATTTGCCCTGTAAATGTTTTAGCATATCTATTCTCATCGGTTTCACCAAAGTGGTAAACATCTAGGACCTGCATTACTTTAGGATATCCTCCCACATCAAGCTAACATACTGTGATATGACTGAAAGATTGTTAGAAACGACATTACTCCAAATTCACGTATTGTAATTCAATATTGAAGTACATTGATTGGAAGATCTCTTTCATTTACGTTTCAAACCAATCCTACATATACAGTTCCAAAGATTACTTTGATTAACTACATCCAAGGGCTATAGGATTACTGGATCTGTATTGCTCAAGAATGGATGATTATTCTACATCACCTATCTGAACATGCTAAAGCTCATAGGAAGGATCATAGCCCCATTAAAAGTCTCATCTTGCAACTGTAAGCATGTTAAGTGTCTGTATTCTGGTCCAACTATTGCGTGGCAATATCTATAGATATTCAAATAAGGTAGCAGTATCGTCCCTGTGCGTGTGTATTCACATTTTTCGGCGTGTTACAAACTGAGTCCTATGTTCCATATATAACTTGGTGATTGCGTGTGCTGTGACAACTAGACACCCGAGACCTGTTGTACCTTACTACCCCGTTTGTCCTAATGGCTAATTATGCACGTTCAAAGTGTCAATAAACTGTTCAATTTTTCATGACTGAGTTTTTTCCCCCCAGTTTTCATGATGGACATAAAAAGTATTGATTCCTGCTTGAATAGGGACGTAATTGGTAATCGTATGTTGCCAGGTAAATAAACACAGCATTGTTCGGGATTGTCTCAACATGAAATTAATCTGAACAACAACAGTCACTTGAGGAACAAAATGTTTGAAGTGGAATAATTGTGATGGATGGCCGGTTGACTCCAGTAGTAGCCCGTCCCCATGTGATATATGATGTTGGGGATAATTACGACCCCTTGTCACCCCGATTTGCAAGTCTACGTCTGGTGTAAGTTGTTTGGCCATCTAGCGATCAATTAAACATCTATCTGAATAGGGTGACAGACCATCGATTGACGATAACATAGTCACAGGCAGTGACCATCGCAATCCAGTTGCCGTGTTCTGTTACCTGTCAGATGTGACTGTTTCCGATTGGCTTTTGTCAGATCAGACTTCAGTGTTTGCTTGAGAAAGCTGAGTGAAAATCAATTACTTTGATACTGTTTGCCTGTCGGTTTGATGCTGGTATCAATAGTTATTTGTTATTGATATTTAGGGTTGGCTAAAGTTAGGAGAGGTGATTCTGTCAGAGGTGACTGGCGTTGTGAGGGAGATGCTGTAATCAATGCTGTCACTAGGTAGGGGGTCCTGAAAAGGAAATATGTTTTGAAGTAATACCTTAATTGGGTGATAATAATTCATTAGTTAATGTACAGGTACGATTGTGGATTTCACGACATGTCATTAGTCAAATGTATTGTGCAGAATTTCATACAAAGGATATAAAAAGATTCACATAAAAGTTGGTTTATCTGCCTAGGGCCAAACAAAAAACGTTTTGAGCCATTTGCTGAGATGCATCAGGGAGATATACATAACACAGTTTCCAGTGTCCTTTTAGGTTCATTACTAAAACAATTGTAAATTAGGAAGGGACAGACACCCCATGGGGATTCCTTGTATAAAAAGCTTGTGTACACCGTGACTTGAGTATTTATGAATTTGATGAAACTTATACGTGATCTCTCAATCACTTCCAGGGTTTGACTTAGCTATAAAAACATGCACCAGTGCAACTTTTATTGAAAAATGCAAGTGCATGTCAGAATGTTTCAAATTTGAGTTTAACCTATACTTGGACCTGCAACATCGATCTTTGAACACCTCCAATACCTCCAACATTTACTTACCACACAACGTCAATAATCCCTGAGTTAAGTTATTTTCATGCATTTTTGCGGCTTGGCGTCACTAAACAGTTAGTACTTCAAGATCATGTGCTCATATTTCAACTCTGATAAATTTATGAGAACAGGGTGCTTCCTGGTCTTGTCTGGGTCAAACAGATTTTCATGTCAACATGCTTCCTGGTGCAAGTTAAATCAAGTTCCTTAAATCCAGCCCTGACTTCAACAACAATATAAGGTCAATGTCACTAGAGGTCAAATTATGAAACATGGTTCAAATTTGAAATCTCAGATAAATTCATGAAAAATCAAGGTTTTTTCCATCCTTTAAGATAGATTCAAAGCAGCTAATTCAACACCCATCATATATCATGATTGAGTCAAATGTCAAGGTCGCTATGAAGTCCATTAAAGCATGGAATGAATTATAAATAGTTTCATTCAGGAAGTATTCTTGGTATGGTGTGGAAACTTCTTATTTGTAACAAATAATGTTCTGGCATGTGATTGGATGACATTGAAGGCCAAGGTCACTCAGTGGGAAGTAGACATTGGAGAGGAGACAGGCTAGCAGACTGTTTAGCTGTTATGTTGCATATGAACATATCATGGTTATTTGTTATTATGTCTCCCCCAGAATGGAGGGAGACATATTGTTTTTGGCACGGTTCCCGTCAGCGTCAGCGTCGGCGTTGGCGTTCCCACCGTTTCCGGACCATAACTCAGAAACCGTTTAATATTTTTTCGCGAAACTTTGTATACACATTAACCCAGCACTGAAGTGGTGCCTTTTGCTATTTAGAGATTTTTGACATTTTTATTTTTTCTCGTTTCCATGGAGATAACTTGAACATAGACTCTGAATGGGGGTAAGCTTGGTTTCCGGACCATAACTCAGAAACCGTTTAATATTTTTTCGCGAAACTTTGTATACACATTAACCCAGCACTGAAGTGGTGCCTTTTGCTATTTAGAGATTTTTGACATTTTTATTTTTTCTCGTTTCCATGGAGATAACTTGAACATAGACTCTGAATGGGGGTAAGCTTGGTTTCCGGACCATAACTCGGAAACCGTTTAATATTTTTTCGCGAAACTTTGTATACACATTAACCCAGCACTGAAGTGGTGCCTTTTGCTATTGAGAGATTTTTGACATTTTTATTTTTTCTCGTTTCCATGGAGATAACTTGAACATAGACTCTGAATGGGGGTAAGCTTGGTTTCCGGACCATAACTCAGAAACCGTTTAATATTTTTTCGCGTAACTTTGTATACACATTAACCCAGCACTGAAGTGGTGCCTTTTGCTATTTAGAGATTTTTGACATTTTTATTTTTTCTCGTTTCCATGGAGATAACTTGAACATAGACTCTGAATGGGGGTAAGCTTGGTTTCCGGACCATAACTCAAAAACTGTTCAATATTATTTCATGAAGTTGTAACATATTAACCAAGTCCTGAAGTGGTGCCCATTGGTTGTTTGAAATTTCTAGGAGTTCTATTTTTGTCACTGTTATTTAGTAATGGAGGGTGGGAATGAAGAGATGGGGTTTAACGTGAAGTAAACGAATGAATGGGGGTTAGGGGAGTGGGGGGAGACATATGTTTTTACGAGTAAAAACACTTTCTAGTTGAAAATTGAAATAACTTGTCATGGGATAATTCACTGATACATCAAGGTCACAGCAGGTTGACGTACCAATATGAAACGTTCTGTTTCAAAGTTGTTGCTACATCAGTAGGTTGTATTATCCGTCAGTCCATCTGTTAGTGCAAGATGTCTGGAGCAGATCTTGAAGACCGTACGATATTTCTTCACCAAACTTGGCACATAGATAGGTCTAGTGGTAAACTTGTGCCTTTTGATAGATTTTGATTTTTGGAAAAACTATTTCTCAAGTTTCCATAGCAACAACTTTGACTTTAGACTGAAAATGGCAGTTGTGCTTGATTCCTGAACAAATCACGAAAACCATACAATATTTCTTTACCAATCTTGGCACATAGATAGGTCTAGTCGTAAACTAGAGCCTTTTGATACCATTGCATTTGACATGCAATCAATATTACTAGTGGACGTCTTGATTCAATGACTATGTCCTCTTGTAATAAATTTTCAATAAATTTCATCTGTTATGGCATCTGTGGTATTGTCAGTGTCATAAAGCCTTTAGATGTATCTTAAGTTTAAACATGCAAAAGAGTGTCAAACTTTGGTCTTCAGAAACTGTAGTGGCCTGAGGATACTTTTGACATTTTCCCCCACATCTGATTGTCTCTCTTTCTTGTGTTCCAGAAAACGAAGATGTGAAACGTACAACATTGCGCGAGCTGAAAATGCTCCGCACATTAAAACAGGAGAATATTGTAGAGCTCAGGGAAGCATTCAGACGCAAGGGAAAGCTGTACTTAGTCTTCGAATATGTGGAACGGGTGAGTACCATTATCAAGATATTGGCTTAAACACATGACAAAAAGTGAAGATGCTATACCAGGCCATGTTTGGTGAACTGCTTGATTCACACTGCAATCTTCCCCAGACAACACAGGAAGACCTGGGGAAGTGGTAAGTCTGATGTGTTGTTACATGATGGTAGCAGTCGGCCAAACACTACCCCACAGTTGGCTCCTAGCATCACTTCTTGCCCAGGTAAGAATAGGCCCCAATGCAGTGTCAATAATTTTAAAACTCAACAAGACAGTCAGGCAGGGGACCCATAAGTGTTGCTTGCCCATCTACAAACTAACCTGCCCCCATTCAGACATATTTAAAAATCAAGGAAAATAAGAGACAAATTGCATCTTGATTCAGTTAAAAAAATGGAAACAATTTCTGGAGTTTGATAAAACTGAATAAGAAAAGAGTAACTGACAGACAGTCGGGTAGGTGGAGGAAATTTGATGCAGACCGACAGAAAAGTTACCAGCCGCGGGCAGGCGGACAGGCGGTTGTTTCAGACACTGCCCCTAAGTCCCATGCCTGTAAGAGGCATCTAACAGGAGGATCAGACATGATGGCTGATAGAGATTGTGTGACATTGAATGTCTACTAGATGAACCAGTGTTCTTACCATCAACCACTGGATTGTCGGGCCAAGATTTGAATACTTATCAGCACTACAAACTAACAGTTTTAGCCCACTGGTCCTTGATAACATAGCAAAACCCTTAAATAGAGCAAATTTCTATAAGCCCTTATGATACCTTAACCATTGAGCAGTTTGGCAAGGACTACAGGACTAGTGCCAATTTCTAACTGCTTTCTGCGATATAGCTGTTATGTTGCTAGCTTTGGGGCGGAAGTACTTGACCACCTGACTATGATAGTCACAGCACTAAGTATGTGTTGTAAAACAGGTTCAGTTGCAGGCATGGATGTTACTAGGCCAGTCTTAGAACTATGGCTGTCATAGATTATGTGATGGCAGTTACCATGGTTTTGACAGACGTTGTGCTATGATCTCTCTGTAAACCGTGCCGTGTTGTGCTTGGTTTGGTTGTGGAAACATTTATCTCTGAAAGTAGATTATTTAACTTGGGACATGGACAGCCCAGATGTTACAATTTGCTGTGCAGAGTTGCGTCCCTTTGGAAAATCTGAATCCAATTATAGAGTTTTCATTTCCATCTTTTCACCGTGATTAGAACAGCCTGCGACATTATCCACTAGTCCACTACTAAATGTTCTTACGGTCTAGTAAGATCAGCTTCTAATATCTTCTGAAAATGATGAAAAGTTTGGGGTAGTAGAATCCAAAGGTTATTGCACAGACTCTTATTATTCTTGGTTTGTCAGCACCATACCTGTGCTTGTGGACTTCACCAAAGTGGTAAACGTCTAAGACCTGCATCACTTCAGGTTTTCCTCCCACATCAATATGATCAAGCTGACATGCTGTGTTATAACTGAAATACTGTTCCAAGCATAGTTAAAATCCAACCAGTGTCCGAAATAACTGCCTGCCTGCCTGACTGCCTGCCTGCGGCTAGTGACTTTTTTTGCGGGCTACATGAAATCTGTCTCCACCTGCCCCACTGTCTGACAGATAATTTTAAGACTACTTACGCATTCAGTATTCCTGGTAGATTCTCAAGTAATTGTTTGCATTATTTCAACTGTATCAAGGCATGATTTGTCTCTTATTTTCCGTGAATTTTCTCATGCTGTCGTTGGCGATCCATTACTAATGGTGGATGAAAGGAAGGTACTACTCTTACATTGCTCAGTCTGGTCAGTTTTAGTGTGTTGGGATTGATGTTAGGACACAAGGTCAGAAATACTTCTTAGGGCCTCGAGGGGGCACGGGTGGCGCAGTCGTCTAAGGCGCCGCGATTCGCTGTACAGAGTTGCGTCCCTTGGGCACGCCAGAAACCTATGATTGTGGGTTCGAATCCCGGTTGCCCCGATTATGTTTCTAGGTTTGTCAGCACCATACCCGTGCTCGTGGGTTTCACCGAAGTGATAAACGTCCGAGACCTGCATCACTTCGGGCTTTCCTCCCACATAAAGCTGTCATGCCGTGATATAACTGGAATACTGTTAAAAGCGGCGTAAAACCCAACTCACTCACTCACTCTTAGGGCCTCGAAAACACAGTACGCAAGGATACATTTAGATTCAATATTGTCTGGATGCAGGCAGGTAACTGTAAAGATGGTCATGCAACAGGTATGGGTCACCTGACTGACTGTCTTGTTGGGTTTTAAAATTATTTCGAACCCTGAACCCAACCCAACTCTACTCACCCACAAAAATAAACTCTATTACATGTTTGTCTGTGTTTATTAACTACAATGTGCAGTTCATTTTCCTTATCTATGTTGGCATATAACTTTTCCCCAGTCAAAGATTAGTGTTGATCTGGAGAACGTGCTCCTGCCCACGACAAGCAATAAAGTCAATAGTTAGCCAGTTTCTCAGAGATATATGTGTGCTGTACAACCATGACGGCTGAATCAGAGAAAGTCAACAATCTTGGATATATATAAATAAATAACAGCAGCACAAACAACTTGGATCATGATAGATGGCACGAGGTAGCGAGTCCGATATCATGTCAGTGAACCTATCTCCCAGTGCAAGTCTAACAGATTCTTGACTTACACAGATGTGGGTAGCAGGGCCGCCTTTTGTGTGGGGTTAGTGACCCTGACAGTAGGAGTAGGTATTAATCTATGTCAGGAATACCCACATTGTGTCTCCCCATACATTGCATACCGTCCTGAAATACCTGGCTAATATTAGCGATTTGATTTACCTCCCATTAAACAAACTGCTATAGGGGTGAAGGGATCAGGTATTGGTGAGCACGCTGAGAGTTGGCTTGCATTGCTTGAATAATAATCAGTAGTCGCTGAGGTGTGTGGTATGCGAGTCCTCTGCTTGTCAGGACATGCGTTGTGGGTGGGGTGGCCCAGATCCTAGTATAATGGACTCCTGATCTGTTGGGAATCATTGGGAATGTAGTGGCATTGTCTGGACTAGGAAGTGAGGAATAAGATATGTAGATAAGGGGTATCCTATGGTTCAGTGAGCATTGTACATGGTACACTATGCAATGGTAGAAGTCGTGTTTCTTTCACATGTTGTAATAGCTGAGTGAAATGAATCTCCTGACCAACTTGCCTCGTTTCTGTACGTTATAGTGATTATTTATGGACTATTCAGGAGGTTAGAATTTTTTTTCTTTCCACTAGTCTGCAAAATTATTACATAGTTGCCATCTACCGTAGATCTACATAATGGTAAAAGTGGTAGTCCACAAGGAAATTAGTCCTTCCTGAATTAAACTATTTTCAGACAAGCAAACATGTTAATATCAGGTCAGTGGGGTAGCCTAGTGGTTAGAGCTTTTGCTTTTCATGGCGAAATACCGGGTTCGATTCCCCACATTGGTACTATGTTAAGCCCATTTCTGGTGTCCCCAGTCGTGATGTTGCTGGAATATTGCTAAGAGGGGTGTAAAACCATATTCACTCACTATGTTAATTTCGAAGCTTACTATTATTAGGTGAGCGTACACACGATCTGTATAGCATTGTCAAGCAAGGCTGACAACTATAGCTTGACGTTTACTGCCTAGTTTGTTAATTTGCCGTGATATGTTGTCTTTGTTCATCCATCTGTCTGTCCATCTACTCAACCAGCAATAAAATTGACATTTTCTAAATTTTTGAAACCACGAGGTAAAAGGAGATGTCAGTTATATGGATGATTTTCTATGGTTCACAAAATTCTTAACTTGTTTAACTTGGCCTCCATGTTTTCCTATTACTGAGACATTTCTGCACGTATCAGTATCATAACTTTCACATATTCATGTTGTGTTGAACATTCAAATTTTCTGTGACTTAACTTTATATCTCCTTGTTTTCACTTTCACTATGACCTTTGACATAAAGCAAATTATTCCAGAACAATTCAATTGAGCTACAAAGCTCTATTTTTCAGAGTTTTTATTTTAACATTCTGAACTACACATCAGTCTCTGACATTATTTGGGGGCAAGGTTGGCCCAGTCATATAACGCGCCACAGAGTGCAGAGTCAGCTTGGGAATGTTTTTACCAGAGACCTGGCAAAATGTATTCAGATACACATATAAAACAATCTGGTCATGCGTCCACTGAAGTTGACTGAACCTTTATCTGTATTCAAACATAAGTCAGGAGGAATGTGTGCATAGTCAGAAAGAAATGCGAACATTAGTGACTTGTAGAGTACCTGAGTTACCCGTCCCAGCCCCACTGGCACATTTCCTCCACTAAAAAGTTGGGGTCACGGGTGGCCCTGTCATCTAAGGCGCCACAATTCACCGTGTAGAGTGAATGTGGGTTCAAATCCCGGTTCAACCTGATTATGTTTCTAGGTTTGTCAGCACCATACCCATGCTCGTGGGTTTCACCGAAGTGGCATCACTTCAGACTTTCCTCCCACATTAAGCCGACACGTCATGATAAAACTGGAATACTGTTATAAGCGGCGTTAAAACTCACTCACTCACTCACTCACTCACTGTCCTGTACGATGTGCTCTGTGTTGCAGAACATGCTGGAGCTGCTGGAGGAGATGCCTAACGGAGTGCCGCTGGAGAAAGTGCGGAGCTACATCTACCAACTGTGCAACGCCATACAATGGTGCCACTCCAATGAGATTATACATAGAGGTAGCTGAACTTACAGAAACATACATTGACATCATAATCAAAGCCTGGAATTTTATTGTAGATCTTAATATGTGTGTAAAAAAATCATTTAATTTTTTTTGAAGTACGTCACATACAGCTTTTCCATTGAACGAAAGATTGATCACGTAACCATGAAATTGACGTTTATAAGTGAACAAATGACACTATTTGATGTTAATTCATTTTTCATAAGTCCGTGTTCTTGAAGATGTAAACATTAACAGACTACTTCCACATTCCTTGGGGGGCACAGGTGGCCCAGTCGTCTAAGGCACTGAATTTGCTGTGCAGAGTTGCGTCCCTTGGGCACGCCAGAAACCTATGATTATGGTTTTAATCCTGGTTCGCCGCGATTATGTTTCTAGGTTTGTCAGCACCATACTCGTGCTCGTGGGTTTCACCAAAGTGGTAAACATCTGAGATCTGCATCACTTCGGGCTTTCCTCCCACATTAAGCTGACATGCCGTGATATAACTGGAATACTGTTAAAAGAGGCGTAAAACCCAACTCACCCACCCACATCCACATTCCTGGGGAAACCCCTGGGAATTCCTTAGCACGAATACATACAGAAGCGTTGTTTGTGATCATTAAGACACTTTATCTTGAACTCGGCGTTTTAGTATACATTGAGAAACGTCAGAATTTGACTGCCTGATCATTCTCGATTATCCTTGCTACAACTCATCCTAGTGAACAAAACAAAGAATTTGCACATTCAAACTATCGTCGTATCAACTCGTTCCGTGTCTAGGCTGACTGTGACCGTCTACAGCAATCTATGAATTTACCTTAGTATCTGTCTGACATATCTTTAATCACCTCATAATGACCCGCCAATTGATCAATGATGACTAATAGAGGTTATAACCTCTTTATCATATAATGTCATTCGGGCGGTCGGGTAGCCTAGTGGTTAAAGCGTTCGCTCGTCACGCCGAAGACCCGGGTTCGATTCCCAACATGGGTACAATGTGTGAAGCCCATTTCTGGTGTCCCCCGCCGTGATATTGCTGGAATATTGCTAAAAGCGGCGTAAAACCATACTCACTCACTCACTATAATGTCATTCTTCAATTCTGTTCCCGAAAATCTCTTTCCATCTCTCACAAACATGACCTAAACATTGCAATTTCCCTGGAATGTTTCGCATTAATATTTATTACGTCAGAGGGCGAGTGATGTGTCAATCGGACAGTGACAGTAGCCAATATAGTTCCAACAGAAACCTGTTTCTTAACTAAATATATGCAAAACAATTGCCTACACAAATTGTTTTTACTTGCCTTTCGCGGCAATCCATCGGTCTGTCTGATAGAGTAACTGCCCTTTGTCAAAGGGAAGCTACTCTAACCCTAGTCTATGAAACGTCGCGGCCACAGTCAGACGTTGTTGATAGTCGGCCTGTCCTGTAATAACGTTAACAACAAAACGAAACAAGGTAACAATTCAAACATATTTCGGCCAAATACAACTACCGTATTCGACGTAATAAGCGCCCAGGGCGCTCTCAAAATTGGAAATAGGGGGCTCTTATCAGAATATTATTTTGGTGAAAAAAAAAAAGATTTGAAAGATAAATTTCGTGGTTTATGCTGACAGTCTGAAATGTTTATGTACGACAGATATATTTTCCAGAATTTAATTGCCCATGATTAAGGGTGCATATAACACACGAGTGCGTATTATACACGAATAAATAAGTCTTGTGTACATTGATCAATCGGAAGGGGTGCCAATTGGGATTGTTCACTAGCCAGTATATTAGCAAATATCGCCGTGGGCGCTTATTAGAGCGGGGCGCTTATTACGCCGAATACGGTATTTTAATTTGTTGAAAAGGTTCCAAGCCGCAGAGGTCTACAAGAACAGATATGTTAAGTGATCCCGCTTGACAAGTGCCCTCACTAAATTGTTTCGCAAATTATATCTCCAAAGTTGCCAAAACTTGTAAAATGCCTTAGCTACGTCACAGTTAGACACTGATTTTCGGTATGTTAGACTATTCTTTTTATAATGATAGCAATTATCCCTGTAGTTAATTCTGACTCGATTACCGAATGACAAGGGCTATGTCATGTTTGTTTATAAACAGTGAAAGTAGCCCCTACTTTACCTTTGATATTTGCATCTCTATCAGCATATGACCCCAACGGATATTGTTTTTATCAGTTGGCTTTATCCTGCCGAGAAACCCACCCATAATATGATAAAAACATGTAACCGCCACAGGTTCACTAACAACTTCCAAAATCTCTCCTAGCACGTTTATAGCGTCAGCCATTTTGACGTCTTGTACTTGATGTGAATGTATTACGAGGCGCTGTCATTGTGACTGACTTACTGAGGTAGTTCTAAACAGACCTTTCTCATCTAAAGGTGATATTATTTGAATACATGTGTTGTGTCAGATGTTTCTGAAGAGCAAGTTGTGCATATATATACACATGTCACATCTCTTTTTGAGGAACTATTTTATTGCGCGATACAGCTAAAAAAAATGTGATAAACAATTATAAGAATTGACTTTCACTTTGTGTGATTCCATTGGGGTATGAACTGTCATAGAGTGATGGCCAACCTCGCAAGCTCCGACGTTCGTATAGGTTAGGCCTCACTCTATGTAAGTCAGTGTCAAATCTTTAAAAAATACCATTTTTGAAATATTTTATGTTGTCTTCAACTATATTAGGCTAATTTATTTTGAAAAATATGATTTAGAACTTACTTTATTTTTGTATATACCATGTTCACAGTATTTTTTGTTGTATTATTTGTCGAAATTTCTTTCCTTCATTCAGAACATTTTCCTTTCGAACTGTCTCACCAGTAATGTAACAGGTAAAAAGACACAGTCATGATCAGGTAGAATGATGTAGGTTTCATGGTTTCCTTATGTGTGTGAACTGACATGGAAGTAATCTTTGGTTGAGATAATCAATACATACTGATTGAAGGGTGCTGTTGGTAAGTCAAACAGGACCTCTAGCATTCTACATGTTTCCTAGCCAGATCTTATATACATCCAACCAGTTGTGAAACACCGTCACCTTCAGTGTGCTTGGGCCATTCAATATGGTTCATACCACATCAATCATGTCGCTTGTTTTTGTGTGGGGCTGAAAAGAAACCAAACAAGGCCAAGTTGTTTGGCTATACGTGGCATTGTTAGTGTATCGTGGAGTCAAGTAGCCGCAAGCAATGTGTATTACTTAATACCCAATACAAGCCTAGGTTATAGAAGTGTGTTAGCAGATTCTGGTCTGACCAAGGAGTTAGTTGTTGAAGCTAGAGTGCAGCATGCTAGATTAATTGCAGCCTTTCGAGGCGGACAATTAAAGGGATATTTGTTGTAATATAAGAGCTAAGCCAGTGGCCTGTTAGCCAGAGTGTTTTATTGGGTATTTGGGACGCGGAGCAGATTAATCTTGTGGGGTTGAGTCATGCTGAATTAAGTTGATATGTGATTGTAATGTGTCAGTGAAAGTGTTTTTGATGTTGGTTGATTTTGGAGTGTGAAGAAATGAGGAACTAATACATGTTATATGTAGTTGTACAAGTTAAGAACAATACTGACTTAGAATTTGTATTTGAATTTAAATTCACGGTATTGTTCTTTGAGAAAATAATGTAATGGTCAAAATGTTTAATTCTTTTTTCTATCAATTATGATAGCTTAATTGGTTAAGGAGGTATCAAATCTGGTTTCTAGAATTTCCACAAATTATGTATTACATATAACAACAGCAATATACAATATTAAATAATTGTTATGGTTAGGATGTTTATTTAATTTCCTGGGTTTGAATGTTATGTTTCATTTTTTGATGATGTGCCAATTTTACATCAACCTTATTAAGAAGGGAGATAAGCACAGATTGGTGTGGTCATATCACCATGTGCTTTAAGCAGCATGCATGATGAAGTCATGCTAGGAGCCAGTGAAGTCTAAAGTAATGGTAAGGCACATTTAGTCACTCATTTGAAAATTCATAAATAGGAATTCGTTTATAAATGCATCTTCTTAATTTCTACCATACACAGTATCTTAATTCTTCATAATTGAGGGTTTGTGGCTGGTTTAGACTTGGCTCATGGAAATACACCCTAGACTTCAACTTTGTTCATAATATTCTCATGGCCTAAAGTTATGAAAGGTATATGAAATATTAAGCTTCCAGTTTATTTAATGCAGTTGAGGCATTGTTTCTGTACTGTTATTGGACTATCATGTACTTAGTGCAATTTCCAGGTTTGTGTTGTACACCTTATTGTTAAATGTTCATGTCTGTAAAGTAAACAAGCCCAACCTAGTATTACTGCTGTATTATGAAGTTAATGTGTAAATGTAGGAAATTCAAAAGCCATATACTCAATGAAATCCTTTCTATTTGTTACAGTTAATCTAATGTTTGTACATGAGAGTTGAGACACAAGAATAGGAAAGAATAAAGAATCAAGATTGTTTAGAACTTCATGTTGTAATCAACAAATAATATGTACTTTCAATATCGATAGCTCATGTCATTCACATGTTGCTGTTATGTGGTGATGTTTACAAGGCACAAATTGTATATTTACCTTGTAAAATTCCTTCCTGTGTTGAAGAAAGTATACCTTGGTTTGAAGTAAAACAGTGTGGAAAAAGTAATTGCACTCTATGAACCAGTTACGTTATTATGGATAATGGTTTGTTTTGTATACCTGTTACCATGGTTACCCCCCTTCTAGTTGCCTCAGGGGGCGGTCGGGTAGCCTAGTGGTTAAAGCATTTGCTCGTCACGCCGAAGACCGGGGTTCGATTCCCGACATGGGTACAATGTGTGAAGCCCATTTCTGGTGTCCCCCGCTGTGATATTGCTGGAATATTGCTAAAAGTGGTGTAAAACCATACTCACTCACTCATTCAAGTTTCCCCAAGCTAAAGGACTCAGACTTTTATCCAACATCTATGTTTCCAAGAGCTCTCTAACTATGCTGTGGCCACAAGGAAATTCTGTCATTGTTGCCAGGGGCTAGTAGACATGTTCAAGTGAGATGTGCATTCAAACATTTAGTTACAATAATGTAAGAAGAATTACTAGAAATTCTGTTGGATTTGTATTTTCTGGATGTGTAGCTTTCATGTTGTCAGTAGGTTAGATGATTGGCATAAGTTCTTCCATAAATATTTGGTATTGTTTGACTCAAGTCTAGTTAGCATGGTTAAAGGGCTTCGAACAATATATTATATATTCATTCAATAGACATCACAGAGTGATTAATAGCATTTTTGTAATTTGGTAACATCTAATCAGTCATTGATGTCAGGAACATGGTATTTATGACCAGAGCTCGATTTAAGGAACTTGATCTATCCTTCATCAGGTGCATGTTGCACCTGGTCCCATAAATTTATGAAAGTTGAAACATAGGCTGGTCTGCTGCCAGTGTCACAGAAACATGTGCACACAGTCTTGAAGTACCCCTAGTTTGATGATGTCGAGCCCACAAAAGCATTACAAATTGCCAAACCACAGTGAACAGTAATATGGTAAAGAATATGGTAAAGAATAACCTAGAAGTATTTATGAGTTCAAAGATTGATGGTGTGTTGACAAGTAAGGGTTAGGCAGGTACAAATTTTGAATTGTTTTACATTCACTTTGTGCATGTTGACATAAATATTAGGCTTCAATTTTTAATAATAGGTTGCACTGGTGCATGTTTTATATAGCTAAATCGACCCCTGATAACTCTCAATAGTCTCATGTCTTTGTTGAATATGGTGGGGTGGTTGGGTGTTGGTTTGTATGACAAACATCTGACTTCAAGTCTCCATTAGGATTGTGTTTGGAATGTTGTTCTTGATGTGATGTTGCTGTGATATCTTCCAAAGCAACGCCGGACATTACTCACTCATTTCTTTGCAGATATCAAACCTGAAAATCTCTTGATAGGAAAGAATGATGTCCTCAAGTTGTGTGACTTCGGTAAGTAGGACTCAGTCAGGAGACGTGTGGAGCAATCTCACTAACATCAGATCTAAGTTCTCGCTGCCGCTAAACAAAGATCTGAGGACATCCCACTACGGGTCACGTCAGAACGACCTTTCGTGAACCTTGACCTCCCACTGAAACGACTAACAAGAAGTCGACATCAGCCAATTAGAAAGCAGCTTTCTCGAGCTTTACCTCACTCGTTTCAACCCGGCGACTTCCATTTCAGACCACGCTTGAAAAATATGTTGAAACAGTACTCGATTAAAATTTTGAAAACTGAACAAACGAACATTCCGGAATGTGTTATATATCGTTGCGATTGTATGGCAATGCTTCCCACGTACTGTGCAACGCCTCCGTTCAAATGTTTCAAAACGAGAGATAGATGATAATTTTGACGGAATTAGTCATATGGGCCGTAACTGTCATTCAGAATACCCTGTGTTAATGTTTTCGAGGTTGCATGATTAGAAAACACATTCCGACTGTCCTTTTCATGATCTGGTAAGCGACGCTTTGATTGGTCTGATGAAAGGTCGTTCTGACGTGACCCATAATGGGATGTCTTCAGATCTTAGTTTAGCGATAGCGACAAGGACTAAAATCTGATTTTACTGAGATTGCATGTGAAGAGAACCAGATATCATCTCTACTGACATGTGTTTATTGAGTGACACCAGAAAACATTATTACAAGTCAGATTGAGAGGAAATGAGATGTAGTTAAAAAGAACAATTTTGAAGTTGAAGTTGTGAATCCTTTGAAAAATCAATGTCAAATTTATCAAAAGAATTACAATAAAATTTGTTTTATGACCCCCCAAAACATTGGGTTACATTGTTTGGACTAAAGTTTCCTTGAGGAAAGGTCTACTCAGCAAGCCATTCATCCAAAAGATTAAACTTTCAGCAAATGTCAATACTTACTTTTCTTTAAAATCAGTTTGGGTCAAGGAATTGCTTATTTTAGAAAGAAAATGATCTGTAAAGTTGCCTCTAATCGGCCTTATTCATGCAGTAGTGGAACCACTGAACTTGATGTTTTAGATATTAAGTTTGTTGTCTAATTATGAAATTACCATGAAAAGAGCAGCTGTTTGTGATGTGGAGAAGGAGCTGTAGTCGGCCATGTCCCTGATGTGACTTGTGGCAGGATGAGCGTCTCTGTTGCAGGCTTTGCCCGGACTATCTCTGGCGGCACCAGCGGCTTGTACACAGACTACGTGGCTACACGGTGGTACCGGTCTCCGGAACTGCTGCTGGGGTAAGCTAATCATCTATTTAGAATGTCTTGTATCAAATGAGTCTAACTCACCCTCTCTCTTGCAAATGAACTGCTATTTGTTCACATCTGTCTATCATTTCTGTATGGTCATGAATCTACAGTATAAGATCAGTAACCATACTCATTAAGAACCCAAAATGTCATTTAGAAAGTGGTCAAATATAACAAATGTTATATTTGGGATAACACTTTCTCAGTATAGTAGAGATTCTAGTACTTTTTGGTTGAGTCCCATCTGGCATTCGAAGCCACACTGCCAGAGTGAGGCACCTAATCGTCAGCACACAAAATCAGCAAGTATAACATTTGTTACCATGTGTAAATTATGACTGCCCAATCTAGAGGAGTTGAGTTGGTTTTTCAGCCAGTGAGATGTCAGGTTTCTAAAGTGATTCATTTCTTCAGTGCCACAGTTGGGAAATTTTGATCCTAACCATGTTGACAATGGAAAACCCACACCGAACACAAATATTCCTCAATAGTTGAGATGTAGATGCCATACAGCTCACATATGATGTAGTGTATTAAATATTAACAACAAATATCGCATAGCCTTTATTATTTTCCATTTGTAACTGCCCAACCCCTAAATATAGTGATAGGGTGTTTACAATGTGTGACTTGTTTGATCATGACAAGTATGGCATTGCTCATAACGCTGTTTGTCTGACTCAAATTGCCAAGTTCTAATGTCGTTTAACTTCAAGTAAGCAGAAGTCTATTTGTACTCTGTGCTCAAAGCAAGACATTTATGCTCATTACAGGACATCTATGCTCTGTGCAGATCATCTCTGCTTCATGTAGCACATTTATGTTCCATGCAGAGCTATTTTTTAAGCAGGATATATGTGGTCTATGTAGGACATCTAAGCTCAACTATCTGCTTCATGCAGGACATCTATGCTCCATGCAGGACATCTATGCTCATTTCAGGACATATATGCTCTATGTAGAAATTCTATTCTCTATGCAGGGCATGTATGCTCATTGCAGGACATCTATGCTCATTGCAGGACATCTATGCTCTATGCAGATCTATTCTTTATGTAGACAGAGGTGCTCTATGTAAGACATCTATGCTCATTGCAGGACATCTATGCTCATTGCAGGACATCTATGCTCTATGCAGATCTATTCTTTATGTAGACAGAGGTGCTCTATGTAAGACATCTATGCTCATTGCAGGACATCTATGCTCATTGCAGGACATCTATGCTCTATGCAGATCTATTCTTTATGTAGACAGAGGTGCTCTATGTAAGACATCTATGCTCATTGCAGGACATCTATGCTCTATGCAGGACAACTGCTCATTTCAGGACATATATTATCTATGTTAGAATTCTATGCTCTGTGCTTGACACCTGTGGTCTATGCAGGACATCTATGTTCCATGCAGACCTATTCTTTATGTAGGACATCTATGCTCTCTGTAAGACCTCTATGCTCTTTGCAGGACATCTATGCTCTATGTAAGACATCTATGTACATTTCAGTGCTGCGTACGGCAAGGCGGTGGACATCTGGGCCATCGGCTGTATCCTGGGCGAGCTGAGTGACGGTCAGCCGCTGTTCCCCGGGGAGAGTGAGATTGACCAGCTGTTTGTCATACAGAAGGTCATAGGGCCACTGCCCCCAGACCAGATGAACATGTTCTACAAGAACCCCCGATTCTCAGGGCTCAAGGTAGGAACAGGAATGTCTCTAAGATGTGAGAAGACATTTTTACATTCACAGGAGGATCTCTTGGGCAGCATAAGCTTCTATGACAGATGAAGCCCCAAGCTTTTCTTATTATATGAATTGAATAACTGAGATTTATAATGTTGACTTAAATGTAAACTGAAAAAAACAGGACATTCTGGAATGTCTATGATAAGGTCGAGATTGTATGGCAGTACTTCACACGTGCAATGGAACGTCTCTTCCTTTCAAATGTTTATCCCAATGAAGCAAGATATGGACGATGATTTTTATGAATCTGTCATACAGGCTGTCATTCGGAATACCCCATGTTAACCTTTTCGAGTTTGCTTGATTAGAAAACACATTCCAACTGTCACTTTCCTGATCTGGTAAACGACGGTGTGATTGGTCTTATGAAAGGTCATTCTGACCTGGGCCGTGATGGGATGTCCTCAGATGTCACAGGGACTAACTTGGGTCAAGTGTACAGACTGTGAATTGATTGAAGTGTCGAATTAACAAACTTGTGTTACTGAAACTAATGTGTGTTGTGTGTCTTCATTACAGAAGTTGTTGTCTGTATTCAAAAAAGTGTTTTTTGTGTTTGTAGTTCCCAGCAGTGGCAAGTCCTCAAACGATAACCAAACGGTATCTGGGAATCTTGAATAGTGTCCTCATAGACTTCATGCAAGTAAGTAACGGCACAGCATGATTGCTAGACTAACATCTAGTCTCTGAAATGAAAATATCTTACAGAGACAAAAACAGTTCTTAAATTATCTTAATAAAAATAAAATAAAAAGGAGCCCAGAGACTCTTTCATTTTCAGACTGAAGTAATCTAGACTTGCAGTATAGTATAGACTTGCATGGGCTGTATTAGATATGTTTGTATCAGGGTCTGTATGACTGACAAGATGATTGCCAAAGCCATCTTCCCGAGGCAGGAGAGGTAACTGACTTTAAAAGTCCAGTTTCCACCCTTGCCGAACTAGGCTGGAATTACTGGGCTTGATCGTAGCGCCACCAGTGGCTATGACCAGTTCTGTCCCTTCTAAGCCTCTCCTATGGACCAATCAGATTCCACTTCTCGTATCACTTGTTTGCTTCACACGAAATGGTGCCGCCCAGTCAGGACGATCTGATCGATAATCAAGATCTATATTGTGATAAAACGCGTCTTACATCGCGAAATGCATCAGATCACGTGAGCCCCTTGATTAAAAACATGAAAAGATTTGGAAAATATCTGCCGACAACAAGCTGACGGTGCACATGCTTTGCAAATCCTGCAATCGACAGTTTACGAACCGGATTTGGATTTCGGTGTGCGCTTTTGATTGGACTATGCATAGCCAAAATGTAACTCCATAATACCAGCCTAGTTCGGCAAGGGTGGAAACTGTTAACTCTCTTGCCTTGGGAAGATGGCCAAGTCTGATGGAGGCAAGATTGTCAGACTGCCGCTGTGTGTGATATGTTAGCCTTTCATTCTTTCCTAAATTCCAATAGTGTAGCCTGATTTACATATTGGTACCAATGACCAAGTTTACAAATGGCTGAAACTTTACTGAATGTAGCATGATTCACAAAGTTGATTTTCTTCATGATCAGCATTCCACAAAATTCTGTGTTTCCATGAATGTTCCTTGCGTGTTCCAGCGAACACTGCAACTCGACCCACTGGACCGATGTCCCATCGAGGAGTGCCTCAATCATGATGCATTCGTCACAGAACAGCTGCTGCATCGCAACAACCGCGTCTCCATAAAAAACTATACCTCAAACAAGAAGCAGAAAACTGACATCACTGATGACATCACTAGGTAAAACTAATGTATCATACTATATGTTCTCTGGGTAGTTGAAAATTATGTGGTGCGGTTCTATAAAGCGTTGTATAAACACAGTGCAGGTTTGAGAGGACAGTGTCGTGTTTGGCTGATTGATTGAATGGATGGATTTGTGTAATACTTTGACATTGTTTTCTGCTTCATGAAGGTTGATGGTACAGTTGTACCCCAGTAGTGCCGATCACGCTGTCATCCCCTCGTCCAGGGTCATTCACTTACAGGTTGACACGATAATGCATGAATAAACACTAATGTCACACAACACTGCTAGTAAGATTTAGAGCCCTGTTGGGATTTTGGGGTCAACAGGTCAAGAGGCAATCAAATGAATCAGGTGGTCAGACTCGCTGACATGGTTGGTGCATGTTGTCGTATCCCAGTTGCATACGTTGATGCTCATGATGTCAATCACTTGATTGTCTGCTCCAGACTCGATTATTTACAGTCCGCCGTCATATAGCTGGAATATTGCTGAGTGCGGCGTTAAGCAACAAATAAATAATAAATTAATGAGGTGACATATATTTTCGGCTTTAACCAAGACGCACATACACACATATACATCAATAGAACTTAGATTCATTTAAGTGGCCTAAATCTCTGCATTCTAAACAAAGACATGTTGTGGCATAACTACATCAAATTATTGTTGCTGTTCAATGACCTGATCTGTCTGTACAGTGAGAACATGAAGAATACTGACCGGCCTGGCACAGGGGCAGGGCAGGAGAACCAGGTGTTTGAAGCGGAGAAGATGGACACAGATGAGGAGAAGAGCTATGTGATCCAGGGAACCTCTTCCTCCACTGGAGACATGAAGTTCCTGAAGCAGGTGCGAAACCAGTCCACTGCCAACTCGGCCAACAAAACCAGTGTGGTGCTACGTCAGGTCAAAGGACAGCAACACGGGGAGGACGAGGATGAGGAAGACTTTGGGGAGGGGGGCAGTGCCAGACCCCAAAATCGAGCAGTAAGCAGAACAGAGATTACCATTATGGATGCTGATCCCAGGCAGGGAAACAAATATCCCGAATCTAAGAAGTCCACGTTTGACAATCGCCATCAAAGTACATTTCAAGATTTTCGTAATGGAAATATTTTGGAGTCGAATGCAAACTCTTCTAAAAATCGAACTCAAGGACATCCAGACTCAAGTGCTATGCAGTCGTCGAATGATGACAAGATGGACTGGACAGTGAGTGACTCTCGGTACATGAAAAAGAGAGATAGTGTGATGGACGTGCATCAACATGAACCTCCGGGGGGTGGGGAAGAAGAGGAGTTTGAGTCCTCGCCCCGGGGAAAGAGCAATACCTTCACCATCAGTCTTCAGGCCCCGGGGCAGGGGCATCCCACCGGTGGAGGTGGTGTGGGGGCCTACCCCACGGGTGGAGGTGTAGGAGGTGGGGGGAAGGGCAGCAACAATGCTGCCAGTCCGAGGATGGACAGGAAGAAGGTGAGAAGACGCACATCACGAAGCAGCACTCAGGTACATCACAGCAGGTTGCTTGTTACACTGGTGATGGAGTAGGCTACTTGTTACACTGGTGATGGGGGTAGTTAGAGGTTAACTAGAGTAGGCTGCTTGTTACACTGGTGATGGAGTAGGCTACTTGTTACACTGGTGATGGGGGTAGTTAGAGGTTAACTAGAGTAGGCTGCTTGTTACACTGGTGATGGAGTAGGCTACTTGTTACACTGGTGATGGGGGTAGTTAGAGGTTAACTAGAGTAGGCTGCTTGTTACACTGGTGATGGAGTAGGCTACTTGTTACACTGGTGATGGGGGTAGTTAGAGGTTAACTAGAGTAGGCTGCTTGTTACACTGGTGATGGAGTAGGCTACTTGTTACACTGGTGATGGGGGTAGTTGGAGGTTAACTAGAGTAGGCTGCTTGTTACACTGGTGATGGGGGTAGTTGGAGGTTAACTAGAGTAGGCTACTTGTTACACTGGTGATGGGGGTAGTTGGAGGTTAACTAGAGTAGGCTACTTGTTACACTGGTGATGGGGGTAGTTGGAGGTTAACTAGAGTAGGCTGCTTGTTACACTGGTGATGGGGGTAGTTGGAGGTTAACTAGAGTAGGCTACTTGTTACACTGGTGATGGGGGTAGTTGGAGGTTAACTAGAGTAGGCTACTTGTTACACTGGTGATGGGGGTAGTTAGAGGTTAACTAGAGTAGGCTGCTTGTTACACTGGTGATGGAGTAGGCTACTTGTTACACTGGTGATGGGGGTAGTTGGAGGTTAACTAGAGTAGGCTACTTGTTACACTGGTGATGGGGGTAGTTAGAGGTTAACTAGAGTAGGCTGCTTGTTACACTTGTGATGGAGTAGGCTACTTGTTACACTGGTGATGGGGGTAGTTGGAGGTTAACTAGAGTAGGCTGCTTGTTACACTGGTGATGGGGGTAGTTGGAGGTTAACTAGAGTAGGCTACTTGTTACACTGGTGATGGGGGTAGTTGGAGGTTAACTAGAGTAGGCTGCTTGTTACACTGGTGATGGGGGTAGTTGGAGGTTAACTAGAGTAGGCTGCTTGTTACACTGGTGATGGAGTAGGCTACTTGTTACACTGGTGATGGGGGTAGTTAGAGGTTAACTAGAGTAGGCTGCTTGTTACACTGGTGATGGAGTAGGCTACTTGTTACACTGGTGATGGGGGTAGTTGGAGGTTAACTAGGGTAGGCTGCTTGTTACACTGGTGATGGGGGTAGTTGGAGGTTAACTAGAGTAGGCTACTTGTTACACTGGTGATGGGGGTAGTTGGAGGTTAACTAGAGTAGGCTACTTGTTACACTGGTGATGGGGGTAGTTACAGGTTAACTAGAGTAGGCTGCTTGTTACACTGGTGATGGAGTAGGCTACTTGTTACACTGGTGATGGGGGTAGTTAGAGGTTAACTAGAGTAGGCTGCTTGTTACACTGGTGATGGAGTAGGCTACTTGTTACACTGGTGATGGGGGTAGTTAGAGGTTAACTAGAGTAGGCTGCTTGTTACACTGGTGATGGAGTAGGCTACTTGTTACACTGGTGATGGGGGTAGTTGGAGGTTAACTAGAGTAGGCTGCTTGTTACACTGGTGATGGGGGTAGTTGGAGGTTAACTAGAGTAGGCTACTTGTTACACTGGTGATGGGGGTAGTTGGAGGTTAACTAGAGTATGCTACTTGTTACACTGGTGATGGGGGTAGTTAGAGGTTAACTAGAGTAGGCTGCTTGTTACACTGGTGATGGAGTAGGCTGCTTGTTACACTGGTGATTGGGGTAGTTGGAGGTTAGCTGGAGTAGGCTGCTTGTTACACTGGTGATGGGGGTAGTTGGAGATTAGCTGGAGTAGGCAGCTTGTTACACTGGTGATGGGGTAGATGGAGGTTAGCTGGAGTAGGCTGCTTGTTACACTGGTGATGGGGGTAGTTGGAGGTTAGCTAGAGTAGGCTGCTTGTTACACTGGTGATGAGGGTAGTTGGAGATTAGCTGGAGTAGGCTGCTTGTTACACTGGTGATTGGGGTAGTTGGAGGTTAGCTGGAGTAGGCTGCTTGTTACATTGGTGATGGGGGTAGTTGGAGGTTAGCTGGAGTAGGCTGCTTGTTACACTGGTGATGGGGTAGGCTGCTTGTTACACTGGTGATTGGGGTAGTTGGAGGTTAGCTGGAGTAGGCTGCTTGTTACACTGGTGATTGGGGTAGTTGGAGGTTAGCTGGAGTAGGCAGCTTGTTACACTGGTGATGGAGTAGGCTGCTTGTTACACTGGTGATTGGGGTAGTTGGAGGTTAGCTGGAGTAGGCTGCTTGTTACACTGGTGATTGGGGTAGTTGGAGGTTAGCTGGAGTAGGCAGCTTGTTACACTGGTGATGGAGTAGGCTGCTTGTTACACTGGTGATTGGGGTAGTTGGAGGTTAGCTGGAGTAGGCTGCTTGTTACACTGGTGATGGGGTAGGCTGCTTGTTACACTGGTGATTGGGGTAGTTGGAGGTTAACTAGAGTAGGCTGCTTGTTACACTGGTGATGGGGTAGGCTGCTTGTTACACTGGTGATGGGGGTAGTTGGAGGTTAGCTGGAGTAGGCTGCTTGTTACACTGGTGATGGGGTAGGCTGCTTGTTACACTGGTGATTGGGGTAGTTGGAGGTTAGCTGGAGTAGGCTGCTTGTTACACTGGTGATTGGGGTAGTTGGAGGTTAGCTGGAGTAGGCAGCTTGTTACACTGGTGATGGAGTAGGCTGCTTGTTACACTGGTGATTGGGGTAGTTGGAGGTTAGCTGGAGTAGGCTGCTTGTTACACTGGTGATTGGGGTAGTTGGAGGTTAGCTGGAGTAGGCAGCTTGTTACACTGGTGATGGAGTAGGCTGCTTGTTACACTGGTGATGGGGTAGGCTGCTTGTTACACTGGTGATGGGGGTAGTTGGAGGTTAACTAGAGTAGGCTGCTTGTTACACTGGTGATTGGGGTAGTTGGAGGTTAGCTGGAGTAGGCTGCTTGTTACACTGGTGATGGAGTAGGCTGCTTGTTACACTGGTGATTGGGGTAGTTGGAGGTTAGCTGGAGTAGGCTGCTTGGTACACTGGTGATGGAGTAGGCTGCTTGTTACACTGGTGATGGAGTAGGCTGCTTGGTACACTGGTGATGGAGTAGGCTGCTTGTTACACTGGTGATGGAGTAGGCTGCTTGGTACACTGGTGATGGAGTAGGCTGCTTGTTACACTGGTGATGGAGGTTAGCTAGAGTAGGCTGCTTGTTACACTGGTGATTGGGGTAGTTGGAGGTTAGCTGGAGTAGGCTGCTTGTTACACTGGTGATGGGGTTAGCTGGAGTAGGCTGCTTGGTACACTGGTGATGGAGTAGGCTGCTTGTTACACTGGTGATTGGGGTTAGCTGGAGTAGGCTGCTTGTTACACTGGTGATTGGGGTAGTTGGAGGTTAGCTAGAGTAGGCTGCTTGTTACACTGATGATGGGGGTAGTTGGAGGTTAGCTGGAGTATGCTGCTTGTTACACTGGTGATGGAGTAGGCTACTTGTTACACTGGTGATGGGGGTAGTTGGAGGTTAGCTGGAGTATGCTGCTTGTTACACTGGTGATGGGGTAGATGTAGTTTAGTTGCAGTAGTTGTAGTAGTAGTTGTTGTTGTAGTTGTAGATTTAGATATGTGCATGTCTCCACGGTGTCTTGCCGTATCCTGTTTTAGATCATGCTTGATTGCAAATGTGAGGGTCCGTTGCTAGCGATATGTGGACATACTGGAGTTGATTGTCACTTAGATTCACTGCTCAAACTTCCCACAATGACATAAATCATGCTCCCAATAAACTCACCTAACTTTGTGAGAAGAATTAACCCTGTTACTGAACTGAACTTGGTGTTGTCATTTGTTGATGATAAATTTCCGGTTGACCTAAATGCATAAATTTCATGACATTTTTGGCAAAGGGGTTGGCACATACATTAATTTGGTGAAGTATTCAAGTCATGATTTGCAGTTAAGTGTTTTATGGGATATTTGCATTTAAGGATTGAAGTTGTATTTGTTGACGTTCATCAGCTGATGAAGACAGTGCCTCACGTGAGCAAATTCCATGATGACATGTCTTCTTATCATCCAAAACTGGCTCCCACAGGAGACATGGCTTGGGTTAGATCAAGCAATATCTACACTGTAGATATCGCTGCAATGAAATTGCATCACAATTCTTTGCAGACCATTATGATGTCATTGGTAACCATGACGTCACAATCAAATGACATTGCTAATGGCTCTGCTACTGAAGCTGTTAGCAGTACTTTTTACACTTAAGACACTGTTTATTACTGTCTACAAACTGAAAAAGTTTGAAGAATGATGTTGGATGATAAATAGAATCTCACCCTCGTGTCTTTTGATATCAAATATACACTCGTTGATATATTTGATATCAAAAGACATTTGAGATTCTCTATTTATGTGCACCCTTGCTCCTCACAGTGATACCTCATTCATTACACAATATCTCAAGTGTGGCATGAGCTGGGGTAGAGCCTGGTATTACTATTACCGAGATCTTGCCACTGAGAGGCACAATCCTGCCAGCCCCAGTCAGTCTGTTAAAGAAAGTAGTTTCGGCTCTTATATAAGATAGCCATGTTTATTAATCACAAAGAACAATGAAGAAGGAAGAGCCGTTGTGTCATTGTGTTATCATGATGTCATTTCTGGAGATTTGAACATGCGCTCTCAACTTGATGACATAAATAGGACAACATTATTTTGAGAGGGAAGTGTCTTGTGAGTTGTTCCCCATAGATGTAGCCATCGACAAAGTAGATAAACGCAATTGCAGAACGTTCTCTTCCGAAAGTGGGAAAGATATGATAATCAGTATAAGGAGAAAAGGTACAGATAATCGTCATGAAGATTTTGAGAATATGGGGGAAAGACCAAATTTACTGTTACCCATAGATTGTGACAATAGCAGCGTGGTGGACGACTTCCAAGTTGTCAAAATGGGTGGGGAAATCCAATATATGGTCTATTGCAAGTTAGGTTAGTTTTATTAGGTACATAAGAAATTATAGATGAAAGAATGCATGCAATATATTGTGATATTTGTGACAATATATGAAACATTATTGCAATAAATTGTAATATGAAAGGCCAATACCCATCACTACTAACAAGCACTGCATGTTTTGAGCTTTGAAAGCACTCACAACAATTTGTCACTAAAAATGATTGTGTGATTCATAAGTTTCTACAAATGCTGTTATTTCTCTAAGCTAATTGGTGATTTCAGATTAACATTGCAGAAAACCAGTACAGATTTTCATAATGTTGGCACAGCATTTTTTGTGAAAGATTTCTTTTCCTATCATAACATCTGACCTGATTGTAGAGTTCATTATAACACACAAGTTGTATTTGATAGCTGCCAATTTTGACATGACCACAGGTATTTTGAACAAAGTGATAGTGTATTGATCATGTGTGTAGTATCTGTTTACAAGGGTAAATCGAAAAATCTGTGGCCTCAAGAATCAAAATTATTCACCACTTGGATTTTAATATAATCAATCCACTTTGTCAAGTGATTCTCAATGATATTCTGGGTGCCGTTGTACAAAGAGATATTTGCTCTAAGGTGAACGTAACTCCCATACCTTAACATACACTTACGACAGTCGTAGCGTTAACATTGTTTTGTACAATGGCACCCAGGTCTTCATCTTGGTCACCCAAAGGCCTTGACAGTGGCAAACACCTCATCATGACTGGTTAAAACTCTAGCATGCAGGTGTGATTTTTGTTTAGAGAAGAGATAGTCAGAAGGTTCTAGGTCAGGAGAGTAATGGCATGGGAAAGTATTTCTAACCCACCATACCCCTGAAGATTGGGGGTAAAATAGGTCTTCAGCAACCCATGCTCGCCATAAGAGACAACTATGCTTGTTGTAAGAGGCGACTATGCTTGCTGTAAGAGGCAGCTATGCTTGTTGTAAGAGGCGACTATGCTTGTTGTAAGAGGCAGCTATGCTTGTTGTAAGAGGCGACTATGCTTATTGTAAGAGGCGACTATGCTTGTTGTAAGCGGCAGCTATGCTTGTTGTAAGAGGCAACTATGCTTGTTGTAAGAGGCAGCTATGCTTGTCAGGCTCACTGACCTTTTTGATGCATGTCATTGTATCCCAATTATTTACAGACTATGGTCATATAGCTGGAATATTGCTGAGTGCGGCGTTATATGACTTACAAACAGACAAACAAAATCAAAGCCACAATCTGTCAGAGGTCAGGCTGCTGCACGCTTAGGATGGTAATAATCCTTACATGCTGCTTGCTATCCCGGAGGACAGCACGCTGTGTTGTAAAACAGTGGTCTGCAGGGTCATGCAGTGGACAGCGTCCGCTTGAGTTTCAGACGTAGCATCTTCAGGACGAGACCTAGGGCCATCTTCTGTGCTACTTCTGCCACGCTTAAATTCAAAAACCATTTCGTAACTGATGACTATGGAGGGCAGTTACCCCCAGGCAGACTTTTCTTTGATGATAGAGATGTCCTTAATCACAGCTAGTTTCTTGGTTTTTCTCCATTTTCATAGCTTTTATAACACAGCAGATTCTCTAGTGGACATCAAGGTGGTCGGGTAGCCTAGTGGTTAAAGCGTTCGCTTGTCACGCCGAAAGACCTGGGTTCGATTCCCGACATGGGTACAATGTGTGAAGCCCATTTCTGGTGTCCCCTGCCGTATATTGCTGGAATATTGCTAAAAGGGGCGTAAAACCATACTCACTCACTCTAGTGGACATCTCAGTTAAAAAAGAAGCAGTTATCAGTCTAACATGAGTGTTATGCCGTCCAAGAGAGGATTAACTTCCTACTTGTTGAACCCTCCCTTTAGTGCCTTTACAGAACAATATCTATAAGATTTACCCTTGTATATCGTGTATATTGTACTATTTATATACCCTGGCACAGACACTTAGTCAGGACCTGGTGGCCACGTTTCCAAGTGTGGAGAGTACCGTTAGTTTGTGGCCCAGGTAACAAGGGGACAGTTTGTGTCATCTTTATATTCCTGCTAAGACGCTAAGACTATCTTCGCAAACACTGACTGGTGTTGATGTTGATCACTGATTAATCTGGTGTATGTCTGAGTTTTGGCTAGCTTACATGCTCCTTCTGTGTCATGCCAGATGAATCCAGAGTTCTGACTTTTTTCTAATAGTGTAATTAAAATACATAAAATTGTATTATTCTAAACCAGATTTTGTATTCCTCTACTATTGCTAACTGGCATGAAACCACTCACTCACTCACTCACTCACTCTGTTCTGCGTGTCAATGTTTAGTTCCTGGACCAGGCCATGCAAGATGAGCTACAAAGAATAAAAAACGATACACTTGGCAAGAAGAAGATGAGGGATGGGGGAGTCCCCATTCACAACTTGGCGGAGAAGCTGTCATATGCCAAGGTAGGTCACAGACAGTGGAACGCATTCCCTTTACCTGATCATGTTGATGTAACAGTGACATGTTCCTTGATCTTAGTGCTAAGACTGTTCCTTGATCTTAGTACTTATTTCATGATTTTATGAATTGACAATATCAGTTTAAATTTGCCACTCACTCACTGTTTGTCATTGTACCATCTGTACCCACAGCTGCAACCAGGGATGGACCCTGCGGCCGCCACCAATCCCAAGTTCAAGGACTCTCACAACTATGGCGGCGCCCCCCGCCGGACACGGAACCAGTATTATGGTGAGTTGCCCCGTCACTCCATCACAGGCGTCCTCCGGCTCCATCAGCATCCTGCCTCCTACTATATGCATGACCAGGGACACATTCACTTTCAGCTCCTGTGTAAAACCATGATTCACATTTTCAGTTCAGTTTAGTTAGGATTCACACATGATACGAGCTTACTCGGTGATGACATTTTATGGCTTAATAAATAAATTCTGTAAGTGAAGTGGTGGCATTAGATTGGCTAACCAAGCAATCTTTTTTGTGTTTACCGTACTCGACGTAATAAGCGCCCAATGCGCTCTCAAAATTAGAAATAGGGGGCTCTTATTAGAATATTATTTGGGTGGAAAAAAACAGAGTTGAAAGATAAATTTCGTGGTTTATGCTGACAGCCTGAAATGTGTGTATACGACAGATATATTATTCCAGAATTTAATTGCCCATTATTAAGGGTGCATATAACACACAAGTGCGTATTATACGCGAATAGATAAGTCTTGTGTACATTGATCAATCGGAAGGGGTGCTGATTGGGATTGTTCACTTGTAAAAATATAAGCAAATATCGCTGTGGGCGCTTATTAGAGCGGGGCGCTTATTAAGTCCAATACGGTATTTGTCCATAAACCAAAAAGAAATTAGGCCACGCCCCCTAACAGACTACCCATCCTGGATTGATAGATAAAAGAATGGGGGGATGGGGGGGGGAGAGAGGAGCTTGTGTTGGAATATTACGAACAAAGTCACTGATTTACACAATCTGCACACGCGGTTTATGTTTTACTTCCTAAATGTGAACAATATTGATGTCAATTCTAAATAATTCAGTTGATACTATGTCACGTTCTACATACTATATTTTCCCCCTTGTATCACTAAGTAATCAAAGAGACTGAATTCATGAATTTGATAAGTTCATCATGCTGTGGTTCCGAGTATATGGCTGTCAAAATAAGGGTTGCTTAGCAATATGTTTGTGTAGCTCGATGAGCGTCGGTGAAATGTTGGCACCAAGTATGACCAGAATAAGGCAGACAGGAATCACAAAATGTTTTCAGCAAAAAACAATGTTGCCAGGGTTGATAGCTACAAATCAATACGATCAATGTTCAGTTCATGTGTCAGCAAAAGGTCTGAAAGAAACAACAGTATTTTTTGTGATGACTGCAAAATTAGAGACGCACCAGTCGGTAAATCATGGGGTATATGGGGGAAAATATTCCCATCCATGACAAGTGTGTAGCTTGGCCTGTGTGAGGGTTTGGTGTAGATCATGTTGAGAACCAAGTGTGTGTTTTGTCAGATTCAGGCTATGACATACATGAAGCAAGCACATCACCAGGTAATGTAGACGTTCCAGCAGCATCCTGTGGGTCCGTCAGGGGACCATCTCTGTCATCAGGAAACATGGCCGGTGCATCATGGGATAAACTCTGACACGACACACATTTCAACTGTAACATTTTCATTGTCTCAATTTTATGTCAATGGTTAAATAAAAGTTTTGGAAGTCCCAAAAGTGAATTTGAACAGAATGATGAAATTAAGTTACATATATGTACAAAGTAAAAAAATGTATAATATGTAAATTATGGCGAGAAAGTGTTTTTTGGTGTTTTTTAACTTCTTGCTCCTTACAAAAAGTCTCAAATTTCACTAATTACTTTCAATTGGGAGCAACTTATTTTTTATTAATGTGTGTATCTTTCATTGCATTCTTATATGTGATATATTGACATATATTGACATATATTGACATATATTTATGTACTTTATTTCCCATGATGCACCTGGCTATGGTTTTGTCTCGTTGCTGCTATTGCCCTGTTTTTTTGCATTGCACAGTTTCTGTTCGAACAGGGCACCAAAAAATTACATTTGTATGGATGAGATTTACATGTTACCTGTTTATCATGTTTATCATGTTTATTATGGCTTTTATGTTAAAGTTACATTCATATTTTTGAGTTGTTACTCAAAGTTTCAAATGAAATATCTTAGTCGGCCATAATGTGTTTATTATAAACATTATGAAATTTGAAATATAGAGACAGTAGGCAACATTGCCCTTTTTTATTTAAACTTCTTTTTTTGACAGTAAAATGCCAAACTGCATTGATCATTTCAAGACCCGTTTTTTAAATTTGTGGAATAATGTCATGTTTCTATTGAGGAAAACGTAAGAATGGTGACTGAAGAAGCATTATGACCTTCTATTTGAATGTCATCAGGATAGATAACTCTCGCTTTCTGCTGGTAGTGGGGAGACAGAGTGTAGCTTGGTTTAAGTGCCAAATCTCTCTCCTGACTTGCTTTATATTCTCTGCTCAAAGGAAAATAGAGTCGGTCTCGAGCTTCAAGTTCTGCTTTTACAGTGATAGTTTTATGACTTTGTTGTACATTGTGCTTTTTTTGGGAAACTGTTCAGTTTCTAACCAGCTTGTATGAACAGAATAACAACTAGTTGAGAGTTTTAGAGCACAGATGTTGAAAACCGCACAGCTCATTAACCATTGATTGATGTGATTAGAGCAGACCAACAACTCAAATCTGAAACAAAATATTACATTTTAACCAGTTTGTTGTTCTTTTTGATCAGTGATTTCTTTTCCGTTTTCAAGACTTCATTTGACAGTATAAGAAATTACAGAACAAATCTTTCATTTGAATATCAATTTAGTTAGATCAATAAATAAATTAACTGATCGCAACGAATTCCCATCCAAGGCCTTATTTTGATATGATTTAAAATTTTACTTTCTAGGCAATCTATTTACTTCAGATAATATGAAAATTTAATTTCTTCCATGAGTTTTAACTTTCGCTAAACAGATACATTTCCTTCCAGATTTCAGCTACTCTAGAGACATGAATCGTGACAATCGCCATCTAAGTCTCCAGACAAGGTCATATGCAAAGTATTCGGGTCACCAGCCATATCACCTGAGGTCGGAGTCCCCATCGCACAACCACTACGCCCCCTGGTGGGTGAGGTCATTCATAGGGCAACAGTAGAAATTAAAGAGATATTTGCTGTCGTTTGTCGTCTGTATTCAGCGTGTGTTGTACAACTCAGTCTGGATATTGATTTATTGGCACAAGATTGTAGTTGGGTTTTTGTTGGTTTTGATAGACATGTGTTGAAAAATGCTGTACTCTGATCTGAGTGTGTAGAAATACCACGTCAGTCCTCACTTGGTACACGGAAAGTAGTAGCAGTATCACGAAGGGTAGATGTGGTTTCATGCATCCTGCATAGTTTTTATACCACAAGCCGAAGGCTTACCAACATGTTAAAATATGATTGAGCTGAGGTTAACTTTTGTGTCACGTGACTCGGACAAATCCTGCGACTTTTTGCTTCAAAGCGGGGTATAAGGGATTTGTTCTCCTGCTGAGAGAGTTGTTTCCCTCCAAGGCGGGATTCATAGTGCTTTAATTATTTCAGTCTGTATGCACAATGATAAATATTTAAAATGCAAAGTAGGATGTCAAAGTTTTAACTTTAATGGGGGCAGTGGGGTAGCCTAGTGGTTAAAGTGTTCGCTTGTCATGCCAAAGACCCGGGTTCGATTCCCCACATGGGTAATATTGCTAAAAGCAGCTTAAAACAATACTCACTCACTCTAACCTTACAGGGTGTTGCTACTTGATATTACCTATGTGAAACGGTAATTGTATATCTATTCTTGCAGTTTGTGGCAAAAACTTCCAAGTCTACTAGCCCAAACTCTGGGCCCACAATTTTAGTGTCATCATATTGCATTTATTAGCTGATTTCACTAGACCAAACAGAATTTTACTAGACTCTGGCATCGGACTAGTGGCTGAAATCGCAGACTGTTCTTGTCATTGACTGGTAACCGTGCAACCTAGGACCTTGTCACTTTGTTGTATTGTAACATTTGCAGAAATTCTGCTTTATACAAGTTTTGTTCAATACCATAGTGGAGATACCAGGATAGAGTTGGTCTCTAGTAACCTAGGCTTGAAGTGGAAGGGGGGATATAGGAATGGATGCCGTCTGTCCAACCGTCACGTTTTGTTTCCGGAGCAGAACTAAAGAAACATCAGAGTTACTGTAAATCTTGAAATTAACGCGAGCATGAATTAAATGAAAAAAGGAGAATGGTCTTTGTTCGCATTAATGCCAGTCAACAGAATAAACATATAAACTGTGTGTTGTTTTTACGAAAACAGTTTTTGTTAGTAGGTAAAGCTTTACTCAGTGCTAATAAGCTGTGCTATTTGCTGTTTGATTGGATTAAGGTAAGGTTGGATTAAGGTAAGGTTGGATTAAGGTAAGGTTGGATTAAGGTAAGGATGTGTATTATTCCACTTGGGATGGGATTGGGGGGTTTTGTCGCATTGACTTTGAGTTGCATTTTTGGCTACAGGTCAGCAGTCGTATTAATTTGTAGACGCATTAATTTCCAGATTTACAGTATCTTAACCAAACGTGGCACATAGATAGGTCTTGTGGTGAACTGGTGACTTTTGATAGGTTTGGGATTTATTTATTTTTTAAATTTCGAGTTTCCATGGCAATGAATTTGACGGTAGAGCTCCTTTCTGAAGCAGATCTTGAAAACTGTACAAATTTCTTCACCAAACTTGGCACATATATAGGTCTAATGGTAATTTGGTACCGTTTGATGGTTTGGGAATTTTGAAATATTTGTTTTTCGAGATTCTTTAGCAACAACTCACAAGCGGACATGTCATGTTGGCGGCGGAAATGAGTATTTCATGCTTGATGAGACTGTTGATTGTGTGGTCTATATTGGATCGTGTGGTCTGACTCGATGACTTGGTTGATTTGCATCAACATGATGTTGCTCTTAATATTGTCTTGTCCAGATTATATTATTTTTGTTAAAATATTGAAAACATAGAAATGAGCATGAGATGTATAGTTGTACTGTGGCAGCGTCTAGGTGTGGTGCATAGTACTGCTTGCTATTTCAGGCGCGGGGTAGAGACGCCTGGCGCCAGTGAGAGATATAATGGAGCTTCCATGCTGAGTCTCGCCAGGAAAAAGAAGAAGCAGAAGTTCTTGCAGGTAGCTGGTTCAGTGTATTAGTGATGTCACAGAACCATGTGATTAACTTGTTACTTGGATATAGTCAACAATCTTATTCAAATCAGATCTTTTACTCCCATGAGACACCTCTGAATGATGATCTGAAGACTCCTCTGTAGGAGAATTCTAAATTTTTGGCATGAGTGAGCGAAGCGTTCAACCAGTTTACCTGATTTCTGTTTCTCGACGATAAGCTATAATGACAAGTTTGGAAAGTAGAACGTCTTGGCACCATTGTAGTGCTGTGGATATGTCATGTATCCTGTAGTTTCTGAGTGCTGTCAAATCTACACCAAAAAGGGAATACTGATGTCCTTGAAGGAATATTTGTGTTCTGTGTAGGTTTCTTTTGAGGTGGTTATACAAAGGGAAGCTGAAACCTTTGAGCAAGCTTGATTGCACCATCTTCTATGTAGGTATTCTTAGATAGTAATGCAGAGAGATATGGTATTGGAGTCAAATATTTCTCTTTTTTTTAGATTGTATATTCATATTGGTATGTTTTGTGTATAGTTTTATTTACACAGGTGTTGACACTAGTTGTGAGAGAAAACAAATACTTTCAGGTAGACACAATTTTATGGATAACAACTTCTTTAATACTGTAAAAAGCGACGTTTCGGTATAGATCCTTATACCGTTGTCAAGCAAGACTGAATCATTCAGTAAAATTGTGTCTATCTTGTCATCCGCCAACTTCTAAGTAATGCCTACCAAACAAGAAATACTTTCAGGTTTTCACTTCCGGGTGAGAATAGGTCCCCAGCACCCCATGCTTGTTGTACCAGGGCAGGTGATCAAGCTTGGTGACTTGGCTGATTGTGTGTCATCATGTCCTGATAGCATGGGACATTGCTCATGATATCAATCACTAAATTGCCTGGTCCAGTGTCGATCATTGCTGACCATGCTATCAATCCCTAGTTGTCTCGTACAGAATCAATTCTGGACACGGCTGGGATGATTTAAGTGAAATGTTGTTGACTCACACAATCGACCGCCCCCGTGGTCTGGTGGTCAGCCCGGAGAGCGGAAGGTCTGGTATTCGATCCCTGGCCATGTCAAACCAAAAGACGTTAAAAGATGGTACTTGTTGTTACCCTGCCTGGCGCTCAGCATTACGGGGCTAAAACAGGTCAGCTCGGAGTCAGTAAACCGTGTCTGGGTGGGGTATTCGTGTTAAACATGGTATCTCAGTGGGTGAGCACTATAAAATCGACATTAGTCAAGACTAGCACAGACCCGTGAAGATTCCGGGGTAGAATAGGTCTTCAGCAACCCATGCTTGCCGTAAAAGGTGACTCTGCTTGTCGTAAAAGGCGACTAACGGGATCAGGTGGTCAGGCTCACTGACTTGGTTGATGCATGTCATTGATCCCAATTGCATCTGGTCCAGACTCGATTATTTACAGACCGCTGTCATATAGCTGGAATATTGCTGAGTGCGGCGTTAAACAACAAAGCAACCAACCAACCAGACTAACACAAATGCGCACACATGCTTGATGCTATATCAGTGCAATTATTGCACCATTAAACTCCATTTCACCTCAGCTCTTGGAGGTTTCCCTCCTCTCACTTACTCCTTCTTTCCATAGAATATCAATCCTGACCTGGAAGATGGGCGTCTCTCTCCGTCGGTGCCCACGAGGAATGCTTCTCGTATGTCACGGGCTGAGGTGGACTGGAAGGAAGACGGGGAAGTGGCATGTGAGGCGTACACGCCCAGAGACCCACCCTCTCAGAAGGATGGTGCATACCGGGATGTAGGGGGCCGGGACAGAAAGCAGCACTACAAGCAGGGCGTCCAGTTGAGGAAGGTCACCCAGACACCAGTTGACAGGGTGTGTAGATTGTAGAGGTGACACCAGTAGATAGGGTGTGTAGATTGTAGAGGTGACACCAGTAGACAGGGCACCAGTGGACAGGGTGTTTGAGGTGGCACCAGTAGACAGGGTGTGTAGATTGTAGAGGTGACACCAGTAGACAGGGTGTGTAGAGGTGGCACCAGTAGACAGGGTGTGTAGATTGTAGAGGTGACACCAGTAGACAAGGAATGTAGAGGTGACACCAGTTGACGGTGTGTAGAGGTGACACAAGTAGACAGGGTGTGTGAGGTGACACCAGTAGACAGGGTGTGTAGAGGTGACACCAGTAGACAGGGTGTGTAGAGGTGACACCAGTAGACAGGGTGTGTAGAGGGGACACCAGTAGACAGGGTGTGTAGAGGGGACACCAGTAGACAGGGTGTGTAGAGGGGACACCAGTAGACAGGGTGTGTAGAGGGGACACCAGTAGACAGGGTGTGTAGTGGTGACGCCAGTAGACAGGGTGTGTAGATTGTAGAGGTGACACCAGTAGACAGGGTGTGTAGAGGTGACACAAGTAGACAGGGTGTGTAGATTGTAGAGGTGACACCAGTAGACAGGGTGTGTAGAGGTGACACAAGTAGACAGGGTGTGTGAGGTGACACCAGTAGACAGGGTGTGTAGAGGTGACACAAGTAGACAGGGTGTGTGAGGTGACACCAGTAGACAGGGTGTGTAGAGGTGACACAAGTAGACAGGGTGTGTGAGGTGACACCAGTAGACAGGGTGTGTAGAGGGGACACCAGTAGACAGGGTGTGTAGAGGGGACACCAGTAGACAGGGTGTGTAGAGGGGACACCAGTAGACAGGGTGTGTGAGGCGACACCAGTGAACACCATCAGTAACTGGTTTGCCTGGCCCAGACCCAGGAATGTACAGGCTGCCATGACAAAGCTGGAACATTGCTGACCTGGCCAATATATTCACAACATTCACTCCTGTTCCCTTGCCACTTTAAGGACCACAGGAGTACATTTGTAAAGCTATTCTTGGTCTCCCACTTGCTACAAAATGTCAGGGGGCCCTGGGCTAGCCTAGTGGTTAAAGTGTATGCTCGTCGCGCCGAAGGCCCAGGTTCGATTCCCCACATTGGTACAATGTGTGAAGCCCATTTCTGGTGTCCCCTGCCTGGAATATTGCTAAAAGCGGCGTAAAACCATAATCCATAGCTCCCTCATTGTGACATAGCTCTCACTCTATACCATCTTCTTTGACCAGGGTGTGCGTCTACAGCCCATACAAAAATCATTACATCGTGGCAACTCCCCAGAAAACTCACCCCCAAGTAAAACTTACCCAAAGACTGAGCAAGACTCAAGGACCCTCACATCATTATCCGGGACGGAGCTGAGGACGGGGCCGAAGTCACGGCCATCCTCCGTCATGGCAGACGAACCACCAGAGGGCGGGGTCGCCTCCCCCCGCAACAGTGACCTCCGACCTGTCAAAGGCGGCAAATCAATCAAAATGTCGGACTATCGGGGTTACCAGGACCCATACATGTGAGAAGTACGGGGCCTGCTGGTTGTGTCAAGCTGCTGTTCTACAGGGACTCCGGACAAGACAGAGTGGCTGCCATCACTATGTAGGGAGTGTTAGTTTTTGTAAACCTGACATCCAGACACATCACTCCATGCCTCAGATAATTTGAATCAAGTTTGTTTCACACTGGGAGACAAATCTCAAACAGGCCTGAAAGATTTATTAATTGCGGTTATGAATTAAAAGAGTTTCATATTATGGTTATGATATTTGATATTATTTTACTGTTACGGATTCATTTATGAGTTAAGGCATTATGCAGTGTTAAATGATGCTCTGCACTGTAAATTTGTCGCAGTGTATGTTGGGTTTTTTAAGTACACGTAAGGCCACAATATATTAATTATTAGATTTCATCTAAACTTTTTAAAAATGTTGGTTGGGAGGAATATCTTTTATTAAACCATTCACGACATTTGTGTACAATAGAGTCAATAGGATCTTCAGTCAAACAGAAAGGAACACACATTTCCAAATTGTCTTCTGGAAGTTCTTGAGAGGAATATTTAGTGTGGTGGGCGGGGATGAAAATCTAATAATTGTTTATGGCCTAAGGTGCGTTTCAATAAATGCTGTTAAATATTTTGAAAGACATAATTATACCATGAAGCTTATTTATATCTTCTGATGATGTGATCAGTTCAATATGAAGAATTTATGGGATTCTTTGAAATCTTAAGTTAATGCAGTTCATTTCATTATTTCAACAAAGCAATGTAAACTCAAACTGTCCTTGCATATGAATTGCTGTATGTGATATGAAATGTACAACAGAAAACCACAATATTGTATATTTCATCAGCTATATATTTTACTTAATGTAAAAGAACACATTTTTAAGAACTGTTTTGTTTTTGTTACTAATCAACAGAACTAACCGTCTCTTAACATTTGTTGTTCAAACTGATTGTTGTCTATATTTTCACAGAATTTGTCAGGTTTTTTAAGTTAACTGGTTCTTTTGTACTATGAATCAGTGTCACATCTATCCTAAAGGTTGTAACATTATACATGTTTATACACATTGCTAAAGTATTAAACACGTTTCTGTACTGGTATCAAATGTATATTCACAGGTTTCATACCCCATAACAGATTATTCACTGGGTTTAGCTACATAAAGAGTGGTCACAAAGATTCCGCAGAATTTTCAAAATTCACCAATGCAATATAAATCCGAAAAAAATGAGAAATGTTAGTAGTATAATCAGTTTTGAAATCTGCATTCTTAACAGGCGCGACAGTATTTGCTTCATCACTCTCGTAGCTGTATGGAGGTTACTGAACAACACATCTTCTTGTGTAAACTTTAAAGACCAATTCACATGAATTTCAAATTGATTCAATTTTGTGACTTTTTTTCCTTTAAATACTCAAGCAGTCACCTGTTTTGTCCAGCTTAATTCATCTACCAGACTTGCCGAATATTTCAGAAAGCAAATATACCCTCCCAAATACTGGGGAACATCTGCTGTTGAACCTTCACGAGTCAAATATCGTTCCAGTATTCTTAGAATTGAAAGTGAAACTAATCTTCATACATCATGGAATGCTGTGTGCTTGTATTAGTGGCTCTCCTGGGTTGAAAAGAGCCAATGACCTTTCAGGATAAATCCCTGGTTGAGAAGTGTTGTAAATACTATTTGGACAGAGTCCTCTGTGTGTTTCCAAGTGTTGGCTTGTACGACAACTGTTTAACAATGTGACAATCACTGCACATTTCTTCCGTCCATTGCCATCACATTGTCCGTCCTGTCACCTTCCTCTCCTGGTAGTCGGGGGTCCAGCATTACGTGAAACCTACTCACAATGCCGCATTAGCCACATCATTCACTGTCCATTAGTTCAGTATTTAGTTCTGTTCACATTTAACGGTATCTACCTCCAATAATTTATTCAATAGTACCTAGTTTCATAGCAGGTAGTTTGTGCATCAAGTTAAGTCCTTTGTCCACTTGTGTTGTATTTGTATTCTGATGTAGGTTCCTATCAAACTGATCAAGTCCATGGATCTTGATGTTGGAACTCAAAAACTCATTCATCATAAAGTACTGCCCACCTTCTGTAGAAATCAAACTCCTTTGAAATATACATATTTTTGTGACTGATACTTAATGTTGAATCTGGAAAAATTCAAGCTGTTTTTTTTATCATAATTTATCTTGCTCAGTTTGTAAAACAGGGAACTTGGAAAATTGCTTTTCTTAAACAGAGAACGAGCGTCTTTATCAATCATCAATGGACATCTTCATTTACATACAATTAACATTTCAAATAAAACTGATTTGAAATAACCAAAATATATCCAATATTTTATCAAGAAATAATTTAACAGAAGTAAATCTTGTTGGAGAATAGATAAATTGTCTCCAGTAACTGAAGTCGTCCCCCGCATGCCCCCAGCATGCCCCCACCAGTCATGTTCACGCCATCAGGTCAACACCAGAATTGTGTTCTTCACACCGTCGCCTCCAGCCATCATTCCCATCTCTCCGTCCATTCATTTCACTTTCAATTTTCAGTTGTATTGTTTGCTTTCCTAAAAGCCAACATTTGGCATATAAAATACTTTTATTATACATCTGTCTGTTTTTATTGTTCCAAGTATCAGAAATCACGGTTGACGTTTGTCAATATTTTGCACTGTCGGTTATATTCCTACCCAATCGTACAAAGCAAAGTTTGTAACTGGAAGCACACAATCCGATCTGTCCACACTTTGGAATGAGAAATGAAACCATTGTGGAAGGTCGTCCTGTGATCCTAAACTGTAATGTCGTGGTGGTGGTGGTGGTGGTATAGCTTCAGGGTGACTTCGACCAGAAATAAGGTCTATTTGCCCCAACACATCAAATGATGTTTTACAACCATAAATACAAGTAGATTTACTGCACCAAAGGTATTAATTTACCTTAAAATGTATGACACTGTACATTACTCTGATGAAATGACAGGATCCTCTTCTTAATGATTTGGATCAGAACATCGAGCAAACACAAGTTTGTTTAGAAAAAAGATGATGCAGAAAAAGAAATGTTAAAACAATATAAAATCGATACACGTTTGGTTTTATTGTTTATTTACACCTGACGATATTTTTAATATTAGTCACATACTGCCCTTTGGATTGCAACAAGGCATGTTGGGGCCCAGTATTGCACAATACTTCAGATTATGTTGTCATAATGAGGACATTCCAACAGGTGAGGAACTGTTTCTGGCGTAGTATCACTGCATTGGTCACACAGAGGGGATGCTTCCTTGTCAACACTTGTGTATGCATTTAAAGTCTCATATGACAAATTTTTAAAATTTGGTGTAACTGTGATACAGAGATGGATGGGGGTATTACGAGGCCTGTTTTTTTTGTTGTTGTTGTTTAACGCCACACTCGGCAATATTCCAGCTATATGACGGCGGTCCGTAAATAATCGAGTCTGGACCAGACAATCCAGTGATTAATATCATGAGCATCGATCCACGCAATTGGGATCGATGACATTCATCAACCAAGTCAGCGAGTCTGACAACCCGATCCCGTTAGTCGCCTTTTACGGCAAGCATGGGTTGCTGAAGACTTCCCCGGAATCTTCACAGGTCCGAGGCCTGGTCAAAAAGTTCTAAGCTTGACTAACTTTCAACTATGGCCAAGACAAAGTGATCTAGTCAATGTAGTACATTGTTTGAGTAGTTCATTGCTAGTCTGTTGAGGCCATTTGTATATTAATAACAGCCAGTTGAAGGTGAACGTGATGGAAACAAATTGGAAAAGTATCCATCTTCGACTTGAGAGAAAAGTACATCCCAAGAAATTCATGACCACAGGTCAAGTGTATGGGGATAAGTGCCCTAGCCATTCCACTGTCTAACGTTAGACTGTTATGTATAAGGCTGGGAGAATAATCCTTAATGATGACGCAAGGTCTTGACGTCTCTCAACTTCCATCAATGAAGATAGGAAAACTTATGCTGTCAGATGGACATTTTTAAACTGTTTAACCAACCTGTTAGCTTTCTGACTATTCGTCACTATGATAACATTTGTGCCATTCATCATCTTTGTTCTTGGCCAAATGACTTCAAGGGGTAAACCTATTCATTGTAGAGATGAACGACTGCCAACTTGAACGTTTGGTGTTCTTAAAGAACTGTCGGAAATGCTAGAAAAATGTCTTGACCGTTATAAAAGGATAGATTTTGTCAGGCTATTGCTATTGAAATATCGAGTAACTACTCATCATGTGGTTTGAAGTATTTCAGTCACTAGGAGTCTTATTGACAAATTTACAGGAACAAAATCCGATCCAAAACAGTAAGTACAGATATATTTTAAGTCCAGTGATGGAAGTCTAAAACGGACTCTAGAATTATGAGCACGTGACTCTGTTATAATGATAATAATGTAGTCTTCATAAAACATCTAATCCACACACAAAAAAATCGTTTGGAGAACATTCTAGATGCGAGTCTTCTAAAATAACACGACGCTGCATTCGTTTTAATCAGCACTGCTCCCATGATGCATGTTACATTACACATGAAGTCTGTACTCGGAAATGTATACAAGTTCTTTGCACTTTAGTGATAGATGGAGACCATATATTAGTTTAGATAGGGTGTATTACCAAACTGCCCATGCTATGGGGTTTTCAGTTCATAGCAACAAGTATGATAAATGAAACAGAACGTATAGGGGTGGTCTCAAAACCGGGACGTGAAAGGACCTCACACAGCTTTGAAACAGTGATTAGGTGTATAGTGTATACAAGCTTTATGAGCAGAAGTATCCCACGACTTGTAAAGTTTAGGAGGAAATTATAGATTAGGACTGCATTAAATATTGCTCTCTGCGAGATGGGATTTCGATACACTGCACGTGGCGATAACCGAGCAGTTTTTAGGGGAAAATTTCCATCCTGTCTGAGGTCACATTATCCCTGAACCATTCATAACTATTGCAGTCTGGGCTTCCGGGTAATTTACCTTGATGAAACCTGGGAGAACAAGAATCATTCCACGGACTACATGTGGCTACCGTCAGATGGACGAAAAGTACCCATGGTACCATCAGGTAAAGGTAATCGTGTCATTCTTTTGCACGCCGAAACCGTGATCTTGGGCTAATTGATGGATGTGAAAGTTTTCGAGGCTAACCCAAACACTGGTGATTATCATAAAGAAATGAATGGTGATGTGTTCATAGACTGGTTGGAACATCAGCTACAGCCCAACCTACAGGATCATGGATAACGCCAGTTTTAACGTCCCGGGACCTGATACTGTCAGGCCAACCCTGAGTAGTCTGAAGGCGACCATGCAGGAATATCCGACACCTTGCTATGTCCACATCAGACAATCTAAAGTTCAACTCATGGAGACAATTCTGAATAAGAAACCAGAAAAGTACAAGACATGTCCTTGCGCCACAACACCGTCACATTGTCTTATACGAACGGCAATCAGACATTGTGAGCTGAACCCAATTGAGCCGATCTTGGCCAGCTGTACAGGGTTCGTGTCAAGACATAACACAACATTCAAATCACACGTCAGAGGGAGGATCAACCCAGTCTTTGCTAGCTATCAGCCTTGTTCCACCAGTTATTATACCTTTGGGCGATAGTACAGGCTCGTATACATCATCAGCTGAGTCACCACAATCTGACGCAGAACATCAAATACTTCTCGATTCTATCAACTCATATCTCAAAGTACAATTACGGCAATATTTTGAGACCACCCCCAACACAGGTGACATTTGCACCTATGAGAATGTACAGGTGTTCCATATGCATGACAACACACAAATATTTTCTAAGTTTATCATCTTTTTACCTGTAAAAGTACATTTTAAAGCTAATCACAGTGTCAGCTAGGATAGGCTAGATTAGGTCGATTTGGGTTATTTTGATATATGCTATTTTATAACCTATGACGCATATTATCTAAATATAGCCAGAAAATCATTTTTCTAGCATTTCCAACAGTACTTGACAATGCTTTTCCCGGAACCCATGGGACACAAGATCACGTGGGAGTGCATACCTTATTGTAATCTTTTTTCCTTGACCGTAATCTAAATTTACCTTGGGAATATTGTTAATCAATTTAATTCCAAAAGATAGCAATGTAACACTGCCTAGACCCATATGAGCCGAACAGCGAGTGCGGCTATCCACGCTTCACTGCCAAAATGTAACATGAAGCTGTACAGAGTTGTGTCCCTTAGCTGCCCGAGTTTGAACTCCAGGTTTGTCCTGATTGTGATCACTTGCACCAGGATGACCCGCTGTGATGTGACTGAAATAGGTGAGGTGAGGTGAGATACCATGCCGCAGTTTAACATGAATACCCCTCAGACGCAGTAAACTGACTCCGAGCCGACCTGTCCTTGCTTTAGCCCCTTATTGCCGAGCGCCAGACAGGGTAACAACAAGTACCATCTTTTAACGTCTTTTGGTATGACGCGGCCGGGGTGTGACTGAAATACTGATATTAGGTTTGACAAGGACCTGTCAATGCTGAATGTGCCAGTATCGCACCGCTTCAAAAAGTAGGGATACACCGTCTCAGCATGTTCCAGCTATATCATGGCAGCCTGGGAAAAAACTGAAGGAGGGTATGATGACCTGCTTTTGGCCATGTTGTGGGCTGTCACTGCTGACTCCAAAGACAACAAACAATAGAAAATGTTTTTGATATTTTTTTCTTCTTTTTTTTGTCCTTTGTGCAGCTAGTACCAACTACATCATTCTGTCTAATATAAAGTTAAAGGTTTTGTCACACTGAATAAAAGAATAGGAACATTTCCATGATGAAGCAACACTGTATGGAAAAAAGGACTTGAATTGAACTTTATCTTGCAGGAATAATAGCACCAAGCTCTCCCTTTCGCCCAGAAATAATGAAAAACAAATTACTAGAATCATTTACAGATATAAATATATCAAATCACTTGAGCACATAATACAGATTAAATGGAGTACCCGGTACACATTTTTTTTCAATTTCATTCTTCTGTACTTTAACATCATGTGAAAAATCATGAAACGGAAACCGTCACTTTATAAAATAAATCAGCTGGGAATACGACACTTTTATATATATATATATATATATACAGTTTATCATTTATTTTACTTCAGAATGTCATTAAGAAATGTAATAATTTTCATTAAATTATTGCTGGTCAAAAACAAATAAAATTTTCAATGACATTTTCTATACTAAAACCTAAATGGGATCAAAATAATGTACCATTTGATGTAAAATAAATAATTGTGATTATTTTAGAAATATACATGGTTATTTCAAATGAACAAAAACCAATCCAATCTCCCAGATAGCGGTATGTACAAGAGCCTCTCCTTAAGATGAATGTAATGTATGTACATAAAAAGGGTTGTCTTTTTCTATACAAACTAATATTGCCAGAAAGTGACTGAATGAGACATTATTTGGTAGTCTAACATAAATCAAACTTTGAATAAAGGCACTGTCACCACACACAAAGTGCTAGTTCTAAATCATATTGTATGCATCACAAACTTCACAATTTCATGCTAATGGGCACTTAACAGTAACAGAACACAAATGGTATCATTTCTATTCCATTATTTAGGAAGAGATCCTACCAAATTTACTTCTAGGTACAGTTTTTACAAAAATGAGCCATAAACAAAATAAATCTTATTCCATGGCATGGAATATTTTTGACTTGACAGAAATATGAAACATATTCATCACTTGTGACAATTCAACAGTAGCTTCTGTGACGAAGAGCTCAATAATGCCATATTATTAACCTGATGTTTGTTATAAGAGATCGCAAGGAACAGTGTTACAATTTCAATAAACTTAACAAACTTAACAACAGCTGACTCGGATTGCAATAGTTTCATCAATCTTTGGTAAATCAGCCAGACCAAGATAGAAAACAAGGTGTGGGCACACCTTTGTTGTCATCTCGTTAACAATCCTTAGAGCACAAGTAAAGCTCTGATCCAATGGGCTTTCGTCATTTGGGTCATGTCACAATTGTACCCCAATAATGTACTCCGACTTTACATGTCAATGCTGCTCAAGCTGTACGTGCTTCGAGACGCCTCGGCTGAATGCTGCTCAAGCTGCACGTGCTTCGAGACGCCTCGGCTGAATGCTGCTCAAGCTGCACGCGCTTCAAGACGCCTCCTCGGCTGAATGCTGCACGTGCTTCGAGACGCCTCCTCGGCTGAATGCTGCACGTGCTTCAAGACGCCTCCTCGGCTGAATGCTGCACGTGCTTCAAGACGCCTCGGCTGAATGCTGCTCAAGCTGCACGTGCTTCAAGACGCCTCCTCGGCTGAATGCTGCTCAAGCTGCATGTGCTTCGAGATGCCTCAGCTGTGGGTTCAAGGTCCAGGAGTGGAAGTGGAAAGAGACATTTGAACAGCCATCTTATCCATGGAACTCGAGTATTTGGCTCTGCTCTAAGAAAGAGGACTTGTCACAGTACTTTATTGGGATGAAAAGAAACCGTTGCGAGAAACAAAAGGTTTTGGCTACACCTCTCCCTTCGTTCTCACAACGGTAGCTTATATCCCACTAAAGTACTATCACACATCCTCATCTATTGCATAACTGACTGTTCATTCGGAAAGTTTGATCTCCCAAAAACATAAGATCATTTCCTGGCAGTCTGGGAGCTTGCATAAACTGCTAACGAGACAACCGGAATATGTATGACCCAAATTTCATATTCCAAAAACAAAATCCTAAACTTACACAGAGCATTCATCTTTCACATAGTTAACAAGCCACAACTCATTCTAACATTCTCTTGAACACAAGACTTATCAATTTAACAAACTAATGATTACTACCAAAAAACAATAAAATATTCTACAGAGTGGTTTTGACAATTCCTCCTGGTGTAATGTTAGTGTTGGGAAGTCTATTCAAGTGGGTGCTGTTCCATACATCCCCGCCCAGCCACTGTGAACTTTGAGACAGAATATTAAAGCTCTGACATTTCATCAAAAAATGAAATACTTATTACTATTTTCAACCTATCACTTTCAGAGTACAAACAATTTCAGAAACCATGACCGGGACTCATTCAACTCTACAGTTCTACAAATATCTCATTTAAACTTCAAAGTCCGATAATTAAAACTCAGAGAGCTCGGGTGGTTCAGAGTTTGGAAGGGCTGGTTCGCTCATTAGTGAGATCAACAACATTAGCCAGTAGCGACTCTGCCAGGGGATTATGGAGGTGCTCCTACTTGTGTTCAGCAGATAGGGTCCCCTGACACCGTATCATGACGACATTAACAGATTGGACCACAGGACAGCGAGAGAACCTAGTCAAGTAATTGCATACAGACGTGCATAGTGAGAGAAACAGCCCAACAGAAGACATGGAGGACAACGGCGATCACAGTTGTGTAGACAGGAAAACCTTGGTACAGCACAACGCTTTGACTGAGATGCTGGGCTGACACAAACTAGTGAGCTGCTCTAGCAAGTCTTCAGGTTAGCGTCTCCTAATCCTAACAACTCCAATTTGGCACATTGTTCAATTATGGTCTGTTTACATAAAACTACTTTCAGCAGGGGGGGAATCTGTATCAAGAGCAAAAATAAGAGGCCAGTTATGCAGGTGGCATGCATGTGATAACCCAAGTAATTAACGGAACATTTTCACATGATAATTTCCAAAGATTAACAATGCTCTTGATAACCCAAGCTGTTGACAGAACATGCTCTTGATAACCCAAGAGGCTGACAGAACATGCTCTTGATAATCCAAGAGGCTGACAGAACATGCTCTTGATAACCCAAGAGGCTGAGAGAACATGCTCTTGATAGCCCAAGAGGCTGACAGAACATGCTCTTGATAACCCAAGAGGCTGACAGAACATGCTCTTGATAACCCAAGAGGCTGACAGAACATGCTCTTGATAACCCAAGAGGCTGACAGAACATGCTCTTGATAGCCCATGACTTGACTATGAAAAACTGTATGAACTGTACACCATCACCAGGTTACGGAAGATGAAGATAAGATAAATATGGTAATACAGACACTGCCAGACTCACTGGTATATAAGGTTATCAGACATTCACACAGATGCTGGGTTCTGTACAGTACTACAGCTATATGTATAAGGTCACACAGATCAATATGGTGCAATATAGGTTTCAAATATGAAACAGTTTATGTACAACAAGAGAGTAAGCACTAATAAATCAGACAGGGTCACCAATACTCAAACACTATAAAAGAAGCAACACTATCAGCAAACAAAGAACAGGATTACTTTTGATGGTTTGTCCAGATTTCAGTCAGCAGTTAATTGTCAGTCCTTTGAGAGTTTCTCTACAGAAGTGTGCGGCATGTTGCCATCAGTACACTCTACACAGTGTCAGAGTAAGTTCTTGCATAAGTTCTTGTCTTCAAACAAGCAACACTTGGTATCATGACAGGCACAAATAATGATTTTCAAACTAACATTCATTAAGTTGAGTTTACTATTACAACTTTGTGTTCTATTTAAAATGACCATGTTCACGAAAGTGTATCACATAAATGCGAGGCCATTTCAAGTCCTGATTGTGTTGTGGTCCCGTGACTCTACCTCAGTCAAATCTCATGAAAAAAATATTGACACATGTTAAATACCCTAAATACAATGACAAACACAAACAGACATGACGAAAATAATCACTTTGGAGTTGAGTGTATTTCTTGTGATCTACTGGTCTGTGGGTCAAGCCAAATCTAGGTTCTCAACAGAACAGCACTGTAAACAAACAGTTCGGAGTCAACAAGGTGTTAAGGTAGAAAGTTAACTTCCATACATGTAAGACGTGGAATTCCTTAGATACTGATGGACAGACACATGAAGGAGTAAGTGAGTTGGGTTTAACACCCCTCTTAGCAGTATTCCCATTCAATCACAGCGCATCAGCTTAATGTGGGAGCAAAGTCCGAACTGATGCAGGTCTCAGACGTTTACCACTTTGGTGAAACCAACAAGCATGAGCATGGTGTTTAGAAAACTAGAAACATAACGAACTGGGATTCGAACCCACAATCAAAAGTTTCTGGAGTGGCCAAGGGTTGCAACTCTGCCACGGATTGGGTGGCTTAGATGAGTGGGCCACCAATGCCCCCATAACATGGAACCTCAAGGGAGGTAGTCTAGACGTGACGTCTTTCATTCAACACTTATCATGACACACCAGATAATGACCACATTGTGTCACGAATTATCTGCAATGATAGATTCTCCCTTACTTCTGTCCATCTGTCCATCAGTCCACATCCCAACAATCCCACAGCCATTGAAAATATCAGAATGTGAAATTGACCTACAACATGAAATATGTAACTGGTAGAGATCACTGAACTAGATCCTAACTTGTTTCACAGACATCAACAACACATAGCAACACAGACTGGTTGAACGAATGAATGATAGCAACGGCGTTATGGAAACAGAGGCAGACTTTCCCTGAAAATAAAACACTGAAAACATGAAGAAAGCAATGCACCACCACTCCAGCTGAGACACACGTACAGTCATTCAAATATCCACATCACCTTCAGTTCAGCAAAAGGATCACTTTGTCCATAAATAATACAACTTGAAACACTTCACTAGAGTTCGGAAACAACTTTGAAAAGATATTGCAACTTGTCCATGTCTTTATGGAATTTTGTCTCTCTTTCCCTAAGCACTGAAAATAAAACTTTGTTGATACCTTGAAAATAGTATTACTTCAAGTTTATCCTTTATGAATTACATCTTCGGAAATATTTTACTGAGAATATACAAATCAAAACTAGATTCCTTACCATCTATATGAAACACAGAGGCCTTGTTGGCTATGACAAAATGATTGGTCAAGCATAGCTGCAGTCAAAGAAAATATTTGTTTGATAAGATTAAGTATTCCTTTGTACCATTTTCACATGAAAATCAAAGCACTTCACTAGGGTGATAAATGTATATATGTCTTGTTCAACTAAATGAAATGAAAATGAAAATAATCCTATATCTACTCTAAAACAAGAGTACATCAGCGTGCTAAAATAAATTCTCGGCCGTCAATGTAATAACTGTTACAAACATCAAAATCATAAAACAAAAGTGGAATTGAATATGCAACATTTTTTTCCGTTGAATATACCTCATGATTATCTCCCTTCACTTGACAATACAGAGGACTATTATAAATATTCACAAGTGGCAGACGACGGAAGACACCATGCTGTCCACCATCAATATTTTACATATTGAAACTCAGCACAGAAACCATATCACAGCAGTATAAGCAACTTACACTGCACAACTATAATTATGGCTACATTCAAATCCACAAGTATTCAAGAGTTATCTCCCTTCCATAATAATTTCATCGGGCCACCACCCCCAAGATAACCTTGATGTTCATCAGATATTAAAAGGAACCAAGAAACTTGGCAAAATGTAATCCATACAAGAGGACACCCTGTGCTTTTAAATGAACTGAACCAGCCTAAAACCATTTCTGCAAATATTAGACGTCTACTTGATTTAGAACTCTTGTACTGAAGTTAAAATCAGATTTCATATTGTTACAAATAATTTCATCTAGCAATAAACAAATTTATGGAAACTTTAAAACCATTTAGTTTTAGACCTGACAATCACTTTTTTTCATGATATCAATATCTTGTCAATACTGGTAAATATGAAAATGAAAGTTGCCATTAAATTGTCTCTTGCACATAAACTGATATTTAAAGTTACATTTGGTACAGAGAATGCATTCCAGCTTGCCCAGTGCAGATATTGGTTGAATGATGTCACACAGCATCCTCTTCTATATACATGCCCCCCTCGTCCCATCAGTCTATGTACAGTGCATCATTTGGAGGCAGCGGCGGCAGCGGCAGCAGCACCTTCTGATCCGGATGCAGGCTTGTCAGTTTTCTCTGTTGTGGATTTTGATTGGCTGGCTTGACCCGACTTCTGAGCAACTATTTTCGATTGGCTGTCTTGGGATGTCTGCTTTGAAGGTGTTGGTCCACTGGACTGATCCTCAAACTAACAAAGGATAGATTTTATGGTGGAGCTATGGTATTAAGTTGCAAATCTTCAATTTGTTGTTTTGTGACAAAAGGTAAATTTGAATTTGTTTCCTTGCACTGTAGACCAAGTGAATAAATGTTTTGCGCCATAGTCAGCAAACATTAAGCTTTGTCATGGCGGGCTGTAAATTATCCAGTCTAGACCACCAAACGAAGTGTTTGATAGCATCAAGGGGCCATGTCAGGGTGTGACACACCTAGCAGATCTGGTCCTGATTTTGGTCAACAGTAAAGCATAGGGGTTGTTTTTTTTATTGCCACACGCAGCAATATTCCAGCTCTCCGTGTTCTGTTAATAATCAAGTCTTGACCAGACAATCCAGTGATTGATATAATGTTGGTTGGATGGTTTGCTGTTTAACGCCGCACTCAGCAATATTCCAGCTATATGATGGCGGTCTGTAAATAATTGATTAATATCATGAGCATTGATCCACACAATTGGGATCGATGACATGCATCAAGCAAGTCAGAGAGCCTAGATTGATATAATGAGCAATGACACACGCTATCAGGGTACGAGGACAGGTCATCAACTAAGTCATTGAATCTGACCACAAGATCAATCAAACTGCATCCTATGACCAGCCTAGGTTGAAGGGAACTGTTCTGAGCAGGAATCCTAACAACTGTCAGGACGAGCGAGCAAGCGAGTGAGTGATTGAGTGAGTTAGTGAGTTAAAGCTTTACGTCACATCGGCAATATTTCAGCCATATCGTGACGCGAACATTTGTGAGTGAGTGAGAGAGAGAGAGAGAGAGAGAGAGTGGAGTGGAGTGGGGTTGGGTTTATCAGTTATATGAAAGCATGACAGCTTGATGTGGGAGGAAAGCCCAAAGTGATGCAGGTCTGAGACGTTTACCACTTCGTTGAAACTATTGGTACAGTGATGACAAACCTAGAAACAGTTAGGGTGAATCCGGACTCGAACCCACGACCCTAGGGACGCAACTCTGCACAGCGAATTGTGACAACTGGACAACCCAGGTGGGACAATACCGAACAATAGAATCATAATATCATGCAGTTACAAAAGTCAGTCAGTGAAATTAATGCATCACCAAATTAATGCGAGTATCTCCTGGACTAAAATATGTCCTGAAATTAATGCCAGTAGTCCTGCCTCTGTACTATAGAAACTAATCAGCAAACGGAGGTTAGCATTGTTTTGCTTGTAATTCTATGATTATATGACCAAGATACCAAGGACAATTGAAGCTGTAATATGCAGTTTGTGACTGTTGTAACTGCTTGATCAACTTGTGACAACAAAATGACCAGCACTGTAATCTACCCCTGTGCAGTGAACCTGACACGACAATGTACTCAAATGTGTCAAAAATAAAAAAGAGAGAATCCCTTTTCGCATTAATTTCATGCCAGCACTTATTTCAAGAATTACAGTAGGTCTGCAATAAAATTTATACTCACATCAACTCGGAAGTCCTCTAGTCGCTTGAATTTGGCAAGCTTCTCTTTCAGCATCGGGTGAACTTCCACTGACCTCCGAGAATACTTAAGAAATGCCCAGAACTTCTCAAGTCCGTACAGCTGACCTGAAAGGCGGCAAACCAACATTCAATTGATGTCTTCCTAAAATAATAATTATTGGCATCTTCTTAAAACCAACTCAAACGTAGCACCAAGGCACTGTTCTTCACCAGCTCACCAAAGTGAGCTGAATGGCTTATGAAGTAAATCATCAGCAAGCAAGTTTAAAGAAATTTTGAATTTTTGTTTGTTTGTTTGTTGTTTAATGCCTCGCTCAGCAATATTTCAGCTACACAACAGCGGTCTGTAAATAATCAAGTCTGAACTGGACAATCAAGTGATTGACATGAGCATCGATCTAGGCAATAGGTATACGATGACATGCATCAACCAAATCAGCGAGCCAAACCACCCAATCCTGTTAGTCGCCTCTTACGACAAGCATAGTCATCTGTTACAGCAAGCATGGGCTGCTGAAGACCTATTCTACCCCGGACCATCACAGGTCAAAGTTTTGAATGTGAGTTTTTCAGTTAAATCCTTCCCAAGAAAAGGCCCAAGGAGAAGTAGATGTAGATGTAGATGTAGATGTACTCACCACTTTCGCAGTCTCTGGTTGTATCCTCCATGAAGTCCTTGAACACATCCAACCGGAAGCGGCGTTCCAGTCCGTAGCTGTAGTAGCGGAACAGACACTCCAAGCCATACCTGAAGAAGGAACACAGATAATGAGCTAGAGTGAGTGAGTTAATATTTAACCTCACATCGGCAATATTTCAGCCATATCGTGACGAGAAGTTCTAAGTTAAGAATACATATATTTAGATTAAATTGATGCACCGTAAAATAACTAGAAAATCACAGATTAATATAAAAAATTAGCATACAACCATAAAAATATATTACTCATGTAATGTAACAATACATCATAAAAAAAGGGCTATAGACTGCCAGCAGCTGAAGGTATATCACCATGCCAGGGTCCATGGGGACTTACAGTACCTGTACTACCTGCATGGACCCCAGGCAGTTTTACATCATCCCTTCGGGGAGCTGCGCTAGAACTCGGACATGAGGCACTGTTGAGTCACTAGTGTTATGAGAACCCTCATATATATATGAAGAAAATAATATCAAATATATTTAGTTTTCATGAAATGTTTATTAATAAAAAATTTTATATCATGTAACTTGTTTAGAGACTGCCAGTGATTGACATTGACCAAGTACACACCTTTCCATTGTCTGTATGTAAGCTCACAGCCAAGTAAAGGCTGATGTTATGTAATTGTAGCTTGGCTATTTCTCTTCAAGCTCGATCAAGACAAAGTGGTCAGTTCCCAGGTCGGGGATTTGTTGTGTGTGAAGTGATGTGCAATGTCGGCAATATGTGAACTTTGTAAAACAATGGAGTACAATGGATCATGTGCAAAATTCAGTGGATTTGTTGGGGTGAGTGAATATTTCAGCATGAAGTAAGACTTTATAATTGTGATCTCAGATACTTGCTCTTGATTTTTGTGCATAATGTGATGTTTGATTACACTGCGAGAATTAATTTTTGTATTTGTGTGATCTCTCCTTGTTGTGTATGGAGACTGCATAATGGATCCACTCGTAACAGTAGGTACTTAATATCTTAACTTGATTGGATGTCTCAAATCAGTTGGTTGGCACAGTGATATTCTGATACTTCATCAAATGTTATTCTTTTTCTACATGCTCATCCCAGGATTTTGCAGGAATACCATGGCGTGGAACATCATCAACCTCTTCTAGGAGACGTAAATACAGAACAAAAATAATTCTATCTAGTTTAAACGTTTTGAAGTGATTTGTCTGAAGTCTTGCAACCACTCTGCCTGTATTGTTACCTGTATCCATCCTTGGAATCCTCAACAGCAAGGTTGCGAAACTCCTGGTACATTTTTTTGTTGTAATGCTGACGCAAGAAGAAGGACCAAAACCTGAACAGTGTGTTCATCTCCTGAGACTGCCCAATGCCAAGCCTCTTCCGTTCTGAGGACAACAACAACATACACGAATCAGGTCCAGTTCATTTTCCTTAGTTCAAATAATGTAATGTAGAAGAGGGTTCCTTCATTGAAACTGGCTTCAAAGGTCGTTGTTTATGGCCACTCCACAATAATCCAGATTATGATGGGATACTGAAAACAATTGAGTCTGGACCAGACAAACCAGTGATTGATATGAGGAATGTCCCACTCAATCAGGGTGGGGTGACACACAACCAGACCACCCAGCCCATCTCGTCGCCTTGCATGACAAGCAGTTGTGTTGGGGATCAATTCTAACCCTGAATCCCCATGATGGTCAACGTGTGCTCACATCACAACAAAGTGTTTCACTTCAGCATCGTCCACGCAAAGGGGATACGATGACATGCATCAACCAAGTCAGTGAGCCTGACCACCCGATCCCGCCTCTTATGACAACCATGGGTGGCTGACAACCTATTATACAGAGGTGTTCTCAGATCTTCATGCAGGGATGTTTCACGAAATATGAACTCATCGAGGATCATAATCAAAATGCATGTGATGAACTTACTATCACTGGATCCTGGCACATCGACCCAGGCAACACTGCACAGCTAATTACGCTACCATAGATAAAATCACCTGATTCCCCTCCTCTATAAGGTTTATACAAAGACCAATGAATCAACAGCATTAATATTATAACGTCAGTTACCAAGTTCCCAAACCTTGCTCACCTTTGAGACATTTGGCGTGGTACTTGTGGTAGACTGTCCAGACGAAGCCGTTCTCCTTCAGCAGCTGGTGCGACGGATGCTCGAACTGAGGGAATGTGAGGGGAGTGCTGCCGTAGCTGACAGACAACTGGCTGTCCGACGGGCTGCAACAATCACATTACACTCACACACACTGCACTTTCTCAACAACCCACAGCAGTGTCTTACAGTGTTCAACTCACATAAGTGTCTTACAGTGTTCAACTCACATAAGTGTCTTACAGTGTTCAACTCACATAAGTGTCTTACAGCAAACAACCCACATAAGTGTCTTACAGTGTTCAACTCACATAAATGTCTTACAGTGTTCAACTCACATAAGTGTCTTACAGCAAACAACCCACATAAGTGTCTTACAGCAAACAACCCACATAAGTGTCTTACAGCAAACAACCCACATAAGTGTCTTACAGTGTTCAACTCACATAAGTGTCTTACAGTGTTCAACTCACATAAGTGTCTTACAGTGTTCAACTCACATAAGTGTCTTAAAGCAAACAACCCACATAAGTGTCTTACAGCAAACAACCCACATAAGTGTCTTACAGCAAACAACCCACATAAGTGTCTTACAGTGTTCAACTCACATAAGTGTCTTACAGTGTTCAACTCACATAAGTGTCTTACAGTGTTCAACTCACATAAGTGTCTTAAAGCAAACAACCCACATAAGTGTCTCATAGTGATCAACCCACATGTCTCACAGCGAACAACCCACATGTCTCACAGCAAACAACCCACATAAGTGTCTCACAGTGATCAACCCACATGTCTCACAGCGAACAACCCACATGTCTCACAGCAAACAACCCACATAAGTGTCTCACAGTGATCAATCCACATGTCTCACAGTGATCAACCCACATAAGTGTCTCACAGTGATCAACCCACATAAGTGTCTCACAGTGATCAATCCACATAAGTGTCTCACAGTGATCAACCCACATAAGTGTCTCACAGCAAACAACCAACATAAGTGTCTCACAGCGAACAACCCACATAAGTGTCTCACAGCGAACAACCCACATAAGTGTCTCACAGCAAACAACCCACATAAGTGTCTCACAGCGAACAACCCACATAAGTGTCTTACCACAATCATGATCGCTTTGTGGGGCTAAATTCTCTGAAGTTGCCAGTTGTAAACCGTTGGGGAAAAATGTAAAAGATGACTACTTCTTACAAGGATGTCTTAGGTTGAACAAGTATTTGTCACAGAGTGACGAAATATCCCCCGCCTGTACGCCATAGTACCAAATATGAAGACAATCCAGCGATTAGTTCTTGAGATATTGTGGCAACAACGTTTTCCAACTCCAAAAACAGATTTGCCTGCTGTGACCTTGAAAATGGGGTCAAGGTCACCAAATCTGACAGGTGTATGCGGTGTCTGTATATACACTATAGTTCCAAATATGAAGACAATCCAGCGATTAGTTCTTGCGATATCGCGGCAACACCGTTTTCTAACTCCAAAAGCAGATTTGCCTGCTGTGACCTTGACAATGGGGTCAAGGTCACCAAAACCGACTGGTGTCTGCGGTGTCTGTATATACACCATAGTTCCAAATATGAAGACAATCCAGTGTTTAGTTCTTGAGATATCGCGGCAACACCGTTTTCCAACTCTAAAAGCAGATTTGTCTGCTGTGACCTTGAAAATGGGATCAAGGTCACCAAAACCGACTGGTGTCTGCGGAGTCTGTATATACACCATAGTTCCAAATATGAAGACAATCCAGTATTTAGTTCTTGAGATATCGCGGCAACAAACAGGTGGGACGTACGTACGTACGTACGGACGGTCGTGAATACTATATCCCCCGCTTCGCGCTTTCGCGCGGCGGGGGATAAAAAAACACATGTAAAATGTATACATATTATATGATACCCAGGAAGAAAATTCATTTTACAATATTGTCAAACCTAAGCTAAAATTACCTCCAATTATTTTAATTGTCTGCACAAACTACACAGATGAATAAATGGTGAGTCTGTACATCCTAGACTCCTAGTGTGTTGCATCTCCATGTACAGTGATACACACCAGGGACCATCTCCATGTACAGTGATACACACCAGGGACCATCTCCAAGTACAGTGATACACACCAGGGACCATCTCCATGTACAGTGATACACACCAGGGACCATCTCCATGTACAGTGATACACACCAGGGACCATCTCCATGTACAGTGATACACACCAGGGACCATCTCCAAGTACAGTGATACACACCAGGGACCATCTCCCTGTACAGTGATACACACCAGGGACCATCTCCAAGTACAGTGATACACACCAGGGACCATCTCCATGTACAGTGATACACACCAGGGACCATCTCCCTGTACAGTGATACACACCAGGGACCGACCCAGCCACAACTATAGCGCCCTCTTAAGTCTTGCATCTCCATGTACAATGATACACACCAGGGACCATCTCCATGTACAGTGATACACACCAGGGACCATCTCCATGTACAGTGATACACACCAGGGACCATCTCCCTGTACAGTGATACACACCAGGGACCGACCCAGCCACAACTATAGCGCCCTCTTAAGTCTTGCATCTCCCTGTACAGTGATACACACCAGGGACCATCTCCATGTACAGTGATACACACCAGGGACCATCTCCATGTACAGTGATACACACCAGGGACCATCTCCCTGTACAGTGATACACACCAGGGACCATCTCCATGTACAGTGATACACACCAGGGACCATCTCCCTGTACAGTGATACACACCAGGGACCATCTCCCTGTACAGTGATACACACCAGGGACCATCTCCATGTACAGTGATACACACCAGGGACCATCTCCCTGTACAGTGATACACACCAGGGACCATCTCCATGTACAGTGATACACACCAGGGACCATCTCCCTGTACAGTGATACACACCAGGGACCGACCCAGCCACAACTATAGCGCCCTCTTAAGTCTTGCATCTCCATGTACAATGATACACACCAGGGACCATCTCCCTGTACAGTGATACACACCAGGGACCATCTCCATGTACAGTGATACACACCAGGGATCATCTCCCTGTACAGTGATACACACCAGGGACCGACCCAGCCACAACTATAGCGCCCTCTTAAGTCTTGCATCTCCCTGTACAGTGATACACACCAGGGACCATCTCCCTGTACAGTGATACACACCAGGGACCATCTCCATGTACAGTGATACACACCAGGGACCATCTCCATGTACAGTGATACACACCAGGGACCATCTCCCTGTACAGTGATACACACCAGGGACCATCTCCATGTACAGTGATACACACCAGGGACCATCTCCATGTACAGTGATACACACCAGGGACCATCTCCCTGTACAGTGATACACACCAGGGACCATCTCCCTGTACAGTGATACACACCAGGGACCATCTCCATGTACAGTGATTCACACCAGGGACCATCTCCATGTACAGTGATTCACACCAGGGACCATCTCCATGTACAGTGATACACACCAGGGACCGACCCATCCACAACTATAGCGCCCTCTTAAGTCTGGCTTCAGTGACCACGCCTTCAACTTACCCTGATGCTGATGTCACTTCCCATACAAAAAATGTGGCGGAAAATGGGTCCAGGGTATTTATCAAAACAGAACGAAGATCTCATACATTGGATACTTTAGGATAGAGGACAGATAATATCCATTCATTCCTAACTCAGAATAGTCTAAGTGAGGAGCGCTGGCTTTTGGGACTAACGGGACTTCGCTCTCCTCACCTTCAAGAATCCCCATTAAACTTTGATGTTTAACGCCGCACTCAGACAATCCAGTGGCTGATATCATGAGCATCGATTTGCGCATTTGGGATACGATGACATGCATCAGCCAAGTCAGCAAGCCTTCCACCCGATCCCTCTTACGACAAGCATAGTTGCCTGTTACGGCAAGTATGGGTTGCTGAAGACCTATTTTACACCGGATCTTCACGGGTCGCAAGCTTTCGGGACTAACAGGACTTCGCCCTCCTCACCTTCACCTTTCCCTGTTAAACAGTGACTGAGCTTGTTGTGACCACCGTGAAGGACTCACCTCATGCTCATGGAAGTGGAGTTGTTTCTGGAGCGTGCCTTGTGCTCCTTGGAGTCCATCACCCACCCCACGTGGCCCTCCACTGGCGGGTTGCTGCTGTGCCTCGTCTTCTTCTTCCTTGGAGTCTGAACCAACATACAGCACAATGACTAGTGACATGCTAAACCAAGCCACACAACAGCAAGTCAATGACTTCCCGACACCCCAATGGAAAGTCAGTGGAACAATATCGTTTCCATACTCTGCTTGGAATTTGAAATATGTAGCACCATGTTAAATAAGGTGAACCCAATGGTTGAAAATGTTTCACATTAAATCAAGGCTATAGCTGGTTTTCTATTTCTTATGTAATCTCACTCCGTAGTGCAACTGAAGTTCGACCAGATCCCAAACGAAATCTCCTCTCACAACAATATGACAAACTTGGTGTCTGTCTGCCCTCCATAAACACCCAGCATGTTTCACTGGTACAATGTTTTACCTGTGGGTCTGGGGGTCTTGAAGAATCTTTCACCACAGGGTAGAACCGTGGAGCCTTGCTGGAATCTTTCCGTGCGTGTGGTGTCCGAGGGGCCTGTCTGCCCGGCGTGTCGGGGACATAGGCTGGAAGTGACCGGGCCATGTCCTGCTGCACGGTCTGGGGGGACGGCACTTTCTTTGGTTCTGGGAAACAGTAAGTGAATATTTATATGGTTGTTGGTTTTTGCTTCATGCCACAGTCGGCGATATCACTTCTGTATCACTTCTGTATCACTTCTGTATCACTGCTGTATCACTGCTGTATCACAGCAGCCTGTTCCTCCCTGAATGTGGGCCAAAAAAAGTCACTGACATTAGGAGCAATGTCATAAAGGTCAAATGACCTGCGCCACATTATCAAGGTCAATGACACATGCAAAGTCAAGGTCAATGACACATGCGATGTCAAGGTCAATGACCTGTGCCACGTCATCTAGGTCAATGACACATGATACGTCATCAGAGTCAACCAAGTAACACAGCTAGACCACCAGATCCAATTTAGTCGCCTCTAACAACAAGCAAGAGAACGCTGGGAACCTATTCCAACCAGGGTACAGGGAGGCAGTCAGGATCAGGGCCTTAGTGTTGTAAAGTAGTCTGCCATATTGCATATAGCAATATTCCAGCTACATACCATGACATGTACATAATCGTGGACAAGTGGATCAGCAATAGAAAATAGCACAGCCAGCCAGCCAGCCAGCCCAGACCAGACCAGTTTCATTAATGTTACAGTTATCCTGAGGGAAAGTATTATTTTATACATCTTTGAGGATGTTGCAAGATATCACCATTCGGGCTAGCAGACTTTCTTGGTTAATGTCTATCCCGGTGATTGACAGCATGAGCAACGATACACTCAGATGGGGTAGGATGACTGGGTTTGACAACAAGTACTGGTCCTGGGGACATTGTGTTGTTTAATCACGTGGGGAGAATGAGGTTGTTGTTCCCTCACAGCCTACCTGTAGACATGACCGGCGGAGGGGGCGGGGGAGGGACCTCTTGTAGCGGAAATGTTGACGTTGGTGTCAGGTTGTCAAACTCTTCCTTGCTGATCAGGTTCACCGTCTTGAAGTCTCGCAGATCAATTGCATCAAACTAGGCACAAGAAACAGTACACAGTTAAAACATGATAAACTATCAATGTATTTCTTAAACATGCAAATAATTTAAGTTCATTATTTGCTTTGTTATTCCAGCAATATCCTGGAGGGGGACACCAGAAATGGGCTTCACACATTGTACCCATGAAGGGAATCGAACCCGGGCCTTCGGCGTGACGAGCGAACAGCCACCAGTTTGGCCACACAAACACTTGGTTAACAAAATGATCAACATCCCACATCTTCAGGTACGATGACACCCAATCAACCCAGTCAAAAGATGCAGTTTAGTCGCCTCTTACAAGCAAGATGCCCTTAGGACCACTGTAACCCACGTCCCCATGGGGTCCTAACTATATTTGAGTCATATTGCTAAGTTCGCAAATACTAGTTTCCATCCATAGTTACCAGTGTACTGAGAATCTGTGTGAATCAGGTATTCGAACCCACAGTGTGCAGATCCCATCATATGTAAGCATGCTCAGTCAGTTGAGTTTAACGCCGCACTCAGCAATATTCCAGCTATATTACGTGGTCTGTAAATAGCTGTGTCTGGACCAGACAATCCAGTGATTGACATGAGCATCGATCTATGCAGTTGGGATACGATGACATGCATCAACCAAGTCAGCGAGCCTGACCACCCGATCTTCATTGTCGCCTCTTACAACAAGCATAGTTGCCTGTAAAGGCAAGCATGGGTTGCTGAAGACCTATTCTACCCCAGATCAACATCCACAGTGAGTTGAGACAGTTGGGATGGGTTGCGTCCCTTCCAAGTTAGATCATCAATATGCTGTATTCGTCTGCATTCATCAATCAATCAACAAAACACCAGTAACTTCTCAGCTGAACAACAACACCTACCTGATCACTCTCTTCCCACAAATCCTGCTCGTAGTAATACAAGCCGTCATTGATCACCTTAATCAGTTCTGAAGACATCTTGGCACGAGGAATGTGATCCCCCGTCCGATCACCCCCCGGATGTTTCCGGTAGGCTGGGGGAGTCTGAGTTACGATAAGAATTTTGTTGATATCACTATCAGCCAATTCATCATCTGAGTCGTCAGACCTGAAAAGAACAAGACTTCCGTAAATTCAAAGACTTCACACGCTTCATGTTTGGAAACTCTTCTTACTCATCCCCCAACTTAGTTATTCAACAAATAGCTCATCTTCCCGAGGCAAGAGCGTCCACTAGCCTTTTTATCAAAGTCTTGTTTCTACCCTTGCCACATCAAGCCAACTTTTCTGTGCTACATATGATTGGACTATGGCAGATATCGATGGTCAAATCAGAGAACGTTTCACAAAATCAACATCCACGACTGGTACACCTTCGTTTGAAAGTGATCTACTGCTGCCTGTCTTCGTTGACATCTTTTTCATCGAAAAATAATTGCCTGTTTTTGTGTCAGGGATGAAATACAATACAAACTTCCATGCACCCCCTGCTGATCTATGGGAGGTCAAGTCTGAAGTACCAACCAGTCAGTGAAGTTGTTCTTCCTGCCCACTTCAAGCTGTTCCATCTCCTCGTCAAACATGAAGTCTAGTTCCTCCTGTTCCGGGGCCTTCGCCTCTGCAAGCCGGGACTGTTCCTCCTGAAACCCAATACAGACAGTGAGTGAGTGAGTGAGTGAGTGAGTGAGTGAGTGAGTGAGTGAGTGAGTGAGCAAGCGAGGGAGGGAGGGAGCGATGTAAGCTGAGTGATTAGTCTTAAGCAATGTCTAAACCCTGAGCAAGAAAAATGTGGTCCAGAATGCCAGCAATATCATATGAGAATGACAAGTGAGACTGTGATTAGGGACTAAATGAAAGAAGTCCCGGATGCTGGTGGCCTGTAAATATGCCCATCTGGGTCTCGCTCCACAACATAGGGCCAACACAGTCGTAACGCCCATACTTTGACAGAGTTACAAAAGTCGTAACACTACGATCACTTCATGGAACAGGGCCTTGGGCCCAACTAGTGGTTGACAGCATAAACAATAAACCACAAGGTTTACACTTTCAAGCAAGAGTGAGTGAGTGAGTGAGTGAGTATGGTTTTGTGCCGCTTTTAGCAATATTTCAGCAATATCACAGCGGGGGACACCAGAAATGGGCTTCACACATTGTAACCATGTGGGGAATTGAACACGGGTCTTCAGCGTGATGAGCGAACGCTTTAACCACTTGGCTACCCGACCGCCCCTTCAAGCAAGAGTGATATACATGACAGGCATGGGTGGATCCTACCTTGAGTTTCTGTTTCTCTCTGCGTTCCCTCCGCCGAACTTCTCGCCACTCCCCCTGCAGCTCAGGGGCAGAGGAGGACAGGTGTGAGGCCGACGTTGACTTCAGACTGTCCTTCCAATCCTTCATCAGGTCCTCCAGAGACTCCTCCTCCTCATTATGGGAGCTTGAAGGAGGGTAGGTGACGGTATCTGAAACAGTCACTTTCCATATCAAGATGTATTCTTTAACAATGCATTAAAAGAACATACCCATATTTGAGTGAAATCACAACCCTTTATCTTCAGTAATGTTTGTTTGTTTAACGCCACACTCAGCAATATTCCAGCTACATGACGGCGGTCTGTAAATAATCGAGTCTTAACCGGAAAATCCAGTGACTGACATCGTGAGCATCGATCCACTCAACTGGAATACAATGACATGCATCAACCAAGCCAGCAAGCCCGACCACCCCATCCCGTCAAGCATAATTGCCTTTTATGGCAAGCATGGGTTGCTGTCTTCAGAAATGAACAAGGTTGGATATCCCCAGGTTAATGACATGCATATTCTAATGAGAGATATGTTTAGACAGATGTATCTATTGAATCTGCTACCAGAAGAATATGTTTCTCCAGATTTCTTTTTTTTTTTCAATGTTTGATTAGCTTTTTTACTCTGAATCAAAAGATAACACAGAGAAACAAGAAAAGACTTGTTTAATTCTCTGCGAGATGTAATCCTACAGTAAGTTGAAACCTGTAGGTCTGTTAGTCGGAGTAGCAACAGAATTTGAAGCAGACAATCAGCTGTAGGAACCAACCAGGTAGTTTGAAGGGTTGCCCGGGGACGAACTCTGGCACATCAGCATGTAGGTTGGAAGTCGTGATTAGAGCTGGCCCTTCAATCGGCCATTTCTCAGGGTCGTTCAAGCCTCGTATCCTGAGTAAGTCTTCCGAAAGTTCCACTGTGTCACTGTCTTTCAATGACTGGGGAAAAGAAAATTCACATAGATAGGTCAAAATTCTGTAAATATTCGGACCAAGCCAAAGTTTAGTTGCACCTACATTTTCATACTAAATGATAACAATGTGAGTGAACCAGTCTTTTTTGTCTTTGTTTAATGCCACACTCCGGCCATATGCTGGTGGTCTGTAAATAATTGAGTCTGGACCAGACAATCCAGTGATTGACATCATGAGCATCGATCCATGCAATTTGGATACAATGACATGCATCAACCAACTCAGCGAGTCTGACCACCTGATCACCTCTTATGACGAGCATAGTCGCCTGTTACGGCAAGCATGGGTTGCTGTACACCTATTCTACCCCGGATCTTCACTGGTCTAAAACCATAGTCAGCATTGGTACTGCTTATCATGGCAGCCTGCGCTGCGCAATCAGGCCATACTGTCCATTCAATCCTCATTAAGTCAGCTCTTGAAACTAACATGGGACCATTGATTTCATCTTCCCAAGGCAGGTGTGTCCACTAGCCTATATCAAAGTCTAGTTTCCTCCCTTGCCATTTCAAGCCTTTTCTGCGCTATAATATGAGTGGATTATCGCACACAGAGTTCATAGACAGTTTTACAAAATCAACATCTGTTTTCCAAACATGCGGTCGTTGCTATGGCCACAGCCATCACCCCGTTGAATTTGAGCTGAAATTATTACAAAAATAATTAAGCTAAGACAATTTCTTTCGGAAGTGGTTCAAAGTTTTAATCAACTCGCCCAAGTACTGTTCTTTTTAACTCAAACGACAGAACACATCGCATATCGCAGTGACTGAGATGCAGTTCTATTTTTAGCTGCATTCAAAATAAGAACATCAATTTGATTGGCGATCGCAAGAGACATCTTGTGTAGAACACAAGACACAAGAGCAAAAAAAGAAGGCTTGAAATGGCAAAGGGTAGAACTAGGTTTTGACAGTGGACAACCAGAAGATGCAGGGTTTATTCTGCCCAATTGCCACAAGGCTGCTGCTGCTGCTGCTGGAGTGGCTGTGTACCTGGATGATGAGGTTGACGTCCTGTGTGAGGTTCTGCACCCTGTGGAAGCTGGCAATGAGGCTGATGGGGATCCAGCCGCCCTTGTCCATCCGGCGCCGCAGGAAGAAGTCGCGCTGCAGGTTCTCCTCACTAAAGTAGTACTCACTGCAAGAGGCAAGGAGTCAGGACTTACACAGGGACACAACTCAAGCAACACACATCACTAAAGTAGTACTCACTGCAAGAGGCAAGGAGTCAGGACTTACACAGGGACACAACTCAAGCAACACACATCACTAAAGTAGTACTCACTGCAAGAGGCAAGGAGTCTGTACTTACACAGGGACACAACTCAAGCAAAACACATCATTATAATCACATGTCCAGTCTTATTGTGCAAATACGTTGCGAGCTATGATGATTAAAAGAGGACACTGAAATCTTAGTAATCTAGACATGTTCCTGGAAAAACGTTTCAGATTATAGATTATGTGGCTTTGGGGTTACAACTCACATGAACAGTTTGATATCAGTATTAAGGGTTCACAATTCCCATAGTATATTAACATATTTAACTTTTTCAAATGTGTATGGCTCTGGCAACTGAATTCCTGATGAAGAAACTAACTCATAAGGCCAAATTGTAACCCTCGCTATAATCATCCCAAACCAGCAGGGTCTCACAATACATAAACAACCAGTGATTCTCCCTTACATCTGTTTCTTCACATAGTCTTTCAGCACAGCATCATCCACCATGGGGGCACCAAAGTACACCGTCCCAGCGTAGGGAGTGAAGTTTCCGTCTGCAAAATATGAATCATCGTACTGGAAATCAGGATCTGCAACAGAAACACACACATGTTGCAAGTTTACAGTTGAAAAGTGATGTTTCTAGTTGTCTGCAATTTGTAAGACAACCGAGTTATCTCCCTTTGCTAAAAACATATTCCATGTAATAGCCAATACACATTCTATTGTATTCGAGAGGGAAGGAGTTTTCCTTAGCTTGAGAGGGCTCAGCATATTTTTACTTTGATGTGTCTGTATATTTCACCTTGAGAATTGCAAAATACAAATACAGAATATAGGTCCATACACTACTTGAAAAAAGATACAGAATACCTAAATTTTTCCTATGACTATAGTTAATCTGCAATGCCATGACAGAATAACTATAGCAATATTCCTTTGATGAATCCAGAAAGCATACATGCTGGAAGCCCATAAATAATCCTGGGAAAGGTGAACAGGTGGTTGACTCACAAGCAATAGTCCCCAGTTGTATTATGACACATGTTCCTCCAGACGACACAAAAACATCAAATACGGATTTGATAAAACAGGAAAATGTAATCACACACTCGCTATCAAAAATAAACAAGACATTACTAAATCCAAAAAGAATCACCATCGCTAGATGAGCCTCTACCACGCCCGCGTCCTCTGCCCCCAGCACCTCCTCGGCCACGCCCCCTCCGTCCTCCACGAGAGTAACTTGCGAAGGGGCCTCGTCCCTCTGCTGCAGCGTTGGTGATGTCTTCCCGCCAGTTCTTGGACTCTGCAGAGGAAACAGAACAAGTCAAAATGGAATCAGTGACAGAAGCTGTCATTCAGGCTGCTGTATTAGCGACACCCTCCCCAAAGACAAACAGGACAACATCTAATCACTTGTAGCCTTTGGCTTTCTTCTATTAGAATTCACAAGACTACAGTGTTCACTCTAGCATTGTTCAATGGGGGCCCATGGCTAACATGACGGCAAACACCAGGGCCCATGGCTAACATGACGGCAAACACCAGGGCCCATGGCTAACATGACGGCAAACACCAGGGCCCATGGCTAACATGACGGCAAATACCAGGGCCCATGGCTAACATGACGGCAAATACCAGGGCCCATGGCTAACATGACGGCAAACACCAGGGCCCATGGCTAACATGACGGCAAACACCAGGGCCCATGGCTAACATGACGGCAAACACCAGGGCCGCTCTGACTGGCATAAGGAACACTACCTCATTACCGAGATCCACATTTATATTGCCAATTGTGACGTATGTTTTGTTTTGTTGTTTGCGGTGTCAAATCAATGATAAGCTGTGCACAAGCATTGCCTATAAAGCATTCATAATGTTCACCTTCAGAAAAGTACGGACAGGGAATACAGTGAAAACAAGGGACTAGAAACAAGTACCTGACAAGCAACCGTTCCCCCCCTGTACTTCTTACTAACACTGTTAATACTCTCCTAGACATCTTTCCAGCAAATATTACTCAAAAACTTCCACCAGCCCAACTTGGCTCTAAGCTTATAATTTTCAGTACATTTAAGTGTCATCACATGGAATTTATGAGCTGATCATACCAAACCAAACAGAATTTGACAAGACACTGGCTTCGGAGTAGTGGCCTAAGTCGCAGACTGTTACTCCTTATATTATAAACTCTGAAACCTACAATACCAAGTGAAACTTTTCTAGGCAAGTGCATCTGCCTCGTTGACAAGTATCAGACTTATATCCTCATTTATCAGGCTAGCAAGTTTCTCCTTCAGTAAAGACATTGCCAGCCTGTGCACAACAAATAAAGTCGTCTCCTGCCTAGCTCACCATCAGCTCGCTTGTCCGACTTGCCGAGTCTGTCTGAAGGTCTCCGGGGGTCTCGCCGGGATGCTGGGGAGTTGGGTCGTCTCCCCTGACTCCGACTTCTGCCTGACCGCCGGCTGGACTTGGGTGGGTCAATCTCGAGGGGAACCCACTTTTGTTTGGAACCTACAGATTTAGATAACAAAACTCATTTCTATATTCGAAAACCCTATCTTAACATGTTGAAAAAGAAGAATGAAAGTCTGCTTTAGAAAGTTGTGAGTATACATGTCCTATTTTAAAACTTAAAAATCTTTGACACTTAAACTTAATTTCATAACCTTTTCATTTAATAAACCGATAATACTTTAAACGTATTTAAAGATTTAATGCATAAGGCCAGACTTTGGTAAAAGGTGAATAATTTCTGTCCAACACTACACAGATTCTAAACAACTGAAGCTCTACATGTGTCTTCCTGGATTTGCAGGTTGCATAGTTCACAAATGTCCATGATGCCATGTTTTGGTCCTAAAAAATATGTAATAATTAGCAGCTACTATTCAAAAACAAACTTCATCCAAAATATTGCTCATTGTTACATTCTATCCAAAATATCAACATTTGTTAAGTCATACAAATTTCCCCAAAGATCTTATCAATAATTGCCGCTAAACGACTGTCTCACATTCAATTTTCACTAAGGACACAGTGGTAGAAACTGACAGTTTTAGTCCACTGACCTTATAATGATAACATACAGCAAAACCCTTAAAAAGGGCAAATTTCTACTAGTCCTTATGATACCTTAACTATTGGGCAGTTTGGCAAGGACTGCTACGGTTAAGTCACATGCTGCGACTCTCCTGTGCTCTATATGAGGATTTTCCATGACATCAAACCAACATACCTTTGATTGCTTTCTTGCCTTTCGGCGTCCGCTGAGATTCGTCAGAAGCTATGGAGTTCTCCTTATTTTCTTTGGCAGAGTCGTCTCCCCCTGAGTCACTCTGGGATTGACTGTTGTGATTCTGGGAGGCTGGAGGTGTGGGAGGGGCAGTGGGACCAGATGGTTTGGAAGGCTTCTTTGAATTCTGGGTTTGCTGTGAGAGGAACACATGATGTCAGAACATGCATTACAAGCTTGTACCAAGCGAGTGAGTGAGTCAGTGAGTGTGGTTTTACACCCCTTTTAGCAATATTCCAGCAATATCATGGCTGGGGAGACATCAGAATGGGCTTCAGACATTGTACCCATGTGGGAATCGAACCCGGGTCTTCGGCGTGATGAGCCAATTACACTAGAATGTGTTTTTACTCAAAATCATATGTAATTTCCTAAATTTAAATTAATAAACAGTACATAGTATCACATGTTCAGATGCAAGTACACTGGTTAACTGTGACATTCCAAGTTTGTTTGTTTAACGCAGCACTCAGCAATATTCCAGCTATATGACAGCCGTTTGTTTATAATTAAGTCTGGACCAGACAATCCAGTGAATGACATCATGAGCATCGATGTACGCAGTTGGAATACGATGACATGCATCAACCAAATCAGCGAGCCTGACCACCCGATCCTGTTAGTCTCCTCTTATGACAAGCATAGTCGCCTTTTACGGCAAGCATGGGTTGCTAATGACCTATTCTACCCCGGATCTCCACATTCCAAGTACACAGCTGAAGCAACAACATGAGTGCGGCTTATACCACAGACAGCAATATGAACCCAATGCAGCAGCCTGTACTGACCCCACACCTCAGGTGGATCAGACATCTGCGCCATCGGGGTACTGAGACAGGTCACAGCTGGCAGACGGTCCACCCAGGTGGTCAAGCCCACTGACCACACTCGGCGGCCATTGTCATACACCCTCCCCTACTGAGTGTTTTCTGTCTGGTCCCGCAGTCAGCAATATTCCAGCTATATGACGGCGGTCTGCAATTATCAAGTCTGGAACAGACAATCCAGTCATTGACCCACTTACTTGTGATAAAATGACCTGCATCAACCAACTCAATGAGCCTGACCACCCGATCCCGTTAGTCGCCTCTTACGGCAAGCATAGTCGCCTCTTACGGCAAGCATAGTCGCCTCTTACGGCAAGCATAGTCGCCTCTTACGGCAAGCATGGGTTGCTGAGGATCTATGCTACCCCGAATCTTGACGGGGACACGAGAGCAACTCACCTCAGAGAGTGCCGGCCAGTTGTCATCACCGAGAGTGGGATCCTGGAAAAAAACCTTGATTACTTTGGCACACAGCATGTCACCATACATTTCATCAATTAACAGTTTTTCATAATCGTTGTTTACATTTCAACATATACTGCAAGACACAAAAATATTGCTCTTTGAAAATATATATGTTAATAGTATAACTAGTTTGTCAGCAGATAGGCCATCAATAGGCAGCTTTATTTATTGATATGTGACAAACCATGTATACCAGCAGTAGTTCTTTATTAAATGGCCAACACAATGGCCTATCAAGTACTGAACCAAATTAACAAACTCCTAGCTCTGCTCCACTGCCCAGCTATTTGCAATGATGGACACCATGCAACTGTGACTACAAAGGACCAGAACCATATCCTTGTCAACTACAACCTATACCAGTATTTGTTTGTTTGTTTGTTGTTGAACGCCGCACTGAGCAATATTCCAGCTATATGACAGCGGTCTGTAAATAATGGAGTCTGGACCAGACAATCCGGTGATAGACATCATGAGCATCGACCCAGCAATTGGGATCGATGACATGTATCAAACAAGTATAGTCGCCTTTTACGGCAAGCACAGTCGCCTTTTACGGCAAGCACAGTTGCCCTTTACGGCAAGCACAGTCGCCTTTTATGGCAAGCACAGCTGCCTATTACTGAAAGCATGACCTATACTATCAAATAAATGGCAACATCGCCAAGATCATTAGTGCGGCACGATGTCATTTCTTCACAAACCTTGGCCTCAGTTTTGACAGGGGCGGACTTTAGCGACCCTTTAGATTCTGCTGAACTGATTTCTGCAAACAAAAATATAAGATTTAAACAATAATCAATATTTTGACAATATTTCATACTGATCAACCATGTCAACAGCTACACGAACAATGTCACACCATCTGTCCCAGCGTCATAAAATGTCAAATCACCTGCAAACAGCCACAATCACATCCATGCAGTGCTGATCTGATCATGTTTTTTATATGCAATTTGATATTTAGATTGCTGACTAAAAAAAACAAGGTCATGACAAATTGTATACATGCTTGATAAAGGATATATGTGTAACCAGATAACAGGTCTATTATTCACGAGAGATATTTCAGACTATTCACACACCAGTCAGCTCAATTCCATCTAGATCAAAAGTGGGCCATTATCAAGTCAGAGCCACACAAACCAGTGGCTGACAGCATGAATGTCGATCCATGTTTTTGGAGCACACAGAGACACAAATACCCAGGTCACACACTGTAACACTCTCCTCACATCCTCCCCAGGCAAGGGAATAAACTGACTATAAAAGTCCAGTTTCCACCCTTGCCAAACTAGACTGGAATTCCCAGGCTCAATTGTAGTGCCACCATGGCTATTACAAGTTGTCCTTTCTATGTCCAATCTATTGATCATTCAGATCTCTCAAACAAAATGGCAGCCCCCAGTCAGGACGATTTGATAGATAATCAAGATCTACACTGTAATAAAACAGTTTGTACCCCAAGAAAATCACCAGAAATGGGCTTTACACATTGTACCCATGTGGGGATCGAACCCCGGGTCTTCGGCGTGACAAAAGGACGCTGTAACCACTAGGCTACACCACCACATTTTCATTGACTAAGTTTGTTATCTCCTGTTTGATTACATGAAGCGATACATTGTATTTATTACTGAATAAAATAATTTCATGAAAGTAACTTTTACATAGGCTGAGCCCTTTCTACAGAATATTGGTTCTGGTCCATGATCTACAGTCATTTATGGTTCATGATAAATTGTGTACAAACATCTGTTAATATTGTTCTTCATATTACATTTAAATTCTTAGGTTGGTTGGTTATTTGACAAAGTTACGAAATTCACAATCTCTATAAGAAAACTAACAAGCATGTCACCAGGTCAGGTCAAAGTAACCCCCACCACTCAGTATAAACACACACAACTATATTTATCTAATGAATACAAGCAGAAAATCACACCTCTGATACAAACGACATTAACATTTGGCACAACTCTCGTGAAAAAAGAGCAAGTAATTGCAATTGTAGTCAACTACACACGTCAGTAAACAGCAAGCACTGGCTCCATTTTAAGAAAGCTCTTTTGAGATCAACCATCACATGCTCAACATTCCTACTAAACATAGCCCTTATCACGTTGAGATACTTTGTCAAAATCTCAGTTTCAATCGGTTGTGGATTCATCCCCGAGTGAACACAAAAATTAGATCCCTCTGGCCATGTAAATGTTCTTAACTTGAATCCATGCTGCCTCAGTGACCTACTATCGATAATTAATGACTTGACAAGAATCATTAAGTTTGTTTGTTTGTTGTTTAACGCAGCACTCAGCAATAATTCCAGCTATATCACAGCGGTCTGTAAATAATCAAGCCTGGACCAGACAATCCAGTGATTTACATCATATGCATCAACCTTCGCAATTGGGTTTGATGGTATGCATCAACAAAATCAGCGAGCCTGACCACCGGATCCTATTAATCGCCTCTTATGACAAGCATAGTTGCCTTTTACTGCAAGCATGGTTTGCTGAAGACCTATTCTACCCCGGATCTTTACGGGTTTCACAGCATCATTAAAGAACCGTAGGATGCTGCCAACAAATTGTAAACCATGAGCACAATGTGTCCACAATGACCTGAAGCAGGGCTGCCCTTACAGCAACCACAACTCCCTTGTTCTCTCACAACATTAATGCAGCAAGCCCTCAGGGCAGTGGACTGCTATCGTTTACAGTCATTACCCACAATCAATGGTGAATACATCAATAGTAGTTAACCTTAGAACAGATGGGGCAGAACAGATTTTATGACAGCACTGAAAACATATACACAACAGTGTCCTAATTTTCTCTTTGTATTGCTTGATGACATAAGAGTAGGCTAATAAATTCAAGCAGGTGTTAAGTAATTTCTTTTGAATCGATTGTAATATACCTTCAAATTACAAGAAGTATTTCAAGTCTTGAAATTAGTCTTTTACAACAAAAGAAGTTAAACCATCATAAAAAGAAATTAATGCTGACCTGCTTGCCTGTGGCTAGAACAATTTTCAAAGACCTAGTCACATGAAGGAGGCCAGTGACCATGTGACCAAGTTCACTGTCACCATGGTAACAGAAAATTGGATTTACCTACCTTGGTAGACAGTTAAGTCCTCGAAATATTGTAGAAAGGGGCTAAACAAACATAACTCTACAAGGGAACCCTACAGTATCAATCACCCCTAATTTCAGGTGAGAGTGGGTGGAGAATAGGCTGGTCCAGTTGAGATGGGGATGAGGAGTAATTAGAATGAGGGCCAATGTTTTACGAAGTATGCCCTGGGGTCTGTAAGATAGGCTACCACCAGGCTACCACCATGCTTAAAGACCTACAATAATTTCCAGTCTTTCTACTTCAAATTATTCATATTAGCTATACTTATACATACCAGGAATTATTTCCCTCGACACAAAACTCTGACTCTAGTCCAACGGAACATTTGTATTAATCATGTTAATTGCTTTTGACTGTTGTTTTATGCCGCAGTTAACAATGATAATAATAATCAAAATATTATAGATATGAACCAAAATATATATTACTTGTAAGAAGTGCAACCACGTAAATCACACCTATGTTTGCCATGGTTACTGGTGGTTGGTGTAGATCAATACCTCCATTTTATCCAGTTCTACTTGTTCTAGTCTATGTGTGCATGCTTCAGTTGATAGGCTTCAGCAGCTGCCTGGACAGATTGCAACTTTTGTTTAATTGTCAATACAGCTGCCATGTTTATGATGCACAGCAGGGAATACTCTGCGTTACTGAACAGGATTAATAGTTGCAGATCTTGCATAATGTGTGCCACTCATATTCAGATTCAGAAATCTTCCTAAACGTTAAATGCACAGAAACACATACTTTATTCTGGGACTGGCTTATCCAAATTTTTGACACATTTTGAAAGCAAATGTTTCAGAGGTGAAGAAACCGACAATGGCAGATTTATTGCGAGTTATGACGCAGGCATGCACAGTCCTCCTGCCACCAGATCTAGAGTGGTTGGTGAATGAATGAGGTTACTTGACTTGGGTCTTGGACTAGTGTATATGTTACTTGACTAGGGTCTTGGACGAGTGTATATGTTAATTGACTTGGGTCTTGAACGAGTGTATATGTTACTTGACTAGGGTCTTGGACGAGTGTATATGTTACTTGACTTTGTTCTTGGACGAGTGTATATGTTACTTGACTAGGGTCTTGGACGAGTGTATATGTTACTTGACTAGGGTCTTGGACGAGTGTATATGTTACTTGACTTTGGTCTTGGACGTGTGTATATGTTACTTGACTAGGGTCTAAGCTCTTGGACGTGTGTATAAAGTCACAAAATGAAGTCACTAGCCATAAAACCTTCCGCTACCTTTGACAGCTGTTTTTGACCCAATGTTAATGGCTGATTCACACAATCTATCCACAAATATAAAATTAAGGAATGAAAGTCAAGCTAGCGTTAGAAATTGACACGTATCCTATAGTCCTTGCCAAACTGCCCAATAGTTAAGGTATCATAAGGACTAGAAGAAATTTGCCATTTTTAAGGGTTTTGCTACATGTTATCATTATAAGGACTAATGCACTAAAACTGTTAGTTTCTATCGCTGCAAGTGGTCCTTGAAATAAACAAAAAGATTTTTCAGTAAGCTTTATCTGAAATATTACATCAAAGAAACTCAAGGATGCTTAACCTTGAACACTGAAATCCATCAGTATTTGTCGCTGTTCACCTTTGACCTTAATGACACGGACCTAAAGACTACTGAACCTTGGCCATGTGTGCATCGTCACTATTTAAATTAACATCAATCACTAAGGTTGGCTGCCTTGGTATCTGAACCTATTCTAGGGACCACTAAATCTTTTATGTTTAACATAAGTGTCATGGCAAGGTCCCCTTGACTGATGACTAATGCTGAACACTGTATCCTTCATGCCAAAGAAAGTCCAAGACGAAACTTGCTTCCTAGACAACAGTACATGGATCCATACCGAAACATTGTCTTTACAGTAAATAAAGAAGTTGTTATCCATAAATTGTGTCTACTTCGTGAACTTCATTCCAAACATCCCCTGTGAAGATTTTGGGTTTAAACTGATCTTCAACAAACCCATGCTTGTTGGATGGTTGATGCATGTCATCGCATCCCAATAGATCGATGCACATGATGTCTATCACTGGATTGTCTGGTCCAGACTATTTACAGATCGCCATAATATAGCTAGAACATCAAACAAACATCAAATATGGTGAAGATATCACCCAAAAACAATATTACTAAAGTTATCATGGGTAATTATAGCCAGATCACGTGACCCTTGACATACAATCGTCACGTGACTGAGTATTGAACATAACCTATCTTCTCCCATGCACAGATCAATACCCATCAGATTCATCGGGAGCCACGGTCCAGAAAAGAAACATGATGACAGATGGGGTACCTTCTGGAAGAAGTAGGTCAGTCCAGTCAGCATCCCACACAAACAGACCCCACCTGTGTCACCGTGCTCTGCTGACTCAATGGCAGAACACACACCAGTGAACCATTAACCCACAATTCAACTACCTATCCTGCATGCATCATGTATACAAAGAGGAAGCTAATAGCCTCAGCAGCAACAATGCTTCTACCACATCAATGATGTTTTAGCAGAAACAAACACTTGAAGTCCACTAGTCCTCATAATGCTAACATAGCAAAACCCTTAAAGGGCAAATTTCTACTAGTCCTTATGATACTTCAACTAATGGGCAGTTTGGCAAGGACTACAAGACTAGTGCCAATTTCTAATGCTGCTTCTACAGTTTGTCTCTGTTCCTAGGAGGAGGTGTTCTCCAGGGCTGTAACGATGCTGGTACAGCGCCGTTCCTCTGGGGGAAGTGTTCTGCAGGACTGTAACTATGCTGGTGCAGAGCCATTCCCCAGGAGGAAGTGTTCTGCAGGGCCGTAACAATGCTGGTGCAGAGCCATTCCCCAGGAGGAAGTGTTCTGCAGGGCTGTAATGATGCTGGTGCAGAGCCATTCCCCAGGAGGAAGTGTTCTGCAGGGCTGTAACGATGCTGGTGCAGAGCCATTCCCCAGGAGGAAGTGTTCTGCAGGGCTGTAACGATGCTGGTGCAGAGCCATTCCCCAGGAGGAAGTGTTCTGCAGGGCTGTAACAATGCTGGTGCAGAGCCATTCCCCAGGAGGAAGTGTTCTGCAGGGCTGTAACGATGCTGGTGCAGAGCCATTCCCCAGGAGGAAGTGTTCTGCAGGGCCGTAACTATGCTGGTACAGAGCCATTCCTCTCACAAATGGAAGTCTCAAATGAAAGCTAGGAGACAAACCTTTGGCTTTTTACTGTAAGTTTTAGGTGTGAAGTTACCACAATATACAGTTTTTCCATTGGACAACATCGTCTGGTAACATGATACCTAACTGACGTTCAAAAGCAGATGAATGACACAATTTTATGTGAAGTTTTTCACAAAACTTTGTATTGACTCAATACTTGTCTAGACTACAGTTACAGTCTACAGCAATCTATGAATTACCTCAGCACCGATTTGACAGCCAATTGAGCAATGATGAGTGAGTAAGTGAGCGAGTTGGGTTTAACGCCGCTTTTAACAGTACTACAGTTATATCACAGAGTGTCAGCTTAATGTGGGAGCAAAGCCCGAAGTGATGCAGGTCACAGACGTTTACCACTTCAGTGAAACAGACGAGCACAGGTAAAGTGCTGACAAACTTAGAAACATAATTGGGGGGAACCGGGATTCGAACCCACGATCATAGGTTTCTGGCGTACCCAAGGGACGCAACTCTGCACAGCGAATCACAGCGCCTTAGACGAGTGGGCCATCCGTGCCCCCCCCGAGTACCATGAAGAGACATGCTAATGGCAGTGTTCACAGACAAGTTATTGAGGAAAACATATGACTTAAGATGTTGTTGCTGCAATATGCCACATCTGATAAAGATGCCATGTAATTTTTGTTATACGTTTTAAAAAAAAAATTGAAATAGAAACGAAATGTTCGGCAATCTTTATGGATGATCCGGGCGGTGCCTGAGAATTATTGACTGTTATTTGTTTTAGCCTATATGCTGATAGGGTCCAGTCCCCACAGGTTCAGTTTCACTGGGAGTCCTATCCACAGAATTCACCCTCAATACATGGGCATGGCTGAAGTTTTTGGCGAGCTGGATGGCAGGTACATACCTAAGGTAATAATGCCCCAATACAAGCAATATAAGCATGATAAGGTTCGACCATATACTGACCCAGAGCCTTGTCGGCAAATGTTGTAGGTGCACATTCAAGGGACATAATTCTAATTTCTTGGAACATTTTTCTCTGACTTAAAAATTGGAATAAAAGTCTGCATGGGGTTAAAAAAAATAATCATATACTGCGCCCCAGAATTTGCCTGAAGAAACACTGATTACCATGAACGCTTTCTGTTCTGGATTTGGAGTACAGACAAGAGATCCAACTACACCAGTAGATACATCTAAAGATCTGCTGGTCTTGTGGACTACTGACCAAGTTCGGTCTGTGTTAAACACTGAAGCAACTAAACTGGTTTGGGTGGTCAATCCGACTGCTTTGTCTGATCCAGACTTGATTATTCAAAGACTATAGCTTTAAGCAACATTCGCTCAATCATACAAATTACAAAGAACACTGAAACCTGTAGTCTTACTGTGGTTCCACAATCAAAGTACATTTATCTGTGTTTACCTTTCGCAGAATTAACCTCCATATTGTCAACAAGGCGATTCTTTCCTCACGTCCTGTCACAGCAGTATCAAATCCTCAGTTTGGAGAAAATGCATCACCTGAGATTCTCAGGTAAGTCCACTTCACCTGAATCCAGCTCCTACTGGTTTAGATACTATGTGGTTTTCACAAAACAATGAAGAGCACAAGCCGAGATGTATTTTTGTCTATATTTGGGTCTGTATCAAGCCATCAGTGTGTGGAGAACATTACAGCAGACGCACTCATTACCAAATCGAAATAGTCCCAATGGAATTGTGGATGAAACAGATAAGACAACTTTTATATTAACTGCAAATAGGGAATAGTATTAGATAATATTCAGGACATTCACTTCAAGCAGCTGAGCAGAAAGTGTCAGGTCGACTCACTGCAAGAAACTACTGAGTTCCAAGAGGATAGGCTGCAAACAGTATATAGTGGTATATGCCAAAAGCAAGCTATTGATGATACAGCTTGTATCAGTGATGTTTTTTGAAACAGTTTTTAAAGACAACACTGCACTTCTTATTAATTGTATACAACTGTAATAGCAGACGACACTCCACTGAGAGCTGATTCTATAGAACTGTATTAGCAGACGACACTCCACTGAGGGCTGATTCTATAGAACTGTATTAGCAGATGATCCTCCACTACTTGCTAATGGTATCGAACTGCAATAGCAGACCGCTGTCCACAGTGAGTTAATTGAATAGAAATTCTATTGTAGACGCCACTCCAAACTTATTGCAGACAAAACATTCCACTTCCTTCTATCTCGGCAGAGCTGGTGCAGCAGCCGACACACTCCACTGACTGCTGATGTGGCCACGGTTGTATCAACCACCACACACAACACACTCAATGAACTGTTGGGGCAGATGTGACTGCTCAAGCCAATACGACGACACATGAAACAATTCTGTTAATCCCTGAATCATGACACTAAGCAGAAACTTGTACGTAGGCCTTCAGTGATAATGGCGACCTCCAGACTGACAAATGGTTTATCCATGACAATTGCTTGAAAAGCAGTGTCCAATTGACATGGCACAAATTTCACAAAACATGACAGCTGCTGCACAATATACAATATTGCAAGTTTTCCTGCCTGTCTGTCTGCCTGTCTGTCTGTCTGTCTGTCTGTCTGTCTGTCGCTCTCAGTGATAGGTTCAAAACTCACAAGAAACTGAAATCTTAACTCTGCCCTCTACTCTAGTACTCTATCCAGTGAATCCAATGTTTGCTTGAGCAAATGTCAACACAGGTGTAGGTATCCAACTGTTGCAACCATATGTTCGTTCAGGGCAGACGTGGAGAAACTGGTCACAGCTAGATATGATCCTACACAAGTGTGTCAACCTGCCCCTCAAGCTAAAGTGACAAGCAAGTCATAAACGCAGGCTTTTCTCCACCCCTGCCAAAAAAGCTAGTCTCCTGAAGCTGATACATGGCTACACTGACACACTCCGTCATAATAAGATAGGTATCACAACAGTCACGATACCAATCACCATAAACAAAGCCAAAAACAGAACACTAACATGCCTGATTAGGCTGCTGCATTTCAACATAGGAGGAATTCGTAACTAGGGTTTCTGATCAGCTAATTTTCTAGGACACGGATTTGTATTCCAAAATATCCAAATAGTATTTTCCATTATGTGACTAGGCTATAATATACAGCATGTCGTTTCAAAAGCTGAAGAAATTATGAACATGACTAGAAACATCACTTGATGTTCTAGAAACATGACTAGAAACATCACTTGATGTTCTAGAAACATGACTAGAAACATCACTGTCACCATGCTATCCTGGCAGCTTCTTTACAAGAGAAAACAGTCGAGCAAGGACAACAACTCCTTTGAAAAACTCTTAGCTTCTAATGTTAGTCTTTCATCACACATCACTGGTCAGGAGCTGCAACTTCAAAATGATCAATCTTCAACTATTATTGTCCATGCTAGAACTTATTCTAGAAATTACAACTTGACATTTCTTGTCTTTGTTGAGGCACTCCAATTATCATATACAAGATAATTCAATTTATTCTTAAGCTTAAGTTTCTAATACTCAAATATCTTTCTGTCTTCTTATTCATGATAATGGTACTTGTGCTATAGAAACAGGTAACTTGATGGAGATGAGTTGACTTTGATGACCATTGACTGGATAAATTTCACAGTTGATGAGTGAGTATGCTGTTTGTAGCAATATTCCAGCAATATCACGGCAGAGGACACCAGAAAAAGGCTTCACACATTGTACCCATGTAGGGAATTAAACCAGGATCTTCGACAAGACATACAAATGCTTTACCTACAAGACCATCCTACCGCCACTTACAGTGTCAGTTAGTAACAAAGCGCTATTGACCACATACATGTGATTGCAACAAAACGGGATTTTTTGGTTGGTATTTGTCTCGAGGTTTTCCAATAAATTGGGTTGATACTGACACCATTGCAAAAAACAGAATATGCTGTACAGTCGCCTATATGCTTCATTTGTCTTAGCAATTGCTTTAGGTTCCACGGTTACGTGGCTGATCAAGCAGGTATCATTAGGGCTGGATATATATCGATCAATTATCAATCAATATTTGGGCAGTTACTTTGAGCAAATATGCAAAAAGCTGAGAGAGAAAACAACATATTTCACATCACTGGTGAGTGGTGACACTCATGCAGGGATTACTTTGTGGACATTTCACAAAGCAAGTTGCTTTCTGACCTCAGCAGTGGACAAATACAAGTGATTCGGTAAATCAAAACTTTATATCAATAGTTTACTTACGATATCAATGACACAATTTTCATATCACTAATCGCTAATATTTCTTCTCATCGCCAATAAATCCGATTATCAACCTTTTTAGTCAGCCCTATGTTACATGGTTGACAATATAAATGGCCATACAAATTATTACGCTTCAAGGATTTCAAATGAAGCATGTGAATTTCATGATTCAGACCTCATACAGAGTACTGCTTCAACTACTTGACAACTCAATTACGTACATAATCTCAAAAAGCATGATGGATGGTAGAACATTTGAAGTATTACATGGTCATACTTTACTTCCATTAATCGACAATGTGCAGACACAATCAATCATTGAAAGGGATCACCAGTGCAGGATTTCAATAGCACTTTGACATTGTGTTAGGCTTTGAGCAAACACACAAAATGATTTTGATAAGACACAAACATAAGCATGATAAGTGTCAGTCAAGAGAAAAGCAAGTACCGTATTCGACGTAATAAGCGCCCCGCTCTAATAAGCGCCCAGGGCGCCATTTGCTTATATATTGGCTGGTGAACAACCCCAATGAGCACCCCTTCCGATTGATCAATGTATACAAGACTTATTTATTCGCGTTTAATACGCACTCATGTTTTATATGCACCCTTAATTATGGGCAATTGAATTCTGGAAAAATATATCTGTCGTACATAAACACTTCAGGCTGTCAGCATAAACCACGAAATTTATCTTTCAACTCTGTCTTTTTCACCAAAATAATATTCTAATAAGAGCCCCCTATTTCTAATTTTGAGAGCGCCCTGGGCGCTTATTACGTCGAATACAGCATTGGGAAGGAGCAGTAGTTTCCTCAACTGATTAGTTTTCTCAGTTCACACTGCACTGCTGACTGACTAAGTGATTTGTTTGTTTGTTTGTTGCTTAACACAGCACTCAGCAATATTCCAACTATATGAACACTGTCTGTAAATAATCAAGTCTGGACCAGACGATTCGGTGATTGACATCATGAGCATCAATCTACACAATTTGGATACGATGACATGCATCAACCAAGTCAGCGAGCCTGACCACCCGATCCCGTTAGTTGCCTCTTACAACAAGCAAAGTTGCTGAAGATCTATTCTACACCGGATCTTCACAGGTCTTACTAAGTGAGTGAGCTGGGGTTAAATGTAAAGTAAAGTGACAAAGGTGAGGTGAAATGGGTTTAACGTTGGGTCCAAGATTATTGCATTATATAGCGATGTAATGCATGTGTTTGTGTGTGGCTGCTTGTACAAATCCAGACTGATGCCAATTTTTTTAGTGCTAGTCCATTGAGATACCATGTTGTGGTTTAACATGAATATCCCACTCAGACACAGAATACTGACTCCAAGTCAACCAGTCCTTCTATTAGCCCCTAAATGCATCCTGCCAGACAGGGTAACAACAAGTACCACTTTTAACATTTTTTGGTATAACGTAGCTGGGATTCGAACGCCGACCTTCCGCTCTCTGGGCACACGTTCTGCCACTAGAGCATGGAGGCCGTCTAAAGTGAAAGAAATAATTTTGATTTTGTTGCATATATCAGTTGTCCTTGGTGGATCAAGTCAAAGGGAATCCCCTAATTGTAGGATATTTTTCGTTTGGTTGACAATCTAGAGTGATCTTTTTCACATTTTTTTTATTTGTGATTTAAGCATTTGTGATGAAGTATGCCCAAAAGTATGAAAATCTGCAAAGTTGCAATGTTGACTTTACTTGCCCTTGAACGATTAATGCTACGAACAGTATATCAGTTATATCCCAGTATGTCAGCTTGAAGTGGGAGGAAAGCCCGAAGTGATGCAGGTCTTCCAACGTTTACCCCTTTGGTGAAACACACAAGCACACTGACTATAAGTCATAAGGTCTACTCCTGTGAAGCTTGAGTCGCTATATGGCTGAAATAATGCTGATGTGACATTAAATTTTAACTCACTCACTCACTGTGAAATTTGAAACACCCATTCATCAGCAAGGTGTCTTTGACCCTGACAGATTGCTTTGGGCATGTTTTTAATAATGGACTGCATCGCTAAGGTGATGTGCTTTCACCTAGACAGGAAACATGTTGTCTTCAAACAGATATTGTTGTGTCGATACATAAAACATTGCAGCACAAAGATACATATCTAGATACGGCAATGTATCTCATGTTTACAGTGTTTGGTTCAAGGCCACTGTAGCATCCCATGTGTTGCCACTATGTATGTAGCATGGAAACAGAGCAGTCAGCGGGAGGCATTTCCTATTATCGGTGAACATAACAAGAATTATCATGTGTATTTACAAATACTAACAATCATATTCAGGATGATTTCCAGATTCAACCAAAATTAGCATACCTCCTTGTCCTATGTCCTCAGATCTTTATGCACAGAGATAGTGAATGGTAGTAGAATTTTGATTTTTTTGGTTTGGTTTAGTTTGTTGTTTAACACCGCCCTCAGCAATATTCCAGCGGTCTGTAAATAATCGAGTCTGGACCAGACAATCCAGTGATTAATATCATGAGCATCGATCCACGCAATTGAGATCAATGACATGCATCAACCAAGTCAGCGAGCCTGACCACCCGATCCCGTTAGTCGCCTTTTACGGCAAGCATGGGTTGCTGAAGACCTATTCTAACCCGGAATCTTCACGGGTCAGTAGAATTTTGGATTTGAACGAGATCCAAAAGAGACTTATTAGCTGCTGTGTCTTTAATGAATATCATCAGTTCTCTATGAACTTAAACAGCTCAAGATCAAATTATCAAACATCATTCTTAAAATTTCACAACAGCAAATCCTATAAAGGTCCACCCGGAATCTTCATTTGAAGAAATACACACAATATAAAGTCAAACTGATCAGGCTGACTTGCCTCAAATCATGCTAATAAATACAATAAATACAACATGATTTCTGGGAATGGATCAATGTCGAGCTTATCGTGAACATTGCCTGCTTAAAACGGTACACACGAAACTGCATGGTCCTTTTATCATGACTGTTGCTTGTAAGATTTGGTATAAACGTGTTTGTTTGTTTGTTGTTTAACACCGCACTCAGCAATATTCCAGCTATATGATGACGGTCTATAAATAATCAAGTCTTGATCAGACAATCCAGTGATTGACATCATGTGCATCGGTCCACACAATTGGGATCGATGACATGCATCAACTACCTGATCCTGTTAGTCGCCTCTTACAGTTCCATGTCATGCACTATCGATAAGTGATGCACTCATGACTTTCTTACAAATCTCCCTACTGAAAAAAAGAGGCCCATCCATGTGATCAG